AAGTAGCGACAGTCTGACACGTAGGAATCCCGGAGAGGTTCAAGGGTGTGCGTGATGACGAAGATGGAAGGGAACTGGTTACCAAGGACGTCCTTGTCTTGCGCCTCACCTGATAGCGATTGGTAACTCATGGGCCGTCCGGCGGGCTTACTTTTGGCCCATGGGTTCTGACTGGGCGTGAGCGGTTTGACAACAATCTCAACCGCCAAAACGATGGGGCTTCTTTCACAGGGCAACTAAGGCTGTTGCAAAACTCGCCAGGCTCGCTCGAAACGTCGGCGCGAGAAGTATTTTTGCAAAAGTGTATCAAGCATGTTGGAGTGTCCGTCTCAACGTCTTGGTCACCATTGAGACCGCCGCGCGATCTCGACTCGTCGACGCTGCTGAGTATCTCAAGTGCCGTGGACTCCACCAAGGTCAACAAGTGCGGCGGCTGTTGATCTTTGAAACATGCGATTTCTCCGATTCGCTGGCCCAATCTGTCAGCAAATCTTTTCCTCTTTTGCTTCACGTGCTTCTCTTTCTCTTGCGAGAACCCCGCCATGCTCTTACATTCCCCACCCATTCAAAACTTGGCTATGAGTCGTTCACCTCCTGCTCGAATCCTCTTGCGCATGAGTATGGGTGAGAAAACTTTCGAGAGGGCGAAATCTCGGAGTCTGCCGGCAAACGGGAGCTCGCAGCAGTAGTAAGAGTTCTTCTGGTGCTGTACTGTAGCTGTCCGCAGGCGACCGCGGCTCTGGAAAAGGTAAATGTCAAGTCATATCGTCGCATACTCGATCCACCTCGTGTCGGTGTCGCGACTGCATGTGAGATNNGATTTTCAGCATCGCTNNACTCCTCGGGCTCTGCAGTGTTACCAACCCACAAAAAGATTGCAAGAGACAAGCGACTGAAATTATTCTGGTAACACGCCCCGGCATCCCGAAGAAGTCACTTCTTGGCCTGCATCCGCACACGGCACGGAGCATGAAGAGGGCACAAAAGCGCAAGGTGTGACCCCTTGCTTCTGAAATATCCCCAAATAGCTTGCTNTCCCTACCCGGGTACCTGCAACAGACACAAGAGGTCGCAGGCNNTTCCTTGCCTGTTCCTGTCCCGCCCTCGTGGGCTCCACGACCAAACATGGCACCACACACACGAGTACGACAGGAACAAAAATGAAAAGAGAGCTTTAAAAAGACTNNCCTGTACATGTAAGAAGTAGCAACCTTGCATTGGCAAGAGTTAGGTAAGTGGCCGGGTACGACTGATATAGGTATCNNCTGCACGATTTCAAGATTTCTGACCTCCCCTCTCTCGAGTCTGCGTTTTCGCATGCTATGATGACCTTCGCTTGGAGAAGTAAGAAAGAGGTGGATCCTAAGTCATATCTGCAGTGGTGACATTTCTTCACGCTTGTCGGCCGTAACTCCCTTTGCATGCAGGACCGGTCTGGACGTATACCTGCAAGGCAGCCCCTTTGTGTTTTCGCCAAAGAAAGCAAAGAAAGTGCATCTTCACCGCTCCAAAGATTGCTGATCTTGCAGAAAAGCAAGAAGCGACGTGCGTACACATGCTGCAGCAAGCAAGCAGACAGAAAAGAATTGAGATAACGTCGCATACAACCCAGCCCGAGAGTCATAGCCGTAGACGTCGCGCCTCTACAGCCAATAGACTCAGGAGACACCGAGTCAGAAGCCTCGGTCACGACATTCGATGGGGCTTCTAAAGCAGTCTTACGTTAATATATCATGCGGTGTATAGTGGCAGCCGAAGGATCCATTAATTTATGCTGCAACATATAGCACCAGCTGAGGAACAGCTGGCTAGGCTTTGCTGGCGCATAGACTTCAACCTCAAGGGCGACAAGGAAGTCGGGCTTCTATCACACCCCATGGTTGGGTAAACATAATATAATTCTCCTCCCCATACCTCGGGGATACCGAAAATTACGTATACAGCTCTTCGGGATCATATCTATACTCTAAGCGACAAGCTGAAGAAGATCTAGATCTGCCAGTTCTCTATCTCTCCGAGCTGTACACGTCAGGTGATGGCTTTGAGGGACAACTCACTACAGCCTTGATCGATTCCACAATCGGACATCAATACCATCACACGATAAGCAACGAGCAAAGATGTCACTCTAGTTTCCCAACGAGCAAAGGACGGTTTCCGTCACCAGTCAGATTCAGAAACAGCACTGTCGTCATAAAAAGAAGATTATTATTCATATCAGAAAAGACCCTTAGCAACACGATTCATTCAACAGACGTTGATATCTCTAAATCTTTCCAAAAAAGCCGTCATGATCATGAAACAATTTTGCTTTCGGCATGCCTTGCAAACAAAAAAGAGTCTCCACTTTGCAGCACGCGGCAGAGCAGAGACGATTACAACGTGAGCAACACATCCATTGTGTCACTACAGAGACACGGATATAATCGTCGTCGCCGGCTTTGCTGATAATAGAGGGGTCTATTGTGCCGCAGCTGTAAACGGTTTGAACTCGGTTTGATTGTTGCTGCCCCTCCCTATAAACGGCTTTTTTTGGCTGCGGGCTTTGCTTATACAAACAACGCAACAGACTCGAAGCCCCCTTCATCAAACTCTGCCATAGCAACAAGATGGCAGTGGAAAGAAAAGATGAAGCAGGGGAAACCGTGATAGAATAAACAGCCGAAGCTAAGCGATCATGGTTTTTTTGCTTGTCTAATCTATGCTCGAACCTGATTCATCTATGCCGCCTTTTATCAAAACGCTCTGCCAGAGCAACAACCGTGTATCTACTGGACCAACGCATCCTTGATTGCTATCTCGACCTTAGCAGTCTTCTTGTCAAAGTTCTCCATCGTCACGCTGCGCATGTCACGCACAATCCATGTCGCGCCGGCTTCCTGCAGCTGCTGCACTGTATGCGTGGTTGCCAATGCGACTACCTTGTAGCCCGCCGCTATGCCCGCGCGCACACCCGCGGGAGCGTCCTCGAGTACTAGAACATCGTCACTGGTAATGTTCAATCGCTGCGCGCCCAGCTTGTAGCATGCTGGGTCTGGCTTGCCCTTTGCGACTTGCTCGGCGCTGACTAGGTGCTTGGGCGTCGCGAGACCCATCACATCTAGCCATCCCGTGACCAGAGGTTGTGTGCCCGAGGTCACGATTGCCCAGGGTGCGGAGGCTTGCTCGAGGGATTCGAGGATGGAGCGGCTGCCTGGTATCTCGACGGCGTCGTGGCCCCATTTCTTGGGAATGGCGCCTTCTGCCGCGCAGACATCTAGCAAGTGACAAGAGTCATGTTAGCTGGATGGAGTATGCTGGAGCGAGACATGCGTGTGGTGGAGTGAGAAAAGAAAAAGATACATCGTGATGGGTGTGGTGTGGCAGCGAGAAGCACGTATTTCGTGTTATAGTTGGTACTCCCGACGTGATTGACGCGATGATTGGGAGTGTTTCTGCTTCAGGTCTCAGTTTGCCTTGAATCCTGAGACAAAAAAAAAGCCGTTATATGCAAAGCTGGATGCACGATGTGGGTGGGACTTTGAGCAGGCATCGAGAGACATGTATAACGCTCGAATGGAGAGATGCGCTCTAGTCCGTCATGCCTACCCACAGGTACACGACCCTGTGACAGCATGTCTGTACCGTGATGGATAAGTGGTTGGCAGTCGGCTCCACTCATGGTGGTCGATTTGAGAGTGAGCACTTGATTGATCGTCTCGATCCCGTTTGCCTCGCGCGACAAAGAGGCCAAGAGTAGCTGATGGTCGCAGGATCACGACTCGGTGATTCCGAAGGGTGACAAGTGCTAGAGGGGCAAGGAAAGAAGGTTCACGTACATTCCCAGTTGGCGAGCTTAGGCTCTAGGATCTCCAGCACATCTATCGAGCGTCTTCCGTGAGAGGTGGCAAGGATGACTTCAGGATCCACGCCGATTTCCTTGCCGATTTGGTGCCAATGCTTGACGATGGCATTGGTGCTGTCGATGATGGTGCCATCCATGTCAAAGAGCTGTGGGTCGAGTCAGCGCATGTTGGTGGAGAGACAACGTTTGTTTAGAATTCGCTTGTCTGTTTGATCAGATGGCCACATCAAACTAGTATTTCTTAGGCCAAGGTGGGTAGTGAGAGATATTCGAGGAAACATGTCACTCACCAATGCTGAGAACGAATGCACCTCAGCGGGCGCCGAGAAGTTGTGCTCGTCAAGGTGCGGCATGTTGGTTCCGTAGATGTTCAAATATCTTTGTGTGAATCAAAGTCGCTGTTTGTGTTATTCGATTTTCGGCGGAGCAGTGTATATGTGTATCTGCAGTTAGTTGTTGGGGAGCAAAAGTGAGGTTACTCAGACCGCTTATAGGGTGTCGGAGCTTCCTAATCGGGCAGACCCTCCGCCATTCTATCGCTGACAGGAGCACCCTGTCGGTGCACACAAAGGACGACAGCGACGACAAATAGTATTACTCGCCTAATTTTGAGTGGCTGACTGTTTCTATAAGTCACTATCCTACTCTACATGAATGCTAGCTTATCATAGCTATCAAAATGCATGATCTCTTCCAGACGGGAATGTTGTCCGTAGAGGGGATACACAATTCTACAATTTCATGCTCAAGTTCATAACAGAAAACGCTACTGTGGCATTCAATATGCTGTACTCAGAGCGCATTTTATCGCGAGAGATGACCCAGCCATGAGCTCCTGACAGTATTTGGCCTAGGAGAAGCATGTTCGATGACATTGCCTTTGCTCTACAGACCTCTTAGTTGGAAGCCCTTGTGACTTGTGATAGACTTGTACACTCATAACAGTTGCGATTGAAACCACAACCAGACATCGGATGAACACAGACACAGCATAGCAGAAAATCCATGTACCAGGAAGAAAGAGTCTTAATTCATACTCCTACAGAAAAGAAACGTAGTTTCCTCGCGAGGACCATGCGTCAACGCATAGCCACCTGCCCTATCCAAATGTTAGCTCGAGATCACCTCTACCTCATCATCATGTTTACTAACCTTAGCGCTCACGCACATAGGGTGCAGGGGCACCAACAATGGGCGCGCGAAGAGGGCCCCCATCACTCGTCTCTTTCTGATGGAAGTCCGCGGGACCTCCCTATCGATGCACATAAGCAAACAATCTGTTTAAGCAAGATGATAGGGTGGGAAACTCACAATCACAAGAGCACGAGGTGGTGCCTCGTCTTCGTCGTCGTCGGTGCGACAGGAGAACAGGGAGAGAACTCTCTCTCGAAGATCTTGATGGAAAGCATGATGGTGTATTGTGAGTTGTTGTGGAAGATGGGAGAAGAGTGGGTGAGGGCTTTGCTAAGATGCTGTGCATTGAGCGCGCATGGCCGTATGTATGGTTCTTCTCCCTGAGAGCCATCCCTCGTTTGGGTATGAACTGTGAATTACGACGTATTCCTGTTGGTTACGGCAGCAGCTTCAGCAGGCACTCAGGAACAGTTAAAGCCTCCCTCAGATGACGTCTTCCGTACAAAGGCAGTTCTCAGCACAATGTCAGTATCATTATTAGTGTCATCGCTGCTTCGAGGCTTCAGCTTGAGAGTACTTCTAGGTAACCCATACCATATGAGTTGTCACAGCGAAACCTACAACCCTCGGAGGTCTAGTACTGCGGCGCAGGAACAGTGATCTCTCTCAGCTCACAATCAAAATACAAGTATCCCGAATCCCAGTAATTCACCAAATACCTTCTTCACCAGTCGGACACGCCAACCAGTCCAAGTCTTAATATCTGAACAACAATAGTCCACCGGTGGTATTCTCAGTATTGAGGATATGGCTCCAGGGAGCATAGGTAGGTGTGTGTTTGTCGGATTAGCGGCAGAGTAATTGGGCTGGACAACAGTAGGGACCAATGTACGTTGGTCATCTTCTTCGAAGATACTCATCCACCAGATTTGAGACCAAGTGGGACCAGGGGATAATGGTTTGCAATGAACAGGCTGAATCGTAGAAAGGACAGGTTGTCGAGGTGTGCTTGTCAATCCAGAAGTAGCCATCGTTGACGGTAGGATAATGCCATTGATCGCTGATAGACTGATATTGCAGCATGTGATGTACCCAAGTGCCGCAGGGGCGGATGGCATCAAGGTCGCCATCACTCGCAACGATAGAGTGCGACATCCTGTTTGAGATCAGGGAGTTTTGAGAATGGTATTTGCTCTCCGGAAGAGACGACGAACATTCTACTTCTCTTTGTTAGTACTACTGAGAACTTACTGCAGAGTTATTGTGATTGTTCATGCAGCACGCTCCTCGTATCACAATCATTTGCTCTGGTGGCCTCAGGATATCGCAGCTGAGTCGAACAGAACATACGAAGTAGACCATCAGAACTAGAAAAAGCGACACACAATCGGGGACGCCATCGTCAGAACCCTTTAGAGCGCAGATATGGAAGGTAGGATGCTTGTCCGTCCTTCTCTGTGAAGAGTTGCTGACGAGAGCATGATCGGCACAGTTCTGTTTTCGACAGGCGCGATGACTTCGCGCTTGGCAGGTCCATAACCTCACCGACCTGTTCTTTCCTTGTGAATGACAGACTCAGAGCATACCTGTTGTGCCTAGTAAAGGCTAAAATCGTGTCATGGTCGGCCGTGAAGTAAGGTATGCGAATTCTTGACCGCAAGTCGTCGCGCGTGAGAGCTCCAACGTCCGGCAAAACGGTCCTCTTCAACTGTCTGGAGATTTTCAAGGGGAAATTCAACATTCATCAGACAGTCCAGGACCACGAGTTTTGCGACGAAATACACATGCATCTGCACGTCGGCGAACGGTTTCGACACTTGTCTGCCTGGTGACCTCCTACCTTGGAGATCTTGCGTAACGTCGTGAGGCTTCAGCATATCGTCTCCCTTCACAACCATCTTTTTTCTTGGACACAGTCCATCTTCGATATCTGCGACTAGAAGCATATTCCGAGATGTGCCAATCATAATCTGGATCTGCGACTGAGGCGATGCTTGGTACCTGCAGGTCATTCACGTAGGCACCAATGAGGCAGCTGACCAGCCAACCACAAGACTCGTGCACCGGGTTACCAAAAACCGCCCTAACACCCATTGAAATATTCGAGCCTCACATGCGCCCCAGGCTGTTGCGGCGAAGCAAATCATCTCTGATTCACATGCGTGTGTCGGCTGGCTTCGTCATGTCGCATCTGGCTCGAGGAGTCATAATGGATGTTGGATCTCAAAACTCGAAACAGATAAGGGCAGGCCATCTCGCTGTTTCTCTGTTGGAATCTGGTCCGTTTACTTCACAAGATGGATAGCGAGATACACTACGACTTTACAGACACTTTGCCCGGCATGGAGCGATCAGATTCGGCATACACGAATCCCAAGAAGCCCGAATCAGAAGCCTCGACATATGAACCTCTGCCTGACCATCCAACGCGATTCCGTAACTTGGATCTCACAGATGTTTTGGAAGACTCGGTACAACTGCTCTGCACTCCAACATCTCGCAACTTCATTCTGGACTTTGGCGATGAGGAAGCATGGGTGACCTTTGATCAGCCGGCCGAGACAATCCATGCTTTGCTCGAAACGCCTCGTCCATCCACTCTTCACACGCGCTGGATCAACATCTGGTACCCTTTCTTGCAACGACCTCTTCTTGAGCTACTGGCCCAGCAGTATGACTTCTCGCCAAGACTGCTGGCTTTGATGGGCTCCGACCCCAGACGGATGAGACAGTACCCTTCTCAGCCTGTTGCTGTCGAAAGGAAGAAGGAAGAAATACTGAGACGCTCATTTGAAGATATCGAGAAGGGCTTGTCTTCATCGCCACCTCCTGCTACGGACACCAGCTCTCTCACCAGCTGCAACCCTGCACGTACTGGCAACCTGTACGACATAGTTGACGGCGTCTGGCATTACACCTCTCTCGACCAAGGCCGCAGCTACCTCTGTCTGGGCTTCAACAGTTTGTATAATGTGCATGCTGTCGAGACCGGATGCGGTGTTTCGGAAGAAAGTACCGGAACCAAGGATGCACCTTTGCCTCACATCAAGCGTGTCTGGACATGGCTCCTCGTCTGCGCAGATAAGACGGTCATTAGCATCAACGAAGATATCTACCCATACAGCGAAGGCCGGTTGTCGCATCCCCAGCATCTGGTCATGATGGAGACTCGTCGCAATCTCATCAATGTCTTCCGCTCGCTGTCCAAAGTTGAAGACAACCGGGAGGCAAACCCGCTTGTGCTCTTGCCCATCAGGAGAAGACTGGGCGACACGAAGGAAGAGACGGCACATCGCGACAAGGATGCGCCTGGTCTGTTGTTCTACTACCTCTTTGAGAACTGGTTTAATAGCTACTCTCTCATCACACGTAGAGAAAGCAGATACGGCATGGAGCTGGAGAAGCTGGTGAGTACCGCATAATTTCTCATCGATCTTATTCATCACTAACGTCAAACAGNNCAAAAAGAGATGTTCTCGGCACCAAAGCTGCACCACATTGACCTCCTGCATGGTATTGGCAACGAGCTCGGAGCACTCAAGCGACACTACAAGAGCTACATCAGACTCGTCGATCGAGTGACTGAGCCGCAGTCAAGCACCTTGGCATCAAGAAGTGGATCTCGTGTTCCCAGTAAAGCAAGCCAAGAGACGTTCGACAAGCTCGCCGTGCAAGGAGCACAATCGCTGATGGGAGTTGGACTGACCAGCGCCGCCATTGTTCGCTTCGAGCGGCTCAGAGACATGATCTCATTGTACGCTCTGGCAGAGTGCAAGGACTACCTGCATCAGAAAGATGGCTTGGTCCAGATGGTAAGTACTGCTTGTCGTCCTTGACACTCTTTTGGTTGCTAACATGACGGACAGAACTTCCAGCTCGTGGCCATGTCGCAGTCTGCCGGAGTGGATCGCCTTACGAGGGTGGCGCTGCTGATCAGCAAAGCGACTATTCTGTTCCTTCCACTGACCTTCCTCACCGAATACGTGTCGGCTGATCTCGGAGTGACATACTCGGTCAAGACGTACTGGATCGCATTCGCCGTCGTCCTGACGCTGAGCTGGATTCTCTTGATGGGCTTTGGTGTACTGAGCGGCACGATGGAAACCTGGAGTCTGTTCCCGCCACTGAAGAGAACTTTTGCCAAGGTCAAGAACTGGAAGAGGAAGAACGATTGAGAGGTGTGTGTCGAGGAGTGATTGACAGAGTGGAAGGTGACAGAAGAGAAGGACATAATCGCAACATAACAAGACAGGACAAAGACAGATTGCATGGTACAAGAGAAACAGGACAAAGACAGATATGGATAAACAGAAACATGCAAAAGAGAGGGGTATCATATAGTTGTATACAAACACATGGCTTTTTTTTTCCCCAGACGATCCGTGTTATAGGAATGCAGGAGTGGTTTGTTGCCGCCACTTGTCGAGCGCCTTCTCACCATCGTATTCATCATCAGAGCACCTTTCCCTGACCATGCCCCAAGTCCGGGAGCGCACGATACTCTCAACCATCAACTCACTCCGCACAAGTGCCGCCAAAGCTTCGGTCCTTACTTCCCTCGGGAAATAGCGACCACTATACGGATCCAATCTCTCATTCACGACTCTTTCTCTCGCCTTTGCATCTTCGACCTCTCTCAGCATGTGATCTGGATCGTCAGGGTCCGGAGAAGTCGCAACGCCACCACAGTATGCGAGGACATCGCTGCGGGCTTGCCATGAAGGGAACAGGACATTTTGCTTGAAGGATGTGCATGCAGGTGCGGGAATGGCGCGTTTGCCTGTGGGGCGAGAGACGGTATGCGATGTACTGTGCGGGTCCCATTTATCTTGACTCGGTGACAGTAAAGCGTTTAGGTTTTGGGAGATTGTGTCGTCGACGGCGCTGCGGGATAGGCGAAGAAAGTCNTGAGGGAGGGGTGTTAGAAGCCGGGGAATAAGAGTATCTCTGAGAAGCATACCTTGAAGAGCGGTCCTGTTGAAGCAGAAGGAGGGAGTGAGTTTGGGGGCGGGCGTCGTGGTAGGAGACGCCATGATGGGTGGTCGCACAGGAGGGGATGGGGCAGGAGTAGGAGGTGTCGATGTCCAGAAGTAGCCAGCCAGTTTGAAAGTGTCTTTGAGATTCGCCTTGTGCAGTGAACATGTTGGTGAAGTCCTTCCTGTCCAGATTGATGCATCACCAGATTCGGAGTTAAGCAAATACCGCCGTCAGCGTCATCGAAAAGCAATTTGGCGCGTGTCTTTGGCAGGCGCGCGTGCGTGTCACGTCTCGCGAGCTATCGGTACCTGTGCCTACCGCTTATTCTGCCTCAATCTTCTGCCCCTCCACTGCCGCCTTCGTTGTGTGCTCGATGCGGCCATCCTCTAATACCTTACGTTCATTCGATCTTTTAAAGTCCTTGTCTTTGCGCCGTTCGATTCACCCACAATCCACCAGCTACCGCCCTCAGCTGTGCTTCAGGATGCCTCCCAAGCAGCAGGCCACTCTCGGGTATGTCAAGAGCCCGCAGACGACACTGGGGTGTGCAGCTCTCTCGAGATGATGGATGCCACTCCGCGACAACAGCTGACATGTGCAACAGTAACTTCTTCGGAAAACCCAATGGTTCCAAACCCGCCNCCCAACAATCGAAACTCTCTTTTGCGACAAAACCAAAGCCCGAACCCAAGAAACTCAAACATGAGGNNGAAGAACATGAGGCACAAGAAGGTCCGTCTGACAACAAGGCTGCTGCCAAGCAAGAAGACGTAGAGGACGCAAAGGAAGAAACTAAGGATGATGTCGCACCTTCTGAGNCCGACCAAGACGACGAAAAAGAGGGCCGCTGTGAAGAAAGAGGAAGAGGAAGAAGCTGGCGCTTCAGAAGAAGAGCCCCTACCAAGAGACAACGCAAGAAGCCCACCACATCCGCAAGCCCCAAGAAGCCGAAACAGGAGCCCGTGTCAGATGTCGAAGAGCCCGTCAAGAAAACCAAGGCAGCACCCAAAAAGCCTGCAGCAAAGCCGCCAACACCCGCCAAGGTCGAGGAAGAGGATGTGGCAATGCAAGATGGTTCTGAGAGCGACCTCCAGTCAGAGGCCGAGGACGTCGAGTCGGACGAGGAAGAACAGCCCGAGAAGGCGGCAAAGGCTCGCGAGAAGGTCCAGAGCACGTTCAAGTCAAACACAAAAGACCCTTACCCCGATTGGAAGGCTGGCGACCCTGTACCATACGCTGCTCTCTGTACCACTTTCTCCAAGATCGAGATGACGACAAAACGTTTGGAGATTATGGCGCATTGTTCCTTGTTCCTCAGACAGGTCCTCCGACTCACACCTCAAGATCTACAACCTACCGTTCTACTCATGCTTGGTAAGCTTGCTGCAGACTATGCTGGTATCGAACTGGGCATCGGTGAGAGTCTTATCATGAAGGCGATAGGCGAATCAACAGGCCGATCGCTCAAAATCATCAAAGAGGACCAGCAGAAAATTGGTGACCTGGGCCTTGTCGCAGCAAAGAGCAAGGGCAGTCAACCCACCATGTTCAAGCCGAAGCCCCTGACTGTTCGTGGCGTACACGAGCAGTTGATGACCATCGCCAAGATTGAGGGATCTGGTGGTCAAGGTCGCAAGGTCTCTGGTATTCACAAGCTACTCTCTGCCGCTGATGCGAACCTACCCAAAGGCAAGGGAGTCGACATTGAAGAGAACAAGGGTGGACCCAGCGAAGCAAAGTTCATCGTCCGCACACTCGAAGGCAAGATGCGTCTGGGTCTAGCAGACAAGACGGTTTTAGTCTCACTAGCTCAAGCTATGACTTATCACGATATCATGACCAAGACAAACAAGGCGCCCAACACCGAGCAGCTGGAGAAGGGTGAACGCGTTTTGAAGAACGTTTACAAGTATGTGCCATGTGTTGTCTCAGTCTATGGGCCATGAAGCTAACCCCTGGACAGTGAACTTCCCAGCTACGAGGTCATCATTCCCGCATATCTCGAGAACGGTGTCTTTGACTTGCACGATGCATGCAAGCTCCAGCCCGGTGTTCCCCTCAAGCCTATGTTGGCGAAGCCCACCAAGTCAATCACCGAAGTGCTGGATCGATTCGAAGGCAAAGACTTTACATGCGAGTACAAGTACGACGGAGAAAGAGCACAGATTCACTTCGTTGCTCATGATGCCGATGTGACTTATGCCACTGCTGCTCCCAGTGCTGGCAACTCGGCCAAGGGTGTTTCCAACATTTTCTCGAGAAATAGCGAAGACCTGTCCAAGAAGTACCCAGATATTCTTGCCAAACTGCCCACTTGGGTCAAGGATGGCACCAAGAGTTTCGTTCTGGATTGTGAGACTGTCGCCTGGGACGTGGATGAGAAGAAGGTTTTGCCTTTCCAGCAGCTCATGACGAGGAAGCGCAAGGATGTCAAGACCGAGGATATCAAGGTCAAAGTCTGCGTCTTTGCTTTCGATCTGCTGTTCCTGAATGGCGAGGCTCTTGTCAACCAATCCTTCCGCGATCGCAGAGCCAAGTTGTACGAAGCGTTCAAGGAGATTGAGGGCGAATTCGCCTTTGCTCAGTACGGAAACACGAATGAGCTCGACGCAATTCAAGTTTTGCTCGAGGACTCGATCAAGGCTTCTTGCGAGGGTCTGATGGTGAAGATGTTGGATGGTCCCGAGTCTTACTATGAACCTTCGCGCCGCTCACAGAACTGGCTGAAGGTCAAGAAAGACTACCTCGCTGGTGCAGGTGATTCGCTAGATCTGGTCGTGCTCGGTGCGTACTATGGCAGAGGAAAGAGAACAAACGTCTATGGCGCTTTCCTTCTCGCATGCTACAACAACTCATCACAGCAATACGAAACCGTCTGCAACATTGGTACTGGATTCTCAGAAGCTCTTCTCGAATCGCTACACGAAACCCTCTCACCATTGGTCATCGACCGTCCCAAGCCCTTCTACAGCCACTCGGCCGGCAACAAAGACCAGCCCGATGTTTGGTTCGAGCCTCGCCTGGTCTGGGAAGTGAAGACTGCTGATCTGACGCTCTCGCCTCGCTACAAGGCTGCCGCTGATGCGCTGAACGACCCCAGCGGCAAGGGTGTCAGTCTACGTTTCCCGAGATACATTCGCGATCGCGATGACAAGAAGCCTGATGATGCCACTACGGCCAGACAGGTTGCTGAGATGTACAGGAAGCAGGAGTCTGTGGGTAAAAACAAGGGCCCTTCTGTTGACGATGACTTTGAGTATTAGATATGGAAGGATATGCATTGTGGAGTTTGTCTTTGGGAAATTGCTATGGCTGCTGGGTTGTGGGATGATTCTTTCTCGTTTCGATTGCATGTTTCTCTTTTGCTCTGTAACATTAGTTATCAGCTGAGGTCGACTCGCAAATCCATTAGTGTACTACATGTGCAGTGTCATATGATTGAATACTGGGGGATAAAGTATTTCTTGTATAGTGGTTGAGGTATGATATCAAGCAGTAGTTGATGGCATCGAGTATGCATCAGAGGGAATGCCATCACTACTTTCCACGTTCCAAACATGAATGGCAATCCCCAGACCTGCTTCGGGTCGCGGAACAAGACCGCGCGAAGCCAACGCCGGCGCGACTCTGTCCATCGACTTTTTTTCTTTGCCAAGGACTTTTCAAGGAAAGCGCTTTCTGCGACAAGCTACCTAGGTATCTAACCAAACATCGCTGCGGATATCGACCCTCTACGAGACCGAACACATCTGTCCTCCTCAACATCATCGTCACCACACGTCTCGGTTCCTTCACACACACACACCACCGCACAAGATGGCGCAATCAGCAGCGCCCAACAACCCTTTCATCAAGCAACTAGTCCACAATGGTATACACTCTGTCCAACCTTCCTTCTTCTTGTCACCCACGGTCTCTAACACGCTTCCTTCCATAGACCGTCAAGTCCGCGACAAAGCCGTAGCCTCGCTACGCACATTTCTCTCCCGCAGCACCCCCTTCACCTCGCTCGACTTTTTGAAACTCTGGAAAGGCCTCTTCTACTGCATGTGGTCCTGCGACAAACCCGCCCCTCAACGCCGCCTCGCCCTCGACTTGTCGGCTCTAGTGTCCCTCCTCTCCACACGCGCGAATTTCATCGGCTTCATGCGCGCCTTTTGGCAGACCATCGCAAGAGAATACACGGGCATCGATTCCCTCCGCATGGACAAGTTTCTGTTCATGATAAGAAGTTTTGTCAATGCTGGATTTGCCTATTGCGCAAAGAACAACTGGAAAGATGTGGATACTAAAAAGGAGTATTTGGAGTTGTTGAGGGAGGTTCCCTTGAATCCGAGGGATCCCAAGGTGCCGAACGGATTGAAGTATCATGTTATTGATGTCTATGTCGATGAGTTGGAAAAAGTGGGGGATGACAAGGCGCCGTATGAAGAGGTTATGGCTCCGTTGGTTGAGCTGGGGGAGAAGGCTGTGCTTAAGAGTGTGAGGAAGAAGGTTGACGAGGCTTTGGACGATGGAAGAGTGAAGGCGTGGTTGGGTATTGAGGAGGATGATGAGGAGTTGAGCGAGGCCGAGGAAGAGGTTGACGATGACGAAGATGAGGATGAAGAGTTTGGCGGCTTTGACGATTGAGGCCTATCGGCATCTTGACTCTGCCAGTCGATCTCGTGGCACTGCCCGGCGCTGAACAAGAGCTCGACGCCCACCGCTGCTCATCCGCCGCTCGTATGCAGATGCTCCCGTCTATCATCTACAGAAGAGCAATGCAGGCTCTCAACACAACACTCCGGCACAGCCACAAGACACATTTCTTACAGGCATACAAGCAAGGCGTAAGGCGTTCACGGAAAAGCATAGGGAAAAGGAAAAAGATGATTTGCATGCGGGCTGAATATCACAACGGGTCCTTTGAAGCTCAGGAAAATCAATACCCACAAATGTCCTCCATACACGAGGCTCTCCGACCTTCTCCATTTCACTCCCGAGTCCGTGCTGTCATCAAGTCGTTGCACCACATCTTTCAGCCATCAAGAGCAACTAACAGGTCAGTGGGAACTTTGTGCTGCGATCAACGTTCATGACGCCCCAATGAGTCTCATCACCAGCAGATCCGCTATCACCGATAGCGTGAGGCTTCCAAGGCTCGTCGAATGCCTCGAAGACGAAGACATTGACACCCCATGAGATCATTCCGCAGACGGCATCGTCGAAGTATGTTTGTGCGTTCTTCGTGCCTGCGATGGCAGCGCCATAGTTGGATCCTCCTNNGGAAGAAGGTCAGTATCTATGTCACAGAAAGAACATCGACGACTTACCATCAGTAGGCCAACCAGTCTCGCCAACCCAGAATTCGATTGCATTAAGAGAGCCCGAGACACTCTGGATATGACCAAGAGCTTGTTGGGTATCGTCAAAGAAAGTGTAGGTGGCATTGGAGATAGGCGATGCTTGCCAGTATGCAAAGCCATTAGCCAGCAAAAANTCGACTCCTCCCTTGATGACAGCATCGGCCGTGCCATCCGCAAACTTGTTCCAGCTGTCTGCTGTGCCGACCTTGACGCCTTGAGGCAGCACTGATCTAACATCATTGATCTTTTCCAGCAGCTGAGGGCCTGTGAAGGTCTTGCGGTAGAGTGTCTCCGAGCCGATTGTCACGCCATAGACCTGATCGCGGTATTGAGGAACATATGTCTGCAGGGCCTGCTTGTCGGCTTGGAGGCTCTGATCCACATCAGGCCAGACACCCAGAACGACTCTGAAGCCCTTGGACTTTGCGGCAGGCAAGATCTGTTGAGCTGTGTTGCAGTCACTGGCGGCATAGATTCGTACGATGGTGCTGCCAGAGTTGCTCTTGATGGCATCGAAGTCGGCTTCGTAGTCAGCCTGGAACTTGCATGATCCGTCNGCCCTTTTGTCGCCCAGTGCGAAGCCCAATGTGCCTGCAGAGGATACCAGAAGAGGAGAGAAGGCCAGGACGAGGCCTGTGATGAGGGTTGTTGTGCGCATGTTTGATTTGGCGATGATCCAGGTAAACAGGTTTTTGTCGAAGCAAAGGGATGATCTGACAGGAAGTAGATATAAGGAGCAGAACCCACACGGATCCACGGCGCAAAGAAAGAGACACCAAGGAGTGACAAGGAGGTCAGCAGCAGGAAGCTATAGATGAGACGACGAGAGTGATTGGAAGTTTCAGAGATCAGAAGCAAGCAGACACAAAGAAACCATTTCAAGACAGGCAGTCACTACAAATCGGGAAGGGTCCAATCACTTACCGCAGCCAAGCATTCTTTGGTGCTACTTCCTGGATTGCTGCATTGCAAACACGCATGACCATGACGCCTGGAATAAATCTCTGTGCTTCCATCGCACAGGGTGGCTGACTTGTTGCACAACACGGTCGTATACCAAGCACACAAGATTTAGACTCAAGCATCAATTTATTCTCTCCCCACATCAAAGATCTCCAGATCTTGGATCTGTTGCAAGTAGATGTAGACCTTTGATGAGATCGTTGGATACGAACGAACAGTGTGATGGAGGATATGAAGGCACCTGCTGAAGAACGTGAAGTCGGAGATGTCCATGTTTATTCAGCTCTCAGCTGACCGAAGGCGTTCAATCGCAGGAAATTAGCTGATACAGATCGACGATCAACTCGAAGAGGCAGAGACGGGGACACAAATTTGTTTAGTGTAGAATCATGTATTCATTCGAAAGTTTTCAGTAAAAGAAGAAGAAAAAAGGCCCAGTCAGAAAAGCCTGTACTAGAGCCGCTCCATACAGAAAGTGCCATAGGAGTACAAGAAGAAGTTGTAGAAAGAAAAAAGGTTGTCAAAACGGCAACCGAATCATCGGCACCTGGTATCGTCAAGAAGCGAATGAAGAAGAAGAGAAATGTTCAAGAAAATCGAGAAGTTGAAAAAGTCAACTGTCTCGTTGGGAGGAGAGGAGGAGTGATTGGGAGATTTCATCCCAATGTCCTCATCACTCCATGTTCGATTGGATGTTCAAGAGGAACATGTGCAACCGTTAAGAAAGCCCGCCCAACCGTCGGGGACCGTTGCGCGCGACAGTCGGGGATGAAACGCCAACGTGGCTGTTGTTGTTGCGTCGCGTCATGGCAAAATTTTGGTAAAAGGAAAAGGGCGTTGATCATTAGAGTTTGGTTGATGTTGATGTGTTGACTGTGATTGTTGTTCACAGGCGGCCGAAGAGGACATCCTCGAAGCCTCCCACGGCGGTGCCTGCAAANGGACGAGGCTCAATCAAGCTGAGAAGCTCTTCCGGGGTCTCGATCTTCTCCTCTTCTTGCTCGAGTTCTAGTTGACTGGGGCTGCGTCGGATGCTGAAGTTGCCGATTGAGTATGATGATACTGAGGAGACAAGTTGGCTGAAGCGGCTGCCAGTTGATGATCTGCTGACAGTCCAGCAGCTGTCCGAGTTCTCTGAGACAGGCGAGAGAGGAGCATTGGGAATGTGAGTTTGGGAAGACGAGAAGACAGTCTTGAGACGGCGAATAGAGCCGGATGCAATGTTGCGGTTGGAGCGAGAAGGCATTGTGATGTTGTTGTGGTGATGTTGATCTGGAAGATGCTGCAAGAAGAGATGCCGAGAAGGATGCTTTGTAGTAGTAGTAGTGATTGTGGAATTGCTTTTGCAAGGCAAGGTGCAGTTAAAGAATGTGGTTGTATGAGCTGCTGAACCAAAGGAGTGGATATGCTGTTTGAAGATCCCAACCTCGTCGACACGCTGGACTCTTAAGTACTACGCGACTGTCGTTGCAAAGGAGGTAGGCTTGGGCAAGGAGTAAATATCGATTCTAACGGTAGCCCCGGGAAGACCAAGTGCAAAAAGTATGTAAGGAAAGCACAACGATCGCGGATTCCAGCCGCTGCAGCAACGTTGCAAAGGAATGTAAATATAGAGACGCGCAGCGTGCAGAGAATAAAGAAAGAAGGACACCGACAGAGAAGAAGAAGAAGAAGAAGAGAGCAATGAGTTCGCAGTCATATACTACAGTACCATACGTTTCGCCATACATCTTGCTCACAGTATGATCGACCAGACGAAGTTTCAGAGAGATGCCTCGCGAATGTCGTTGGTGTTGCAAGTAGAGTTCGGTAGGGATGTCGCGATGTCCCCACATTTTTGCCCACCAGTCTCGCCAAAGCTCGCGCCCGCCTCGCGAACAAGTCCTTCGCACGACCCCTGACTGTCAACCAGACCCACCAAGGCGTCCCCCTTTCCCCAACCGTTTGACCGTTGCTTTCCTGATATGAACAAGAACCTGTCCATAAAGGACCTTAACTCAAGAATTTCTTGCAGTAGCTTCGCTATGGCGCATGAGTTCGCAGTAGGCATTCCATATTCGCAAAAATGCACCAAGCTTTTTACCCACTTATCCAGGTCTCTGGGATACTGGACTCACAGAGGCAAGCAGAGCACAGGCAGTCGAATTGACCAACTCTTCTTTTGGTCCACCGCTATATGTACAGGGCTGTCAATTTGAGTCAGCCTCACACGTTGCTCAGCTACATTGTTTCTCTTGTGGTTGTGCGAGTCTGCGTGGACGAACAGCGTGTGGAACGTTGCGCCAAGGAACATGCCAGGTCTCAGCTTGACACGCCCTGTCAGTTGCTCCTGCCGTTTCTCAGGTCCCTGACCTTATCTTCAGAAGATGTTCAGGGCCATCGCATCCTCCAAACCCTGGCCTGGGTAGATCGACAAGATTGCCTTCTCTCTCACCTTTCAAGGGAGTCTCGAAGATCCTAAGTCCCACTTGTTTTCCCACCACCTCTTGTGTCTGGCCTGCACATCATTGCCTCCTTCGAGATGGTCTCCCCGTACGCCGACCCACCGGTGTGAAGGAGCCAACCGACGCGACAGACGTTGCAAAGGTTCGTGTTTTCTGTTTGCTTGTCCACAAAACACCATCCTTGAGCGATTGAGCCGAGATTGCGATATCAACTGTGCAAACAGTCGGACGGTATGAGTATGCTCATGTGCTGAGGCGAAGCACACTAGGTTACGTGTTCACAGCTGCCGTCTGTCCGTCGACAGTACGAAGTACAATGCAGGAGGTCATGGTATCCTCACGTGGTTTGAGTACGACTTTCTTGATCCAATGACTGGGGGTCGTTGTGTTGCTTTCTGCTCGACTTCAATCATCATCCCACGGTGATCTGCTCAAGAGTCAGAAGGCCAGCCCATATGATCTCACTAGTTCTCTATGACATAGACCGGCAGTCCCTCACCAACTCGTGACCGGCGACTCCGCCTCGCAGACCTAACGTTGAGCGTCCAACAGCAGCTGGGCTTGAAGACCGGACGCCCAGCTGTCCGTTTCAGCCGCCTCAAGTCTTGTCTCCAGCCCACACCATGACCGCCGTTCTCAAACGGCACGACTCATGATGATGCCGCTGCGCTCGCCTCGACTTGTTGCTGCTGATCTTTGAAGCCTTGGAAGTACTGCGCCATGCGTTAGCTGTGACAAAACACGTTGGGCTTGTCATGCGTATGCATACCTTTNCGACGGAATGCGTTGAGATCATCTGCCGTCACTCCGATTGCCTCTTCACGCTTCTCACGGTTTCGAAGTGCTTCCTGGTCCACTTGAGCTTCTGGAACGCGGCGGTAAGTAATGAGTCTGCGGGCCCCTGCGATAATAGTCAGCGTCATTGAGCTTTACATCATAGTCCCGAGGCTGGACGTACATCTGTTGAATTGCTGGACCGACATGGCTACCAGCTGCATCGCAGGGTGGCTGGGGATTGGGATCTCCATATCCTCATCGTTAGCCACTGGCATCCACATACTGAGTCTGCCATCATCCACCATGTGAGTATAACCAAAGTCAAGTATGTCATCCATCATTGCGTCAAAGCTGTAAGCCTTCTTCGGTGGGATGTAGCCTGGCGCCAGATGTGCTGGGACACCGCTCTTGAGCAGAACCTCTTTCTGCAAATCTTCTCTTGTGCTTCCGAGCACTCTCAGACCCTCCCGAACACCGTACGGAGGATCGCAGACAATGCCATCAAGCCATCTTGTCTTCCTGATCGGCGTGTTTGTCAAATCACTCACAAACATATCCAGATACTGAGGCACCAGCCCGTACTGCACAAAATTGCTCATGACGTTCCGATCCGGCTTGCCACGAATACTGCGCGGATCGATATCACTGCCGACCACAGTGGCACCAAAGTGTGCACATGCGATCGGGAAACTTCCAGTTCCAGTGAAAGGATCGTAGAAGATCTTTCCAGGAGCTGCCAAAGCCATGTTTGCAGTGATCAAAGCCAGTTGCGAGTCCATCGATGTCGTGCTGATGTATTTGCGCTTCTTGAGATCGTATTTGTTCATCACTGACCTTCCACTCTCGCCAATCAGACGACCCAGTGCCACTCGCTTGGGATCCTTGGCCTCGAGATCATACTCCTCAAGCACAACCATGGGAAGATCCGGATTCTTCATCCGGATGGGGCCCTCAAAAGCCATGTAAGAGAATGACTCGACGATATCTCTCTTCTCCGTGTTTGTGCGCTTAGCTTGAAAACTGTCGATCTGAAAACTGAAAGATGCGTTTTCCTTGTATTGAGGCCAGAGGTGCTGTGACCGCTTCTTTACGTCTGTGTGACACTCGTCGTAGCTGTCGCCGATTCCCCAAAGCTCGTAGACCGCGCCAGTCAACATGGATCGAGAGATGAGCTTTGCTGCATCTTCGTCCGAGGAGATTTTTGCAATGCAGAATGGTGACTGGNNATATACACAATTAGCCTTGAAATTATCCAAATGTGAAACTTCACCAGCAACTTCTGAGCGAGCCTTGGAGGAAACCGCTCGGGACTTTTCACTCTCCAAACACGGCCTCTTTTGTGACGTGAAGAAATGGAATTAGTGTCTCCATACCTGATCTGAATATTCCAGAATTTCCAACTCTACATTGTGCAATACAGCTAGAGCTTCCAACTCAGGCCGACGAAACGTCTCATGCATCTGCGCAAGTCGGATGAGATACTCCATGTTGCCCATTTGATCCCCTAGGTTTTTTTCTTTCCAGTCGAGACCAACTTCTTTTCCTTATTCCTGCGGTGCGGCAGAAAACTCAGTTGTGTCTAATGTAGACGTCCAGTACTTTGTTTGATCCCGATGTCACGATCTAGATTCCAATGATTCGATTTAGTGGTAGTATGGTGATAAGGGGGTGATAGATGTCGTGCAATGGATTACATCGAAAAATGCTCAGGCAGTTTGCAAGAAAGGTCAAAAGTTCGCTCCGGCTAAAACTGCCGATTGCCCATCAGTTTGCCCTTGGCATATGCTCGAGACAGGGTTGTACCACAAGCAACATTCCAAGAAGTCACATACGACACCAGGCAAGTTCCAATGACTTTTTGCATGAAACTACAGTCTAACGACTCGATCATACCGACTTAGATATATAGTGTCCTCATAGGACGTGTATCATCATAACCGACCACATCATACACGAATTTCCAGTTTTGACGGGTGGCTTCATTTGAGCAGCGATGCCAACGTTGCTCTCGTGTTGCACACTCGATGCCATCAATAATCTCATGATACATATCGACCTTTGCCTACAAAACACTTTTTGCCTGTGGTACTCTTAGAGTCTGAGATATTTCCTCTCATCTTTGAGCCCGAAGCTACCAGAACCCTGCACATTGACTCGGCCTCTGATGCTCCTTTGCGACTATGGGTTCAATTGAATGACGACAAACTCGAATGTGATTTGAAAAGGACCTGCTGTGCTATCATATACCGAAGTAACATACTGTTCTTGAGCCAGCCGTGGTTCGTGTTTCGCAACGCAGAAAGAAAGAGAAAAAGAAAAGCACGTCCTCCGTTCGTGAGCTATTGCTTGCTCCAATCAAGACCAGAGCCTCGATGCCTCGAGCACTCTACTCGGTCTTCGCCTTGGGTACTCCTGCCGTCTTCGCCTCGAGTACTCTCTTAGGTTGCAGAGATGCCATCCCCACTTTGCTGAGAAGCGTTGACAGACCAGATCGCCCTCCCAACCTTTCACATCGTGAAGTCAGCTCGAACCCGGATCCTTTTCGAATTGATGCTTTATCACATCCAAAGCTTTCCTCTGCAGTTATCAGCGCCGCAGAAGCACTTCACGAAAGTGCCGCTTTCACCAGCATCATTGGTTTGACCAGCCTCTCTCTCTTCAACATCGTTGTAGTCGAAAGTCAACTCTGTTCCAGCAGGGATGTTTTCGAGCGCAAAGAAGGCCAGGTCGTAGATTCGACGATCGAATCTGTTGTAACTGACCGTGAATAGACGGCAGTTCGGGTCACAGCTATGGTTGATGAAACGCGTCGGTCCTCCCATCTTTTCTCCGTCAGCGATGTAACAATCGCTTCTACGAAGCCCTTGCTGATCATCGTCCTCAACGTACTTGTCAAGAGTGAACAAGTACGAAGCTTTGTCGAAGATGCCAGAAGCTTCCCGTGCGCTGGCCTCGGCGTCTGTGATGAGCTCACCAAGGTATCGGTCAATGTATTGGCCACGTTTGAGGTCGACAGGACAGCGAAGACCGAACCCTCGTTTTGAGGTTCTGAAGATTTGGAGAGGAATCGTCCTGCTTTTCTGGACCAATCTGTTCTTGCAGTTCTTGCCGCAATTGCAGAGCTCGTTGCACTCGTAGATGGGGTTTCTGCTTTCCAGATAGAACGAGTCGAGCACAAACATCTTGTTGATGGGGTCGACCCTGTAAGGGAAGCGCTTGGGTAGACCGTCAGAGTCTTCCTCACCTCTCTCCCATGCTTCGTATTGCTCCCTCTGTCCATCGTCTTTGCAACGACTGAGATCAGGAACGGCAAACTCCAGACAGTCGCATTTGGCGGTATATTCGCATCCACGGTTACCACCCATGTCGGGACGGCATCTTTTGCATCCCATCTTCACCGCGTCGGCGTCATCTCTCGAGACGCCCTCGCCAAGGACGTAGTCCTGGATGTACTTGAAGCCGAGAGTTGGTGTCTCCTTGTTTTTNTCGTTGACAAAAGTGACCGGAGGACCAGGAATAAGGGCTAGTTGTTCCAGAAACTGCCTACGCAGGAACTTGCGACCTTGTTTGACTCCGTCGGCAAGGTGAGCTTTGGCGGCTGAGAGCATTTCTGGTGTTGGAACAGTGGTGGCGTCGATGATCTTGACATTTCTCGATGTCATAGAATGAGGGTAAATGTCTCCTGACTTCTTAAGAAGGACACCATTCCAAACCTCGAGGGGCTGGGATGAGATTGTCGAGGAAAAAGATGTGGAGGTGTCGAGGGACGATGCGCGACTGGGAGTTTCCTTATCGTGAGAACTCTTACGCTTGAGTGATGAGACTTCAGATGGCAGTTTTAGTGAAGCATTGCCGTATCCATGCTTGATGCTAAAGTCGAGTGAGCGACATGAAAGGCATAAGAGATGTATAATGTAGTGGAAAATACCTCGAAACAAAGTTGCTGATATATTCTTGCAGTAAGTCTGCAATGGGGACCAGTTCCTCGAGATCGTGCCACGAAAGCACAGCTTGAGATGGAATGTCATTTCTCCACCTGATCAAATATTGCTCAAGCTAAGAGTGGTCAGCTATTTGAGCATCGGGCGTCGAACGTCGGGCGTCGGCGGAAGGACAGGGTCACTTACTCCTGCCTCATCAACGCGATGAGCGCATATCGCATCGACCTGTTCCCTTCGGTTAGCGACACGAATTTAGGAAGGTGCCGTCTGTATGAAGGATAGTGAACACAAGTAGAGGCGCACGAAATGGCGCGTGCAGGTACGCGTAGAAAAGCGATGTCAGAGTAGTTAAGAAACCACGTACCAGTGACTTTTTAACAAGATGGCTTACGGCCGGGCGACGCGGCATCTTGTTTGCGCACATAAATACTGTTTGCTAGGTTTAGCTATGTTAGCTACTTAATGGAAATAAAGGCGCAAGTAGAACAAGTAAAAGGAGGGCGTGTTATACATATGGCGCCATAGCATAATATGCCTAAGCTATATGGATTTAGTATAGTATACGGAAGTTAGTGCTTACCTAGTAAGAAACTAGTGTTCTAAGGCCCTTAAATGCCTTTAAAGCAAAAAAACAGTTAAAAGAGTAAAAGGTAAGCTATTTAGTAGAACTAAAGAGTAAAAGCACGGTGTTAAAGCATAAGCGCTAGCTTAGAATTGCATATACTGCCAAGCCTGTTAAGTAACAATTAGCCAGATTTAGCCGGATATACTATAGTTACCTAAGTAGGTTAGAGTATAAAAATCTTTCTACTAGAAAGTAAACTAGTACTACTATATAGTTAGTTATAATTAAGTTAAAAAGAAATATTTTTATAAGATATTAAGCTATAAATAATAAAGACATACTATATAAGACTTTTAAGAATTCTAGGTCTATTTATTAGGAATAGCTATATAAGACAAACTAAACAGATCTTTACTACTACTAGCATTTTCTTTCCATTGCGTATCTTAAAAAAGCTTAAATGATTTGGATATGGAGTAATGTACGTACGCTGACGGCTACATTGTAAGAGAGAGAAGAGAGCGCCGGTTCGATGCATAATACCGCTACCTGTAACCTGTTGGCAAGATTCATGATAGCCCCTAAACTTTTCCAAACGCCTCGCTAATCGATAGTAGTGGATGGATCAAGCATTTGTTTTCAAGCCACCATCCTGCACATTCTGCGCTTCCGCAACAGGATCCTTCTCCTTTTCAGCTTCTAATGTGCGATGGCCCTCTACGGCAGAGCCTGCAACACGCTCCTTCTCATCATCATCGTCGTCAGGTTCATCCTCGTCAATATCTTGGAGGCCATCCTGACCGCTTCCCTTGCTCTTTGCGAATTCTTCACGATGCTGTGGTACGTAGGCAATGACTCTTCTCTTGTCAAACCAACGGCCGTTGAAGGCTTCGGCACAGAGGGCAGCCGCATCTGCTTCCTTGAAGCGTACAGTGACGACGCCTTGGGGCTCGAGGTCATATAGAACAGTGTTGGTGACTTCGCCATATTTTGAGGCTTCGTCGCGAATGTCGGCTTTGATCTCGATCAGAGCGCCAGCATCTTCCTCTAGTTCATCCAGGGTGAACATGTGCTTAAGGACGACGAGCTTGGCGTACTTGGAAGGGTTCGGCGGAGGAGCGACAACACTCGGGTCATCATCGTCCCAGTCTGCTAGACGGNNCTGTGTGATATTAGCGCAATGCTCATGCATCGGGTGAGTTTCTGGAAGGACTCACGCGTTCATCTGTTTTGTCTTCTCAATGGCCAGATAGCGGTCTTGTTTGGGGCGCCTCTTCTTGATATTCTCAACCGACACTTCCTTCTGCTCTTTTTGATCCTTTGAGTCCTTGTTTCTGTTCGAGTAGGAGTCATCGACCAATTCGACGTGGAGGTCTCCGTCTCCAGGCTTGCGAAAGTCGGTACCGTCCAGCATGGTAATGGCCAAACTGACACTCTGGGGCTTGAAGTATATGACCTTCGCCTCGCCCTTAAAGTTGCCTTCTTCGTCGGCGTACATACGAATCTTGGGTAGGTTGGTATGAATGTCCTCCTCAATGATGCCGTATTTCTTGAAGACGTCGTGGATGTCGTCGATGCTGGCGTCGAGGGGAACGCCTGTAACGTAGACGGCGCTATTGGGACGATCGATCTTGGGCTTCTTGTCCTGCTTGGTGGCCTTGATGTCTGCCTTGCGCTTCTTGCTGTCGATTGCCGGCGCAGATTCGTCAACGTCCTTCATGGCGTAGATGGATGCTTGCTGCTGCATGAGAGCCTCGTCGACCGAAGGCACCCACTTCTCGAACTGTGTATTCCATTCGTATTCGTCGCCATTGTCCTCTTCGAGAACCCATTTGTTGCTGAGCTTGTCGAATGAAACGCGTACGTCGTTCTTGAACTCCTCTTCGGTGGTGGGGAAGACGACGCGCACAGCCGATAGTCCGTCGTTGGGTGGTGGTACTCCACGCGACGGAGCCTGCGATTCTGCCATCTCTGTATGTGTGATAGTGGTATGCGGGTATCGATAGTAGCTTTTTGAGAAGTCCACAAACGGGAGNGCTTCGGCGCCGTCACTTTTGTCATGCGTCATGTGGGGAGAGCTTGGACCGCCCGTGTCGGGCCCGATCGACAGCCGGTGCTCTACTTCATGTCTATCTTCCTCACCTTCAGTCAAAGAAACATCGAGACACTCCCCTCTTTGAAGAGTTCTACGTCTTCTGGAAAGTAGTGTGTATTAGTACTGTTACACGTGATTCAGCCCTTCCATGAACGACACGCTGTCACCAAAGCTGTCCTCACATCACGCTACATCCACACATCCATGCCGCTCCCTCCTACACAAAGCCCAAACCTCTTAATCCTGCATCCCGCTTGATTAAACACGCCATTGTGCTGTTGCAACTATAGTCTCTATTGGAACAAGGAAGGTTATTGCTATTGAAGGCGGACAATGCTTTATCTACGGGGATGGCAACATTCCACAGCAGTCCACCACCATGTCGACAAAAGGGAATGGAAATAGATAAGCCAGTTGGTAGTATCGATGTTTTCAGACTCGACGCAATAGAGCTTTTCTTAAGTATGGTAGACGACTGCATGCGTGAGCCGCATCTCCCTCTATTCACTCCTTCAAGCCTATCCATCGCTTCTTTGTCACATACTCTGAAAAATCCTTTGGGATAAGACGTCACCTTGTATCGATCAACTGTTTTCTGCTCGGAACTTGTTCTTTCACCCGTGCGAACTTGTGTTTTTGGAATCCCTCACTCGGCGTCGGCTAACAGACGCGCGAGTGACGACGGCATCGACTTTCACAACGCGCAAAGATTCTCGGAAACATCAAAGGAAACATCGACAAGTGCGCACTTCCAAAACAAAGATTTCGTGGCCAATGAGACACTGACGTTCAATGGCAGAATCGGAACCGCATTATCACCAGCCTTCCTACCTCATCATGAGTGGCACCGGCCCTGGCGAGTCGGACACCAACTATGTTCCTCTAGTTCCTTACAATGGAACTACTGCCACTGGCGGTGACTCGCTGAAGGACAATCTGAATGTCTTCTACGAGGTGCGCAGCTATGCGAAGCCGTATATTTAGATCGTAGCTGACACCCACCAACCCAGANGCGGTGACATTGGCTACATGATTCTCTGTACCGCCTTGGTCTTCCTGATGATCCCAGGTGTAGGGTACGTTTATGCTCCAGCGTCCAGTACAGAATGCTGACACAACGGCAGATTCTTCTACTCTGGGCTTGCAAGACGCAAGTCGGCCCTATCTCTCATTTGGCTCTCGATCATGGCCACCGCCGTCGTCTCATTCCAGTGGTTCTTCTGGGGCTACTCGCTTGCTTTCTCCCACCAAGCCGGCAAGTTCATCGGCGCCCTTGACAACTTCGGCTTCATGAATGTGCTTGCTCAGCCCTCGGTGGGTAGCTCGAGAATCCCGGATCTCCTGTATGCAGTGTACCAGGGAATGTTTGCAGCCATTACGTGAGTCCACTCGCCATTAACAAGTGTTGAATGAGGCGAGATACTGACCAGTGCAGTGNTTGCTCTTGCTGTCGGCGCTGTCGCTGAGCGCGGTCGTCTCTTCCCATGTGTCATTTTCATGTTCATTTGGACCACTATCATTTACGATCCAATTGCTTGCTGGACTTGGAACCCTTCAGGCTGGCTCTACATTCTTGGCGGCCTGGATTTCGCAGGTGGTACGGCAGTTCACATCGCTTCAGGTTGCGCAGCACTGGCGTATTCGTTTGTGTTGGGTCACCGCAAGGGTCATGGTACCCATGAACTCAACTACCGCCCTCACAATGTGACACATATTGTTATCGGTACAGTCTTTCTCTGGTTCGGCTGGGTTGGATTCAACGCAGGCTCAGCACTCTCGGCCAATATCCGTGCCGTAATGGCGCTTGTCGTCACAAATCTCGCTGCTTCGGTTGGTGGCATCACTTGGTGTCTGTTAGATTATCGTCTTGAGCGTAAGTGGTCGACTGTTGGATTTTGCAGTGGCGTTGTAGCTGGACTGGTCGCAATCACTCCTGGTTCTGGATATGTCCCTGCTTGGTCAGCCGTTGTATACGGCGTGGTTGCTGGCATAGGATGCAACTATGCAACCAAGCTGAAGTATCTAATCAACTGCGATGACGCCCTGGACATCTTTGCAGTGCATGCTGTTGGAGGTCTGATTGGGAACCTCCTTACCGCTCTGTTTGCTGCGTAAGTCTTTCAAGGTAAGAAATGAAGCTCATGCACTGATGGAAACAAAATAGCGNACTACATTGCTCACCTTGATGGGGTTACTGTCATCCCTGGTGGTTGGCTCAACCACAACTACCGTCAGCTCGGTCTCCAGTTGGCTGGCTCAGCCGCAGGCGGTGGCTACTCATTTGTCGGGTCCTTTGTCATTCTCTACACCATGGACTTCATCGGCAAGTATTTGACCGTGTTCAGACTACGTGCTACCCCTGAAGAAGAGGACTTGGGTATCGATGATGTTGAAATTGGCGAGTTTGCGGTATGTTTGGGTTTTACTTGCACAGATGGAACTTGACTAACAGGGACTGTAGNNTACGACTGTGTCGAAGTGATGCGTGATGTTCAGCACGGCGACACTCACAGACNNGAAAAGGCATCAAGCCCCACTGATGGTAGTATGCCGGTTGAGCGCTTCGGCGAGGGCATGGCATACGGGCAGCACACACCTCTTGGAGGCAACCCTCCCCCTGTGAGCCACATAGCTGGATCTGTCGTCCCTGCTGGAACCTTTGTGTAGAGCTGGCACAGGCAGTGTTGATTAAAGTCTTGGTCCAGAGTGAGACCTCTGTTCACGGGCCTACTCGGCGTGACAGACGCTTGTTGATGGATTTTGGATCGAGGAACTGTACCTTAGAATGGCACGTAATGAGAAGATGATTGCTCGAATGGCAGTATGTTTGTTCCATGATGAAGATGGTGCATTTGCGTGATGGAGTCGAACGGAAATAATGACGGATGTGTGGCTGTGCTGTGGAGTCCCGTGGCACGGACACACGTTCTATTGGTGGATGTGGCGGCGCCTATAAGGAAATCGCTCGAGACCAACAAGAGGGTTTGATAGAGGCGAGGCCAACATAAGCGGAGAGCGATAAGCAGCACGCTGTAGCAGGGTGTGAGGGCATAGAGTCCAAAAATCAGATCTACAGCCACAACCTGCAGCATCTCGCCTCCTCTTGGCGTCGAAGATGGCTCAGATGGACTCGTCGGCCCCAGCTCCTGCTCCTGCTTCAGCACTTCCTCTAGTATCGCCCATCATGGAGGAGAACGAACGCCCCGATCTGGTGCGCGCCATGGATTCGTCAGGCACCGACGTGACGGATGCGTCGGAAGACTACGAAACCGAGACGGACAACGACGTGACGGGCCCGGACGATGTCGACGTCCAGAGAATGCATTTCCAGCCCGCCCATGCAATCGCCGACGGACAGATGACGCCTGCCTCGCAGTTCGGTTGGAGTGTGTCGAGCCATTCGCGCGCCCGGAATGGCTCTGGTGGGACTAACGGTCCGTCCAACATCAACACGGCCTTGAGTCCCGAGACAGCATACCCAGCTCCGCCTCAGCTTCTATCCACCCATCCTGTACCGCCGCAACAAGCTCGTCCAGCACGCCCTCCGAATGTGCGCCAGCCCTCTAATGCCTACGCTCCCGCTCGCCGTCCTCACCAATATTCCTACAACAACACTGCTCAACGTGCAGCCCGTACCACTTCTACGAACCGGGTCCGCCGCAACCCGAACGCCGAATACCGCGCTCAAGAGAAGGCATACGTTCAGCGCCTGCGTCAGGACGCTCCACCCGACGACTTCTTCGTTGGCGAGCCGCGAACTCCCAGTCTCGATTACAGCGATGGCTCCGAGCCCGACGACGAGTCGCCTGCTGCTGGAGAGGTGCTGGAGCATGAACACGATGAAGAGACTCTACTATACTACGGCAACGAAGATATGCAACCGTCAATCGAGGAGCTGAAGATACCGGAGAATCGCGAACGCCTGGAATGGCACTCTATGTTGGCCAACGTCCTAACCGGAGATGTCGTCAAGCAGGAAAAGAAACGTTTGATCGGCGGTCAGGACCCTCAAAGCGACAGGTCAATGATCATGGAGGTCTGGACTGGGGTAAGAGCAAAGGTCTGCGGTCGCTCCTTGGCTGCACAACGGCGTATGATCGAAGACGGACGCAGCAAGATCAAGGCTGTCATCGAAGAGATTATTGGTTTTGAAATCAAGGGCGAGGCTGAGGCAGGCAAGATACCACTCGAGCAAGTCCGAGATGTCGTGCAAAAGATCGAAAAGATCGAAGGACTATACCCTACGCGCATGTCTTTCGTTCAGGCAAACCCGCGTGCCGCATCAGACGCCTACATCAACAGCTGTGATGCTGTCATGTCATGGCACAACACAACGGATCTTATCAACACTCAACTCGGTATCTTGCAGGCTTGGGTTGGAAACCAGGAGCTGTCGTTTGACAAGCCACGCCAACGCGGTCTTCAAGATACTCACGGACACATCATTGACGAGAGTACCTTCATTGACCGCATCCTCAAGGAAGATGGTCTTCGCTCGCTGTGGGACGAAGAAAAAGAGACCAAGGAAAACAAGCCCAACGGTCTTTTCCACGTCGTCAACACTGTCATCGACAAGGCCAAGTCTACCCTCATCTCCAATGCCGAGTCTTTCGCGGATCGTCACTTGCCTCCATACATTGAGGAGTTGTTGACTCTGATCAACTTCCCTTCGCGTCTCGTCCAAGAGATCATCAAGGTCCGTATAGGTTATGCGAAGAAGATGAAGGACCCTGCTCAACAGGGTGTCATGATGGCCGAGCAAATGATTTTGCAGTTCCAGAGTCTTCTCAAACTGGCCGTCAAAGTCAAAGAGGCATATCTCCTTGCTGCTCACCCCGAGCCTGGTTGGGATCTGCCACCTTGCATTGACGAAAACTTTGACCGTATCGTTCTCGAAGCTGTCCGCTTCTACTTCCGCATGCTGAACTGGAAATTGATGGCCAACAAGAACACGTTCAAGGAGGCTGAAATTCTCGAACAGGAATGGGGTTTCTGCAATGAGTTGGGTAGGCACCTCGAAGGTGGTGATGTTGAGGTTGCCGAGCAGTTCAGGTTTGTGCACATACTGCTTTTCTCCTTCCAGTTCGTTACTGACCATAAGATANGTTCGTTGACATCCAAGTCGCTCACCAGACTAACACTGCACTTCGAACGCGAGTTGCAGAAACGACCCGACGAAGTCGCTGGTGCCGAGATGGACAAGAGATATAAGAACATTCTTGACTCTGTCCGTGTGCGACAGCGTAAAATCTTCCGTTTCTCCCGTTTGTTGAGCCAACGCTTTGAGAACTCTACCGAGTACAGTCTGAACATGAACTCGGTGCACATGCAAGACTTGATCGATGCACTTATCGGTTCAGGTCACTTCCTCATTGACACGGATTCGGAGAAGACTGGCTTGTACTTCATCGCTTGTCCGACCCTAGACGGTCGTCTCAAGGAGATCGAAACCTTGCTTCGAACCTGTTACCATCCTGAAGAATCCATCGAAGATCTCACTAATCCGTACGTCCTAATCCTCAAGCCTGAGGGTTCCATATCATGGGATGGTGCTGTACTCGAAAGATCTGGTTTCTCACCGCCTCACATCGACCTCCGTACTGGTTTCATGCGACTAGTCGCCGATGGCCCACAAGAAAGACTTGGAGATGCCAACACCGCCTTCGCTTCAAACATCAACCTCGATCTCAACGTCGTGGTGCCGCAACGCGCAAACATGACACGAGTCAACCAGGAACTTCAGAAGATCAGACGCACGACTTACAAGCTCAGTAATACCATTATGGACAGTGTTGAGATTGTGCGCAAGCAGACTGAAGGACTTCAGTGTCAGGAGCTTATCCAAACGTGTTTCGCGTTCGCTACTGAATTCGGACAACGTTCAGTGCTTTACATGGACCCCAATCGCCGTGCTTACCACAATCTCAAGATGACAAGACTTGCGTTAGACTGGGTCAGCTTCGTTGCGGACGACTGTATTCCTTCAGACCGCAAGACTTTCCGCTGGGCTGTCGTAGCACTTGAATTTGCCATGGTCATGACACGAGGACAGAACATTCTGTCCATCAGCATGACCGAGTACGACAAGCTGCGAGCCAAGGTTGCTGGATGTATGTCTTTGTTGATCAGTCACTTCGATATCATGGGCGCTCGTTCGAACGTTGCTGCCGAAGCAGAGAAACAGCGGCTGGAGAGTATGGCTGGCAAGCTGCGTCTGGACGTCAGCAAGCTGAAGGATGATGACGAGAGCTCCAAACTTGTACAGCAGCAATGGGTTGAACAGCTCCAACAGATTGACGAGTTCCGAAAGGAGCGTGAAGCTGAGCGACAAGCACTTGGACGTGTCCTCGAGGACAGTAACGAAGCCGATCGTGCACTCACATATCTTTCCGCTTCGGCAGGAAACGTTGTATTGCGTTGGCAGCAGGGCCAGTTCGTCGGTGGCGGTACCTTTGGTTCCGTCTATGCTGCCATTAACCTCGACAGTGGTCATCTCATGGCTGTCAAGGAGATTCGACTACAAGATCCCCAGCTCATCCCGACCATTGTATCACAAATTCGTGACGAGATGGGAGTTCTACAAGTCCTCGACCATCCCAACGTTGTCAGTTACTACGGTATTGAGCCTCATAGAGACAAGGTTTACATCTTCATGGAGTACTGTTCAGGCGGGAGTTTGGCAGGTCTCCTTGAGCATGGCCGTATCGAGGATGAGACTGTCATCCAAGTATACGGTCTTCAGATGTTGGAGGGTCTTGCCTATCTTCACGAAGCAGGCGTCGTTCACCGCGACATCAAGCCCGAGAATATTCTTCTTGACCACAATGGTGTAATCAAATACGTCGATTTCGGTGCCGCAAAGGTTATCGCCAAGCAAGGGAAAACACTCGTGGCCGATCCGACAGGCCGTGGTGGACGTCAAAACTCCATGACAGGTACGCCAATGTACATGTCTCCCGAAGTCATCAAGGGCGGCGCACCTGTCAACTCCCGTCACGGCGCCGTCGACATTTGGTCGCTGGGCTGTGTCATTCTCGAAATGGCTACCGGTCGTCGTCCTTGGGCTTCACTCGACAACGAATGGGCCATCATGTACAACATTGCTCAAGGCAACCCACCTCAGCTCCCCTCGAACGATCAGCTCTCCGAACTTGGCTTGGATTTCTTGAACAAGTGCTTTGAACGTGATCCGGCCAAGAGATCTTCGGCTGCTGAACTGTTGCAGCATGATTGGATCATGCAGTTGAGAAATCAATTGTCTCTTGAGGNNCCTGGCACGCCGGCGACACCGGCTTCCGAGTCAAGCTTTGGCAGTATGAGTAGGCATGAGAGTATGAATGGGTCTTATGGTGGTTGATGAGAATGCTTGATTGGTGGTTCGTTCCCTGCTTCTTTTGACCTTTGCATCTTCATTCCCTAGGCATTGGGTGTTTCTGTTGGCGTGGTTTGACTTTACTTTCACTACTACCTTTCTGCATATACAAAACTTTTTCTTCTTCTGTTAATCTCTTGCTCGAGGCCATGTCTACGTACTGCACATGATTTTTCTTGCCAGATGCCTCTTGTGAGTGTGTACATCATGCGTTGCTCGTTGGGTTGAAGTTTCGAGACTCTAGAACATGTTGTTGGTCTTTTACTACTTCGAAGTACATCAACCAAGTGACCAACCTAGACGTTCAAAATGAAGAGTTGCTGTAGACGAATAGGATCAGTGATGATGTGGTCAAAGGAAGCGCATACAAAAACAACTTAGCCCTGAATTCTTGACCCGAAGTGAACAATCACTCCACTTGTACTGAAAAGAGAGAAGGAATGGTATCCAGCTTCGAAACTGCTTCGATAGCCTTTAATCATGGCAAGAACTTTTTAAAGGATAGTTTAAAACGCGATGAGGTTGAGAAAGGCGCGACCAAAACGATCTGATCACACCTGATTTTTCGAACAGAATTGGATGTAAACATCGATAGGGGGTTATCTCACACGACACTTGGACACTAGCCGCCTTGAATACTTATCCTGCTCCTGACACAAAGGAGTTGTGGTAGATCATTGTTTGAATCGGTATGTGATGTGGTCGAGGAAAGCACCCTCCAAACAACCTACTCACCCCCATCTTCATTCAAAAGTGAAGCAACTCATAATCATGCCACACTGCCTCAATCCGATCTGAGAAAACCGTGGTAAAAACGATGTTGAATGCGAGACGATACCAGCTATGATAAAACAACATGTGTGAGTGAATCTAGAGAAAGTAGAATACCATCAACAAGTCTAGAAGCCAGAGTAGCTTGCGAGAACAGGTAATATATCACAATCGGATGTGCTCAACTACCACACTACCACGGCTCTATACTTGCCACCGGAGATCGGAGAGGATGTATACAATGAGTGTTCGGAACAGAAGGGTTGATGCCTAGGGACATGCGTGACTGTGGGAGTTTACCCCTGAGCGCATGTCGGCCACAAAGGTTGGATTCATCATGATGTCTTTCGATCCTGAACACTCTTTGACTTCAAGTTTGCTCTGTTACTTATTGGAGCTTGAGCTCAATGGCCTTGCCATCAGCTTCGCCACTCTTGATCATGGCCTCGAGCTGTACGTGATATTAGTACAGAAGATTACGGCAGCATGTCTGATGTCAACTTACCACTTCCAAATCCGCCAGAGCTTCCTCAGGGGATTGTAAAGGATCGGCCTTGCCTCGCGAGATACTCTCACCCCAAGCCTTGAGCTCTTGTCTCACGCCATTTTTGTCTTCAGGGAAGTCTTTCGAAGACTCGTCACTGCCCTTCTTGACAATGGTCTTGTCAAAGCCAACGTCGACAGTACCGTTCTGGCACGCGACTACGTATTCAGCACCGGAGAAGGTGGTACCGAAGCTGACGCTGAATGTGCCAGAGCGGCCGTTTGCGAGCTTGACAGTGGCGTTGATGGTATCGATAGGAGGGAGATGAGGCTGCAGTTGGGCTGTGAAGGCGGCGACTTGGGACATTTTGGCCTCCTGGCCTAGCAATTGTCTCATGGCGGCGATGAAATGGACACCGCCATCGAGAAGGAAGCCTCCCTGTNNGGTTGTTTTTTAGTACGACATGTAGTGTAAAAGTACGAAGATAGGACCTACCTGGTACTCAGGGGTCTTGCGCCACTCAGTCTCGTAATACTTGGCTCCAGGCTGGACATTTGCGTGCATACGGAGACGGAAGCCCAGGATATCACCCAGCCCTTTGACCTGCTCAGCACCGTACTGGAAGCGACCGAGGTAGCGGAAGTTCTCAGCAACAGCCCAGATGGTCTTCTTTGTGTCGATGTTCTTGTGGTACCAGTCAATCAGCTCGTGCGCAGTTGCCAGGTCCTTTGCGACAGGCTTCTCGGAAAGCACATGCTTGCCGGCAGACAGAGCCTTCTTGATGAAGTCGGGTTGAGCAAGGATGGGTAGAGCAATAACTACGGCTTCGACGTCTGAGCGTTCTAGGAGGTTGGCGTATGACTTGTCCGAGCCAGCATCTTCAGCGTAAAGGTCGGGAGCGGACGATTCGACTTCTTTGGAAAGCTTTTGGGCGGATGACAGGCTGCGCGAATAGATGGCTTTGAGCGAGAAGAGATCTCCGTTGGCCTTGATACCAGGCTGTCACACTGTATCAGAATATGTGAATCTGAAAGAACGAAGGAAGGAGCGTACGAGATGGGCCTCTTGGACGAAGATGCCTGTTATGGTGTCTGTCTCAGCTAATGGTCGTTCCTGCCATATGTTGTGCTAGCCTACCGCTACCAATGACTGCAATTCCGACGGTCATTTTGGAATCTTGTCTTGTCTGTTCCTTCCGCAAAGGCTCTCGTAGAAATCTTGTTGAAGCCTGTCCGCTCTATTTACGCTGCGTCACCTCGAGCCCCACCAACACGCATGCCCCGCGTTCTGAGGCTCTGTCCCGCTTCGGCTTGCCTTTGTTTAGCCTATACAGCTATACATGTTTTGAGGTAGTCTTTAGCCTGTCACAGATAGGTAGAAGAAATGGACATCGCGCGGGTTCAGACACAGAGAAGAGAGAGTGCCTCTCGGATCGGCTTTGCTCCAATATTAGCCAGTCTATGTCGACCTTTCTATACAGTAAGTTCTAAGATCTATCATCTATGGTTGCAGATATAGAGACAAAATCATGACAAGATTGTCCTTTACTTTGTCTCTGAACCTTCTGTAGCAAGTCCCAGCTTGCTGAGATCAATAGCCAGAGGATCAGAATCGTCCGTCGATTCAGTTGGACCACTATAACCGGCAGGTGGAAGAGCCCATTCAGGCAGTTCCGTTTCGTACGACCACCTGCCGTCACCAGCGGCATACTTGCGAGCGTGCAGATAGATGCCCAATTCATGCGGTCCTGGATCGCTGTACAGGTCTGTTCCACAAAGTTCGCACTTCTCGCCGGTCAGTTTCTCTCCCTTGGTCTTGTTGTAGCGCTCCATCATCTCGTCATGGTAAGCGACAGCATCTGCTGTTTCGTCTTTGCCCATGCGTGCCAGACGTGACATGATGTCTTCATCGTTATCGGCCTTTGACTCACCCTTGCCCAAATTGAGACCCCAGACACGCTGATTAGCGTAGATGGGATCGTTCGAGATGGGATGGCCTAGGTATTGAAGGTGTACACGCAGTTGATGCGTGCGCCCTGTTAGAGGCCGACAACGCACGATCGAGTATCCCTCCTTTTGCTTCCACTCCATGCCAGGGGTGGCGACGCCTTTCTCGGTTCCCTCGTCTCCAGCTCCAGGGTAGTATGCTAGTCTCTTGAAGACGGTTCTTGCGTCCTTGCCATCAGCGCGCACGCGGTTGAGACCGAGTTTAGGGCTGATTTGCATGATGGGTTGCTCGCAGACAATCTCTCCTTCTGGAAATTCGCCCTTGACGCGAGCAACGTATTCTTTCTTGACGGTGCGGGCCATGATTTGCTCGGTAAGTTCGTCGGCGGCCTTACGGTGTTTGGCGATGAACATGACGCCGCTGGTCAGACGGTCGAGACGGTTGCAGGGCATAGGGTTGAAGCCATGGCCACGCTCTGCGCGCATGACCTCAGTCACACTGTTATAGTTGTAGCGGCCCGAAGGATGTACGGGAATGCCAGCAGGCTTGTTGATAACAATCATGTCCTCGTCTTCGTGGACGATGCCAATATTTTGCTGGGTGACGGGCGGTTCGTGGCGGTGAAGGGTATGTGAAACAAGGTCGCCATTCTTGACTCTGTGGTCGGCACCAGTCGCAGGCTTGCCGTTGATAAGCACAGCTCCTGTTTTGACGGCGTTTGTATAGTATTCAATTGGGCGATCGCGAAACTCGTCGGCAAAGATTTCGAGGATCTCGCGTCCTCGCCATCGCTGCTTGCACCAGGTGTTGTATGTGTAGTGGTACGGCGCGACTCGTCGCAGACCGCCCTCGAGATAGTACGGCCGCGGCCACGGGTCGCAAGGTGTGATGATGACGTCCGGCGGCTCTTCCATAGTGTTTGGTTTCGTCGCAGGCTTGACACCTTGCTCGACGGTTGTCAGGGCCATGGTTGTTGGCAGTTTTCCGCGCCGCGCCAGGAACGCTACGATTCGGGGGGGAGGGAGCCACGTCTAGTTATGTATTGCCAGTCGTCTTGTTCCTCCCTCTTAACCCTCAGATCGGCCCAGACGTAAATTAGGTGTCGTGTTGATTTATTTGTTGGCATCAGAAAAAAAGTATTGTATGCTGCATGAGAGTTGATCGGCGAACTTCCGAGTCGCCTACACCTTCCCTGCTTGGCCTAGTCTTTTGACCATCTTATCGTTGTGTAGGTACCTTGTGCAATCCTTGACCCATTCAACCCATCCCATCTTCCTGTTCAGACCCCTTACCTTCAAGATGCACGTCGAGATAACCCGCATGGTCGAAAGCGACATAAATGGCGCTGTTGACTGTATTCAAAAGGCATTCGCAGAAGATCCCTACTTTGCCTGGGTATTCCCTGAAAATGTAAGAAGATATATCCATTCGTCCATTCTCAATTTCTATTTACGCCACGCATGTCGTCTTGACTCTGTTGGCCTGTTCTAATATTAGATGCTGTGCAAGTTTTCTCCTGTACGAAATCGCGTCTCGCTCGGTATCCGCTGTAGATGGGGTCTTGAGCACGCTCTGTTTTACGTAGCAAAAGACCCTTCATCTTCCACTCCTTCGCGCGTTCTCGGTGTCGCCTGCTGGCTACCTCCCATCGATCCTTCCGCTCCACAGTCTTGGAAGAGCTGGTTTGGAGATTGGTCGCTGTGGTTGAACCAGCTCTGGATGAATTCTGTATACGGCAGAGGCGGTCTGAATGTACGCCGCTACTATATATGGTTTGTAGTTTCGCGAGAGTGGTGATTTTTCGACTGGCTCTAATCATTGGACTTTCAGGNNAAAGCTGCTCAAAGCGACGCTCAGCGTCAGCTCTGGACAGATGACCAGGGTTACTACTTTTGTAATATCGTAACAGTGCTTCCGGAGTGCCAAGGTATGAAGATAGGAAAGGACCTTTTCGAAAAGGTGTTGCGTCAAGCAGATGCTGAAGGGCGAAAATGTTATCTCGAAAGTTCGAGAGCAGTGCCCAATATGGCTATATACCAGAAGATGGGGTTCGAGTTGGCAAAGGAGATGGTTTGTGACGACCAGGGGACTGCCATCAGTCTGTACTGTATGATGAGGGATCCCAGGCCTCAATGAGTGGTGTGCTGCGGAAAGGAGTGTATTAGAATTGATGTTCAAAGCGTACAATCGTCAAAGGAGTGTCTGGGGTATAGTGAAGCAAAGGAGCGTAGAATCATCGAAGAGTTGAAGGATCGGCAGGTGCTCAGCCCCGGAAGACTGATTTCCAGGTACCCGACTTGGCTTTGGGTGGTATCCTTGGAGGTAGATAGCCAGTACCACCGGTTTCTAGAAATTCCTGGGCTTTGCCGGGCACTCCACCCCTGGGTACCGAATTTGCTCTCGGCAATGGCGGTGGAGGTGGAGAGTTTGACCTTAGTAAAGGAGGTGAAAGACTGTCCTCTTGAATGGATTTTAGATGGTAATTGTTGCCAAATCCGACAGGCTTGTAGTTGGGAACGAGAGATCCATTCGATGTCCTCTTCCTCTCAATGTTCAAGCGTGGCGTCGATGGAGCTTCCGAATTTGTCCAGCTCCAGCGGGTCGGTTGATGAGTGGGTGATACTGGTGATGAAGGATCATCTCCCATACTGCGCACTGAAATACTCGGGACGTTCGATGCTTGAGACTTCCGGGCATCGTGACGATCGAGATATCTGTTGTCTACACCCTTTAGGCGCGCCATGTGTGGCTCCATGAGTATGCTAGGAGGTTTGCTGCTCATTTGTGCTCCTGGTTGAGTGACAGGCCCTGGTAGTCCTGGAAGATTCTTGCTCGCTCTATTCTTGCTTCTGATCGACAGAGGATACCGGGAGGATCGCACTGAATATCTCTGCTCATAGTAGATGGGATACTCTTCAGGACGAACCATATAAGGGCTCGCGTGACCACGAGGGCGAAGCTTGAGAACGTCGACCAGCGCAGCACCCCTTCGCATTTGTCGTATCACGTATACGACGAAGAAGAACAAGAACACTCCACCTNNGTTCGTTGTTAGGATGCAGTCCGTCTCTTGTTGACAAAACGACGTACCGATGGAACAGGTGATGATAACCAGAAGCCTAGAGCCCTTAGGCAGATCACTCTCCTCCACTGCAGATGAGCTCTGACCCGTATTTTGGTAAGGGCTTGAGCCAGAGAAGTCCATATTTGATGTGATAAGTACACAGCCAGACCTTGATTCGGAATGTGGGCTAATTGGAAGACGAATCGGATCGAATAGTGACCTTGAAGTGACGAAGTGATGGCAGCCAGCAGCCTAGGATTGGTGTAATAGACGAATGTATGTGTCGAACGAATGTAACAGTTCTGTCCAGCAGAAGGATGTATCACCGTACCTGGATCGAGGATCGCGAAGAAGGGGAACAACAGAGAGAGCAAATCCTCACAAGGATTGCGAGGCCGTGTGATACTGATATAGTAACTGGGGTAATAAGGCTGCTCTCGTTTCAACCCAAAAACTAACCTCAGTGTTAATCTGGGGCTCTTGATCCTACAAGAAGCCCTCGGTGAGCAGGATCTTGCGCAAGGTCCGCATAAAGACCTGGCGAGAACACCGTGCTTCTGTCATGAATAAGAATTTGATCGATTTTGAGACAGATTGCTCCAGAAGTGATCAAACTCAAGGTGTTTGGCATTGACGGCGGCGTCGAGCAAAAAGTTGTGCGGGTCGAAAATGGTGAAACACGCTTTTCGGTGCTTCGAAGCCTGTGCGGCAACCAACATGACGGAACAGTTCCTTTGCTGAAACGTGTTGCGACGGTGCCTGTTGATCGCTGGTGACCTGCAGTAGTCGATGTGATCTTGGGCTAGACACGGGAAGTTTATTCGAGCATACACTCGAGGTTGGCGATGCACAAGATGGATAGTTAGGATTGTGTAGTCCAGGCTTCGTCAATCTGTGCTATAAGCACCACCAAAACGATCCACGTCCAAACTGAGCATGATGAAACTGAGCCGTAGTCGTCCGTATGTATTCTTGAGCAGGAATAGTTGGACGACGTCCTACTTTGGGAACTTCGATGGAATCAATAAGGGCTGTAGTACGGCGGCTACTTTGCCGTGGACTTTTGAGATGTGTCTATCGACCCCCGAAAGAACGAATGGATGTTTTCGGGATCTTGTTCCAATGCTGAACTGAAGGGAGAATGAAGCAATCTTCAGAATCGCAGATGGAATCGCCGACGAGGTGCAACTTTCTGAAAGACAGAGCGAGGTTCATGTGGAGGAAAACCCTGAAACGTCGGGTGTGGCTGACATCAAATTACGGCCTCAATGTGGACTTCCTTGCAACGCGTCCGAGAGGGTGTGCCATTCTATCTGGTGGATCTTGCTGCAAGTCATTCCTCTCTATTCGGATACAAGCCGTGGCTCCGCTTGAGACTTATCAGGTGATAATACTTTGTGCTCAACGGCACGGCGCATGTCACTCTGGAATGGTGCTCGAGAGGCTGTGCTGCTGAACAGTACCGCGCCACAAAGCTTCGCCGATGGCTATCTTAAGCTAGGTACGCTCTGCCACTGGGTGATTGCGCATGTCCGACTTCTGACGAGTGCTATTGCTGAGTTCAGACTGCGGACATGGGCTGTACAAAGGTAATTGCTGTGCAAGTGGTCGTATAAGCCATCGTATTCAGGTGTCGCTGCCACGTCATGCGCCAAGGGTGGGTGGGCGACACTTCCGAGCTATCCATCTGACCTCTTGTCCAAGTATATATATGTACAGTCAGCTCAATACACGACGACAACTTTTCTTCGCACCTACCTAGATCCCGCTTAACATCACATCACCATCCCACACATCATGTCAGACCCCTACGGATATCAGAACCAGCAGAACCAGGGCCAGTATGGCTACCAACCCCCAGCAGGGCTATGGAGGCTATCAGCAGGGTCCTCCCCACCTCAATACGGCGACAACCAGCAGCAGCACCAATACGGCGGCAGTCAGTATGGTGACAATCAGTACAACCAGCAATATGGCGCCCCGGCGCACGGCGGATTCCAGCACGGCCAGTATGGCGGACCCGAGTACGGTGGACCTGCCCCGCCACAGCATCAAGCATAGTCAGTCATCCTTCATCTCGGCTAGGTGGCGTATTGGAGACAGTAAACTGATGCTAGTACAGCGGTCAATACCCGCCTAGCGATCCATCTCACCAGTTCCCACAACAAGGAGCCTACAATCAGAACCCCCCACCTCAAGACCCCAACAACCCTTACGGTAATCAGCAACATCAGCAAAGCCAGTATGGCCCCACCGATCCGGCCGCAGGTCAAGAGGGCGATCGTGGTCTTATGGGAGCAGTAGCCGGCGGACTCGGCGGCGGTTTGCTCGGAAACAAGGCAGGTCATGGCATCATCGGAACGATTGCCGGCGCTTTCCTGGGCTCAAAGGTTAGTGGACTGCGAGATCATACAACGATACCACGATACTAATTGAGATCAGGCGGAAGACAAGTTCAAGGAGAGCCGCCACGACTCGCAATACCAACAGCAGTACGGAGGTGGTCAGCAACACCACGGCCAACACTCGCACCACAACCAGAAGTGGTAGAGGCACTCGCACGGCCATTCCGGTATCTGATTTCTTAACGATCGCTAAAGGAGTTCTGGCCAGGATATGTGCGCCATGTGGGGGATCTGCTTTTCGAAATGCTCAAACTCGGCCGAGCATGTGGATGGTCACAGCGGCCGCGTTCTGTGTCCCTGTTTAACGATGATCCTCTCCTTTCTCGACGAGTCAAGCGACATGAACAACTCTTCTTAATCTGATTCAGCATGCCTAGTGCAAGCACTTCTCGAACAGTGTGATACACATTGACAGTCAGGTCGGCTTTCTTGACCGTGTTCAGTGATGACATATGACATCTCCACTTCCTAAAACGCTGGAGTGGAAGTCAGAGTGTGAATCTTAGGGACCACTGTTTTGGGCATCTAGTGTAGTACGCACGGCTCTTGTAGGCTGCGCGTCTCATTGCTTGGAAGGCATAATGTCGAATCACCGACTATTCGGAGGAGCACACAGACCTCTGATACTACTGCTGCGAACCACTCATGGACCAAACTCCGAGCACTAGAATAGGTGGTAAGAGAGATCCATCGAGTTCGAAATTTATTAGTCATGACTCAAGCCCAAACCATTTGAAATGATGTTTTATACCAAAAGGGGACGATAAAACAGAGAGGGAAAGTGCGATGTCCTGATTGGGATGAATCACTTCGCATTATCACATGATCGCGTGCCTTCTCAGATGCGTCTCTCGGAAACGTAGAGTTTCGTCTGCCATGATGCTTCCTCACAGATGACCACCACGATATGATATGAACAACAATCGAGCGTGGCAGGCAGTGCCTGTCCACAATGCCAAATACTTCTTTGCCTCACCCACATACAACAAATGGGTGAAACTCACAGCCGCCGATGTCCACGCTCTGCGTGAAGTGCCCGGTTTTGAAGGTGAGCACTGCCTTCACGTCCAAACTGCACACATAGCAAGATAAACTGATCATTTTCTCTCCCACTGCCACAGGTCAATATGTCTTCTTCCACCTCAATCACCCCATTCGCTTCGTCTACCTCGTCGCCCCTGTGGTCGCAATCCAGGAGATCCCAAATACAAAATTCCTCATCTTGACTCTAGACGACAGCAGTGGCTCCTGTATAGACGTCAAGATTGAGCGTGTCGATTCCGCCAGGATCATTCCTGATAGCACTTCAAACACAACCGTCGCAAATGTGAATATCGACACTCCGTTCAACAGCAACACGGAAGTCAAGATTGATGGCCAGGTCGTGGATATTGCAACTGTGCTGAAGGTCAAGTGTACCATCGGCAGTTTCAGGGGCGTCAAGCAGTTGGTCTTGAAGAGGTGTAATGTTATCAAGGATACCACCGAGGAGGCTGCAGCTTGGGAGTCTTTGGCTCACTTCAAGAGAGATGTGCTCGCCAAACCATGGATGTTGGATGCTGCCGAACAGGTCGCTCTAGATGCACAACTCCAGCAAGAAGCCATAAAGGAGCAAGAAGAGGAACGGAGGGAGCGACGCAGCCAGAGAGCTCACCAGAAGCGAGAAGAACTACGAGCAGAGAGAAGACAAGCTCGAGAAGAAGTGAGGGAGCAAAAACGGCTGGCTGCCGAGCAAAAATTCAACCAAGGTGCCTTGATCTGAAAGGATTAAACATTCTAAAACGATCTATGAAAGAGGAACTCCTTGCTAGGTATGCGGGGCAGCGAGGAATACAGGAATATGATCAGTCATCATCGTCGTCCTCCTCCTTGGACTTCTTGCGCTTCTTGCCTTCTTCGTCTTCGTCATCTTTGACGAGCTGCTTCTTTCTGCGCTCGTTGCGCAGAGCCTTGGCTACCTTGTCATCTGCCTCCTTGGCCTCGTCCCAGTCGACATCGTACTCCTCAGCAACCATCTTGATTTCTCTTCTCAGACGATTGCCTTCTTCGACAAGAGCGTCCCACTTCAACACATCAAAGCCTTTTGCTTGGTACAGCTTGTCCTGTCTCTTGCTGACGGTAAAGTTCATGGCGGAACGGTAGCTGACCTCGCGGTTGTGGTAGAGAAACCACATGTAACCGCCGATCAGCGTGGACAGGCCGACGAGATAGGTGACGGGCTCCATGACATCCCAGCCCAGATCGGTCTGGAAGGTGAGGACGTAGACACTACCCCACCAACCCACCAGCACTGCGAAACCTCCTTGAGCAACGCGTTGGGCACTCTTATGGGCCAGCTTGTCACACTCGGTCTTGATATCTGCCAGAGAGGAGATCTGCTTGGCCGTCTTGCGCAGTCGCATACGCAGGTAGTAAGTACGATCAGCGAATGACGGCACAGCAACATAGATGGGTTCAGGAGCACCCTCGATATCAACACTGAACTCCTTGCCCCTCGCAGCATCTCTGATGAAATCGCCAATCTCGGTGCTGGGCGACCAACGCACAAAGTTCGGGTGTTCTGGATCAGGCTCTTTGACAGGGTTCACAGGCTTTGCCTCTGCGACCTCACCCGACTCGTTGAGTTTGCCAGTTCGCTCCGTCTTGCCGTCAATCTTGAAGTCTTCCGAGTGCTCGAATTTGTAGTCTTCTGATTCTTCGTCGGGTTCATGGCGGTCTGGGTCGATTGCTTCTTCTCCTAGGTCTTGTGCGCGGAAGTGGACAGCGGGGATCTTGTCGTTTCCATTCTCGTTCTTTATGACGGGCAGCTCGGATTGGATCAGGCGTTCGAGGTAGCTGAGGGGTTGTTGGGGGTGTACGAGGAGAGCCAGGGGTTCCACGTCTTTGCGGTCTTTGTTGACGTCTCTGGTGGTGAGGGGGNNGAGGATGAGCTTGAGCATTCGAGATGGCGTTGTCAGAAGTTTGCCTNNGGTTCCTCACTGTCAGTTTTGAAGTCAATCAACGATCGCATTCATCGTACCTTTGACCATAGCACCAGCCGACCTCAAGCGAGCAACAGGAGGCTTATCGCTACCCTCGCGCATCCACGGCGACCGCATCTGGCTCTGCTTGCTGTGCTCCACAACCCTCGCATAGTGATCCTTCTCTTCTTCGCCAACACTCTGACTCAAATTCGCCGCGGGCTGTCCCTGCGACGTCGAGTTCTCTGCCGTGACACCTTTGGACTGCTCTCTCAAACGCAATCGCGTGCTCTGGTTGAACGTCCTGGTACATTGATGGCTGATGCGAGGAGTTGGCCAGCATTTGTTGCTGCGCCCGGCCGTAGCCAGAGCTCTCAGTATTGACGGTTTCATCACTGTCGCTTTTGTGGTTTGCTATCGAGCTAGCATGTTATATTGCCTTTGCAAGGGTAGAGGGACACAGGGTTGATCCAAGGTGTTGATGCCAAACCATGGAGTTTTGATGACATCACTCGTCTCTTGTCTCCTTTGTTTTGCACAGCCACAGCCACAGCTTGGGTATTTGGCACACGACATCATGAAATCAACGTTATCATATCTTGACATCGAGAAGTTTTTGAATCTTAACTTGAGCTATCCTTCTCTTGCTGGGCAGTTGCATGGACGAGACCACCTCGTTTCAATGTGCAAGTCATCTCGAAACCCATGTCCTTGCAACCGTCTCATTTCAACCTCTATCAGATAAAAGCTTATTGCCAAAAGATGTCCATTATTAACTGGGTATGTATATGTCACAGACTTCTACTCATGCACCCGTGGAAGTCTACCCTTCTCACCGCTAAAACGCGTTCGAAGAACGGCATTACTCGCAATGTCATGTTGCGAGTCAGCGGTCATGGCAACATGCAGCCACGTCACAGATGTGCTTACTCCGAACACTCCTGATGGTCTCTGTTGAGTCAGTGATCCTGGGGCTCTTCCCACGACTCTCCCTCTGTTGCAGATATGTCTGTGATCAAAGTCAAAAGATACTCGACCCTAGGGCTTCAATTTCCGCACGAGGCTGACTTGCTGCTTTGTTCGAGGATCCGACCATGATTGTATGGTTGTTGATGTACGAGGTCCTCCTAGATATACAAATTGCTGGGGGAGAGATAGAGTAGGCAGTCGACAATGAGTCTGCCTTCTTGGACCTGTACACTTGGCACCTCGTGCTCAATGGCTATGATGATACATGTCGAATATATCTGACAGAGCATTACGACGGATCAGTTCCAGGTCATTCGCATGGTCTGCATCAGGGTCTGTCCTCTGTTTAGGATTGCATTGTTAGCAACTATTCAGCTCAAGGTCCGAATGCCGAATGCCGAACGAGGAACATACTATGACTCTTTCATTCTTTTCCATCCAGTCCCATGGTCGGAACGTAGCTGCTTGCGTCTCGTTGAAATGGCCACCGATGCTTGCGGCATAGTGCTCCAGTACTTGATCGGCCAACACGTTCCGTTCAAAGTTGTGAAAGCACAGCTGTTCTAGCATAGGCAAGTTTCGCTGAATGATGTTGATGATTCGTTCCACTTTAGTTTGAAGAGAGGTATTCGAGGCTCTGNNTAGATACATCAGTAGATATTCGAGACGCTCACTTGGGACCTGTTACCTCGTGCGTCCTCGCAAGTTTGGTGCGTCCATTGCAAGTCTTCTCAGGTCTGGGAAAATGGGAGGCCCAGATCCTGCCCAGTCATCAAGGTCGAAGGTACCATACAAATCACAGCAATACATTTCGGGATGTGTCTCGCTTAGAGAGGTGATTGACTTAAGTGTGATGTTGCACTCAACCTGGAATGCCAGACTCTTGAGTTTTGGAAGGTTTGACATCATTTCAGAGAATTGTTCGTCCCCTAACCATGGAGCTTTGATGTTATGGAAATAGGCCCGTCCCCTGGTCCACGTGCGGATCAGAAGAATCTCAAGCTCTGGAAGGGCTCCGAGCGACTTGACTCCGTTCTCTAATAGTGTTATTCCTCCTGTTAGATTGTGATACTCAACCTCGAGATGGCGTAAATTCTTCATGGGTTCGAGAGCTTGAAGCACATCATGCTCGCAATCCTGAGCTTCGAGGAATAGTATATCAACAGAAGTAGCGACGGCGGCCAACATGCCAACGGATTCAGAGTGGAGTCGAATATGTAGTATGTGGAGATTCTTGAACTTATTTGGTGTCGAAAAGGCTTCCCGTGCCATACGAGGCCTCAGGAAAGGCACGATATCCAGTCGTTCCAGATGATCCAGAGTCACGAGATGTGCAAGTACTTCCGTTGGGAGTGAATACTCCCAGCCTTTACCAAGCTCGATGTTTTTGAGAGAGGTGCGATTCGTCAGGAATTTCTTCAATTTTCCAGCATTCACCACCATTTCAAGTGGTTCCCCGAGATGGAATTCATGTAGCCGAGGACATTCCGTCTCCAAGCGCTCCAGTGCATCTTCGCACGGATGACCACCCCAGTATGAGAAAGACTCTAGACGGGGTCCAATATACTGGGCAAGGTGCAGCTTCTGATTCTTCTTCAGACGCACTACGTCGAGACCGATGCATTGCAGTCTCGGGAACTTCAAATTCTTGTATTGCGAATGGGCTTTACATTCCTCAACGGTTTTAAAGCACAACGCAGATACCTTGTTGGCATAAAATTGTCGACGCTTGGGTGGCACTGCGGCTAATGCCAACGGCGGCGGGTCTGACCAGAGTGCATCAGTGGCAGGATCGAACCATTCCTTGCTTACAAGAGCTGCAGACAAGAGGCATTTGTAATGACCCTCGAGCAACCGCAAAATGGAGACGAGGATTTCTGGCGGAAGATGAGGTGTCCGGATGCTGTTCTCCATGGTCCGGTTACGGTAACGATGAGCAAAGTTGTGTAATGTCGCTACGAGGTGAAGATGCTGTCGCACATGACACTCTCTGAATCGCGGGGTTCTGTTTTGCGCACCATCCCACACGCGCCTTCCCTTGTCCCATCACAAGCAGCAGAGATGCTGTGCATATTAATCGCAAGAATGGCAAGTGCGGCTACTGCGGCGACCACACAAAGCCCTAGATGCCCGTTGCTCATCCACGAATGGCTTTAACCTTTGGAGGCAAGTCGATGCGCGTGGTCGAGAACAACTCTTCCCACGCCCTATCGACGACATAGGGCCATGTATAACTCTACTTTGTGACTCACATTGTTACACTGACCCAGCAGGAGATACTTCATCATAGACACACCATCTTCCTCTTCGCATTCAACAAGCAGCATTCGTGCATACCACCACTTCTACCAGATCTACGAGACGCATACATTCACAACCGCCAACAATGTACCTCCGCGCCGTCCACGCCGAACCTTCTATCCCAGCTCTCAAAGCCTTCCTCGCCGCCAACCCCCTCGGCCTACTCACTACCGGCATTCCCTCCTCCGACCCCTCAATTCACTACCTCCAAACTACCCACATCCCCTGGGTACTCGACGACACCTCTCCTTCAGAAGATACCTTACCCACTCTACGCGGCCACATAGCACGCCAAAACCCCCACGCCAAAGTCTTTATCGAACATGCCGCTGCTGCTGCATCCCCCGGAAAGCCATTCACACTCCAACAAGAAGTAATGGTCCTCTTCAACGCACCACACCACTCCTACGTAACTCCCAAATTCTACACAAAAACAAAGCCAGAAACCGGTAAAGTGGTGCCGACATGGAACTACGCAGCCGCACAAGCCTACGGCACGGCAACCGTCTACGTAGACTCCAAAGCCTCCTCCACAATAACCTTTTTGGACAAACAAATCAGAGATCTGAGCAAAAAAGCCGAAGAGGAGATTATGCAGCACGAAAGGCCTTGGGAGGTGGATGATGCACCTGCAAAGTATGTTGAGCTGTTGAGGAAGAATATCATTGGGATTGAGATCAAGGTCACGAGTTTGGGTGGCAAGTACAAGATGAGTCAGGAGATGGGTGTAGAGGATAGAGAAGGTGTTGCCCAAGGGTTTGAGGGTATGAAGACGGAGGCTGGAGATTGGATTGCACAGACGGTTAGAGAGCGTGGACAGTCAAAGTAGCCATCTCTGATCACTATGCGTCTAGTTCCCATACCATTTTGACCAATTTAGTGTGTTAGAGATCATTAAAATGTCGCCATACAAATGCATGATTGCTTTCTAGAGTAAAGATTGGCAATGAGAACACTCACCAGACACCGTCTCTCCGTGGTGAGGACCTTCCTCCCGAAAAGTACTGTGCATTTATATAGCCACGCCAACAGTGTTTGGCACGCAAAGAGAATATCACCATATACACATGTTTGGGGGGTCATTGGAGTAATTGTGCAAAATATTTGGTATCGTATTCGCCGTTTCATTCTATGTATCCATTACCCCGAGTGTAAAGAAGGGGGGTCGTACATTTTGAGGAGGTTAAAAGAGAAAAAGTCATGTCAACACGCGGCCGTAACCATAGCTTTCATCCGCTTAGATGAGCTGGAGGAAGGCACGGTTGATGGGCGAGCGCAGAGGCTTGACGTCCTTGTAGAAGTCGACAGTCTTCTTAGCACGCTTGGCAATGCCCTCGGGGGTGAACTCGAACTTCTTGTAGACGTCCTTGTAGGCACCCGAAGCACCGAATCTGTTGAGACCAAACTGCTCGTGAGAGTACTTCTCCCAGCCGAGAGTCGACATGACCTCAACCGACATGGTGGGGATACCGTCGGGGATGACCGACAAGCGGTAGTCCTTGTCTTGTGCGTCAAAGACCTCCATGCAGGGCATGGAGACGACACGAGCGGTGAGCTGGTACTCGTCCTTGAGGGTCTTGACAGCCTCGAGACAGATGCCGACCTCGGAACCGGTGGAAACGAGGGTGACATCGGCCTTTTCCTGCTCGAGAGCGACGTAACCACCCTTGGAGGCCTTCTCGATGGTGGAACCCTCGAGCTGGGGCAGGTTCTGGCGGGTGAGGGCAAGGAGCGAGGGGGTCTCACGGCTGGTCAGGGCAACGTAGTAGGCAGCAGAGCACTCGTTACCGTCAGCAGGGCGCCAGACCATGATGTTGGGCAGAGCGCGGAAGTGAGCAAGAGTCTCGATAGGCTGGTGGGTAGGACCGTCCTCACCAAGACCGATGGAGTCGTGGGTGGCGATGTAGAGAACGCGCTGGTGAGACAGGGCGGAAAGACGGACGGCACCGGCGGCGTATGAGACGAAGTTGAGGAAAGTACCACCGGCAGGGATGAGGGTACCGTAGGCGGCCAGACCGTTCATGATGGCGGCCATGGCGTGCTCACGGACACCGTAACGCATGTAGCGACCGTTCCACTGGCCAATGCCGGTGTTGGGNGGCTGGAAGTCGACGGCCTTCTTCCAGCGGGTGTTGTTGGAGCCAGTCAGATCGGCGGAACCAGAGACCAGCTCGGGAACAGCTTCGTAGATGGCCTCAAGAACGGACTCGGAAAGCTTTCTGGAAGCAATGGCGTCGTCTGTGGGCTTGTAGGTGGGGAGGGACTTTTGCCAGCCCTCGGGGAGCTTGCCAGTGAGACGGCGGGCAAGGTCGGTGTGGGCCTCCTTGTGCTCGGAAGCGTACTTCTCGAAGAGCTTGTTCCACTCGGCCTCGGCGGCAGCGCCGTTGTCGGCGGTCTTGTGGTACATGTCGTAGACCTCCTGGGGGACGACGAAGGACTGCTCGGGGTCGAAGCCGAACTGCTTCTTGACGTGCTTGATGTCGTCGGCCTTGAGGGGGTTACCGTGAACACCGCCGGTACCCTGGAGCTGGGAACCGAAACCGATGGTGGTGGTGAGCTTGATGACTGAGGGCTTGTCCTTGACATCCTGGCATCTCTTGATGGCATCCTCGATACCCTGGAGGTCGGTGTCACCCTTCTCGACGTACTCGCAGTGCCAGCCGTAGGCCTCGAAACGCTTCATGACATCCTCAGTGAAGGCGCACTTGGTGTCACCGTCTNNGATTGCTTGTTAGCGGAAGTTCCGTTAGAGATGTCTAGAGAACTACTCACCAATGGAAATGTGGTTGTCATCGTAGATGGCGATGAGGTTGCCGAGCTGCAAGTGACCGGCGGTGGAGGCGGCCTCAGAGGCAATACCCTCCATGGCGCAACCGTCACCGAAGAAGCAGTAGGTGTAGTTGTTGATGAGGTCGAAGCCGGGCTTGTTGAAGGTACCAGCAGTCTGGGCCTGGGCCATGGCAAGACCAACAGCGTTGGCGAAACCCTGACCAAGGGGACCAGTGGTGACCTCAACGCCGGGGGTGTCGTGAGCCTCGGGGTGTCCGGGGGTGATGCTGTCAATGGTNCTGTTTTGATGTTAGAAAGGTGGATGGGTTTTTGTAGAATTTCAGGCAAAACTTACTCTGAAAGCCTTGATGTCGTCCATGCTCAAGGCGTAGCCGAACAAGTGGAGGAGAGCATACTGGAGCATGCAACCGTGGCCGTTGCTGNNTAAAACAATTGAGTTAGCCATGTTCGCCAAACCGAATCGTTGCTGCTGTCGGCTTTTGAAGTCGGGTTGCGGCTTGTGGAGAAGCTCCCCACCGGCCTCCATGATAACAAAAAACAATCATTGTATCATGTACGACTCGACAGCCAGCCCAATCAATGGATGAGGGATGACTTACGAGAGAACGAATCTGTCTCTGTTGACCCAGTCGGGGTTCTTGGGGTTGAAACGCATGAACTTGTTGAAAAGAACGTGCGAGACGGGGGCCATGCCCATAGGGGCACCGGGGTGACCCGAGTTGGCTTTGGCGGTCGCATCGACNCTGTGAGAGCATCTCATGTCAGTCGGATTCATCATTGACTACCCTCTGACAGGAGATTCGAGGTGGATGTGGCGACTCAACAAGCGGTCACAACTCCTCGAAGCTCATGGAGGGGTAGGTAGTTGTGCGGTGTGAGGACTTACTGCGAGCAGTCTGATGGTGTTGATAGCGGTCTGGTCAACTTCTCCGTAACCCATTTTGAATGATATGACAGAGGTATGTGAAGTGTAGAAGGAGAGAAGGAGTTGTTGATCTGAGATAGAAAAAGAGTGTTGCTCACACGTTGAGCCCCCACTCAGCCAGCAGATGGGACGTCACTGCCGATCAGACCGAGTCTGCACCGACACAGGTGGCCGGATGAATAGGGTCGTGCACGTTGCCATCTTTCTTCTCTGCGCTGTTTGGTTTCATCCGCAGCCTTCCATCGAACACTATTCTATTAAGCTCCTCGGTCCTAACATGGACGAGGTCCAAGCAGTACGGATGAATCGAGTCAATCTCTACTCCAGATTGTGCCGACACTATTTCGAGCAGGCCTTCTAACAGCGACGTGTTTCTCTCTTCCAAGCAATTCTCTTTTGCCAAAACTGCGGTGTCGGCGGTGAGAGTGAGCCTCAATCTCTAGAAATGCCGTGGATGAAGCAAGCATCTCCGCCCGGCGGCTTATGACTTCTTCCGGGCGGTTATCAAATCTGATAGCCGCGCGACTGCTCATACGGCTATTCCCCTGTCTTCGTCGAGGTTGATTTCCAATAATTGGACGCAAACCAGCCAAACTGTGGTGTTCGAGAGCCCTCTGCTGTTAGCAAGCCATTTAGCCAGTCAATGGAGGCCTAGAGACGAGCACAGGCAGCGAGCATCTTGGGTTAAGAATATGAGACTAATACATGTTTTTATTTAGAAAGAATGACTGGGTTGAATGGAAGGAAATGCTAATAAAGACTCCCAAGAAGAGACACCTTGAGACACCTTCGCTATGCATGAAATCAGGGTATCTTACTTTGCGTATCTATCCCATCAACCAAAAACAAAGCAAAGAAAAGGTTTCGAATCGTTCGACGAGTCCATCTCTCCTTCTGCCTCTCAACGACCCTTGACCTCGACCGAAAGGTACAAGTCATCACCCCTTCTGCTTGGCGTGAGTTTGGGCTCCCAAAGCGGACTCTTCAGTTCCATCTGAGGAGTCTGATTGTTTCTCTTCTGGTTTCTGCGACTGTAGTTTCTCAAAGGCGAGTCGGGTGCTTCTCTGATATTTTTAATCGTCAAACCGCGGCCAAGTTCCAGAGACAGATCTTCACCACGTCTCTTTGCCGCCAAGGTCACCTTGCGACTTGACGTAGTGGAAGGAGGAGAACGAGGAATGGCTTGGTTGGAAGGTCGAGGAACCTTGGGATACGAGACGGGAGAAAGCTGTCTATCGACCTCGTTCTCAGGGGTTGTCTCATCAGGGTCGACAGACTCGAATGTGGTTGCTGAGGCCCACGAGCTGCGTACACCGCGAGGCACCAGAGGCAATGGTGCAAAGTGGGGTTGACTGAAGCGTTCATGGTCGTTCGGACTCCATTTCGGTGCTACGGGGGTGCGGCTGTCAGAGCTGGTGTAGTAGGCTGGAAGATAGCTGGCAGCACTGCTGGGTGGCATAGACAAGTGATTGTTTCTGGAGGCCCCCGTATCCAAGGAAATGCCGTTGGGCAGGGAGGCTTCGTCATTCCTTACAGGCTTGCGAGGGATTTGCAGCATCAGGCCTGACTTGGTCATCTCTTCTGGAAAAGTTGTGTATTGATCCGCAAAGCTTGGTCCAGGAGGAGGTCGAATTGGTGATAGGAAAACTGGCTTGGGAAGTACAGGCGGATTCGGCAAGACCGTTTTGTGCGTGGGTGTTCTGCTATCCTCCTCAAATACTGTCCATCGAGTAGCAGCACTATCAGGTCTGAGGTGCTTGCTCGCCTTNTTCACGTTGATCGTGATGTTGGCGACAGGGTTTGGAAGTCTAGGAGATCTTGTCTCACTGCGACTAGGTGAGTAGATACTCGCTCTGTGTGATGTTAGACCGTCCGGTACCTGGCGTATGTCGAGACGAGACGATTCTTTCCACCATTCCAACTGGGGTCGAAGCGAGGGTCTGAAACGACGCTGTGTGGTGGCTTCGAGCGACTTGTCGAAACTGCTTAGCGAGGAGCGAGGCGATTTGTTTGGACTTGTTGGGAAGGATCTTGGTGGCCTAGTAGGACCGGATGAGGTTGTTAATTTGGTAGTACCTTTAGGAGGAAACTTGGATCCAGTTGGAGAAGATTGATCCTGGAAGTCTAGACGATGGCTTGTTTTGAACCACTTTCTTGTTGGTGTGCCAGACTTCTTGTTCTTCTTTTCCTTCTTCCGACGTCTTACGCAGCAACAGCAAAAGAAACACAAGCCAAAGATGAGGGCAGCGATTGCGATCGAGGCGACGGAAATTCCCACAGTCTGACCAGTCGACAAAGGTTTGGAAGGTTGAGTTGGTGTTGAAGAGGGACTAGTTGGCGATGCTGAAGATAGAATGGTTACATTCGATGTAGGTACACCGATGGCAGCGACTGAAGGCGATGTTGCGAATGTGGTGGAGGTTGAAGGTACCGCTGTCGACTGAGTGATTTGCGAAGATGTTGTCGATGTTGTCGGCTGGAACGATGTTGTCATGGTCAAGACAGCATGCGTTGCTACCACTGCATTGCTGTACGAAGAACACAAGCGATAAGCCTGGTCTCTAGATGCCGCCACAGTTTCTCCAGGGCAGTGTTCTATCATGCAGCCGAGCACCAGCTCCCCGAGAGTGAAGCCAGATGTGCTGTAGTGCGAGCAAAGGCATGCTGCATCACTCGAACTCTTGCATTCAGATGGTACCAGACCTTCAGCTACTTTCGAAGAAACGCATGATTGAGCGCAGGTAGGAATAGAGGGTAGAAGCTTTGCCGGCAAAGCAACTGTATCTCGTAGATAAAGAGTGTGAGATTGACCAAAGCGAGGCGCCATGATGGGTTATGCTTTGGAGTGGGTATCAGGTTTCTTGATGCTAAGAAGAAGTTGCGCAAGATTGTAGGAGGTTTTGGAGTTCTGATGGGAATCATACCCTCAATAGAGTTTATTGATGAGGATTGAGAACGATTAGTGTTGTAGCAAGTTCATAATAGGAAATTTAGAAGAATAGAATCTGACCAGCGGCGGTAATAGACGAAGATGAACAGAAAGGATAGATGAATAGAAAAACAATAGAGACAATGGCAGGGAGAAATGTCGAGAACCTACGAGCACTCGCGCGGATGAGGTCTTGTATGCCTTTCTATTAATGTCTCCAGCAACCGCCCAACCATCGTCATCATACACGGACGGGTGGCAGGTATTGTTACTCAAAGCGCCAGGAGAGCATCAGAGGCCCAAGGCGTAGGCTGCAGAGACATCTTGCAGAAAAGACGGCGCTTAGCACAACCTCGAAGACATTAGATGGACGCACAGACCATGCGATGCGAGTGAGAGTACTTGGTCTACTCGATTCATTCTTTGACTTGACAGACAATTTAGAGACACTGTTGGAAAGGAAGTGAAACACTGATCAACTAGTCTCTGTCTCAATACATAAGCATCTGATGCGCCGTCGCTGTACGTGAGGGGGTATCCGTGGAAAAGATATAACAAGAAAAACACAACCTTGAATACGCAATACTCCGGCCCAATGCTTCGAGATGCAGTGCTTGCGAAACATCCCAATGCCTTGTCCCAAATGCCCATGACCATGCCCGGTCCCATGTCCCTATGCCAGTCCCGTAAATAAAGTCCAAACTCCATGGCGATCCAGTTCGAGAATGCCGCTGATTGAAAAGGAAATAGTGATGGTTTAGAAAGCAAAGGGAGCATTCTCCTTGAGGTCTTGGACGAGCTCGTTGACGTTGCTCAGATACTGGCCGAGCAGACGTTGTTTTTCGTCGGTTGTCTTTGAGAAGGCGACGGAGTCGTTTGTGTTGCGACGCTTGCTGGGTTTTCTCTGCGGACCAGCCGAGGAAGAGTTGGCAGAAGGGGTCTCGGGCATGAGATAGAAGTAGAGAAACTCGACAAGCTTCAGCTTGACTTCTCTGGATGTGCTGCGCGACTTGAACAAGCTGGCGATGGCGAGAAGGCCGTCCATCTTCTCGAATGTGCGAGTGCTCTCGGGGGTTGCCAGGAGAGCAGTGACGAGGACAAGGAGGACTTGCGACTGGACGACGGGTGGGTTTGCGGCATCGAGGAGATCGAGGAGCAGGTCCATGTAGCTCTCACGGCGGAAGAGGGCGCGCGAAGGGGGNTGGAGTAGGAGGACGCCTTGGAGCATGTCGAGGGCGGAGAGGATGATGGCATTGGATTGAGTGGCNTGGAAGAGATCAGACTGTGGCTATTCGTGGTGGAGGAGGGTATAGTCACCATTGGGCATGCCTAGCAGGGTCTCGAGACAGGCCATCAGGCGAGAGGCGACTNNGAACGGACATGTCAGTGTGCTGAAGGGATCGCGCAGGATAGAAGACGTACCATTCCACTCAAAGCCCTCCTGCAGACGGAAGAACTCTCGGTATGCGGGATCCTGGCACAGGGAGCTCAACTGTCTAGGCGGAAGGAGCGTGTCGCCAGACAGACGCGATGATGATGGACGGCGCTTTTGCTGCGAACATGATGGCGGGATGCAGATCTGAGCCAGCAGACCTTCAATCTGGCGCAGGCCCTTGCGGATCTTGATAATGTCCTTGGAAGACGTGTTGTCGAACGAGAGGGACAACAGTGCTTCCATGGTTTATGCTGCGCTGCACAGGCTCGTTGGCAGGCACAAGCTGCACAGGCTCTCTGGAGGGCAGACGACACAAGTCCGGACAGGCACTAAGACGACACAAGTGCAGATGTCAGAAAGGTACGCAGAGACCAGAGTGCACTGTGACTGGACTGCACTACTTCTATATGACCCTTGGTCCTGCCCTGGAGCCGGCGTTTCGTCAATCAACACAGGCCGCCCCTGGCCAGGCAACCAGTGCCGCCCAAAGCCAAATTGCGCCAACGTCCAACTGTCGGAATCTGTCAAGTCCATCACATCCAGAGGTCAAGGCTTGTCGAACTCATCAAAAGTCAAGGCTTCTCTACTCTAGTCCGTCAGATCTGCAGTATATTCGAAGTGCTTCATCAGAAATTAAGGCTCCTCGGGCTGCCACCAACATCACCACCCCAGCCTCCTCTTCCAGCCATCTCGCCTGGCCAACATGATTCATCCCGCTTGATCAACCTCGTCATCGGCGACATGCAATTTTAACAAGTCGCTCTTCAGCCCGACTCTCCCTACTCGCCCGGCGCAACGCCTATAGTCCATCGTTATCGACGATTCTATCGGCAATAGTCCATGTGAAAGACCCTCTCCGACCCGATAGCAAAGTCCACCTGACATGGCATATTGACCTAGCCTTGTAGCCCTACGCCAACAGCCACTATGACCATGCTGTCTCTCATCGCGCAAAGGTCTTGGCCACCAACAGTGCTTGGAGGAAAGACAACCCTGAGAAGTACGCAGAATCTCGCGGCCAAACCAATGTCTCGAGAGTCGCTCGATACAAGCATGACATCCAAATACGCGAAATCAAAAAGGCTCAAGTGGCAGAATGGTATGCGAGACAAGATCCGCCTATGTTCTGGGAAAGGCTGTGGCTACGAGAAGAAAGCAATACTATGGATGAAACGCAAGGACTCTGACCCTGTTTCATATGATTGCTTCAACTGCTTCACATCGGACTGGGTTCCAGAGAGGGTCCTACCAATTGGCTACGAGCATGTGGTCTTTGGGTCAGGTAAGAAACCAGAGCCCCGCAGTGTCCCAACACAAGACGTCGAAACCAAGACTTCTGGAGACGCAAGAACTACGAGCGGCTAGAACAGCCCAACTTTTGGCAGAGCACTGTAAATATTCATGGTATCGGTGTGATTATGCAAACCTAGAGAGCAAGACACAGTAAATAAATTGCCTTCCTACGAATTCTGATAGATGTATCTAAGAAATCTTCTCCTAGCCGTGTCTACATCACATCGATGTGACTCGAGCTCATAGGCGGATTTAGATCACGTGTAGCGACATTGCTGCTTTTCAAGAGCGCTTTGTGCCCCAGCGATCAATTCATACTGGGTACAGCACACCGCTTTCTAACACCATGGCCGACACGATGCCGCATTTCCCTCGGGTCTACTTCCGCTACGTAGAACCCTTGATGATCACCTTCGGAAGTCTCAATCTCATCTTCAGTGGTGCAACCAGCGCCTCAACCTACCTCTCAACACCGTCCCACCCAACATTGGCAACCGAGCACTTTCTGGCCCTGCAAGCAGGCAGCATGATGCTTCTGGCCGGCTTGCTACTCACAGTCATCATGTGGACAAGCAACGAAATCAAAACCATCAGACTCACAATCATGGTTCTTGCAGCATCCGACATTCCTCATTGGATTTTCGGGGCTTGGTGTTTGGGTCCGCTTGCTTTTGAGCCTAGCAGTTGGAGCGCGGAGATGAAGGCGTATATGGGAGTTCCTGTTGTGACTTTTTCGATCAAGGTCGCGTATTTGCTGGGATTGTTTGGACGCGATAATATTGTCGAGAAGGCCAGGAAGGAGCTGTAGGGAATATCTATCGACGGCTTTGGCAAGTGCGTTATCCAAGAAGGTCGTTATCGTGCAAATGTACTACCGTAGCTGCATCCAAAACCTGTCGAGTTTGGAGTGCAGTCCACATGCATAATATGCAGAGATATATTTAGCACTTTCTTCGTGGTCGCTGTGCATGAGTAAAAGTGATCGGATCAGGACGTCGAGGTCTGCAGCAGCATCTGTAATCTTCACCGACAAATCTATCTATTCACGCTCCAAAAGCATCACAATTGACAGCAACACAACATTGCACCCACTTTTATCGTCAAACCTGATATCGGAGTACGACGGTAACTACCAGCCTCGATGAGTTCATGCGGCTTGTCTGTCGTGACGGGTGCCATCTCGCAGTGGCTTCTCGCTTGTGCCGGGACCGTTTCATGAAGGGCGCCTTTGCCGAAAGTGCTTGACTCCAAGCGCCCGGCTCTTTCGCCTCCTCCATCATCTTTCGAAACCTGGAAATCGAAGACGCGATCGGGCCGTAAAGGTCGTCGAAAACGGCACACCACGTTCTGAGAGTCGTCATGCTTGAGCTTTGTACAGAGGTCTCGAGGCTCCTATGAGAATACGTGCACTCAACAAGCTGTGCCGGCACGGTGCGGTCGAGTACGGACGGTCAACAATCCTGGTCTTTGCTGCTGGGATGCAGTGATAATATGCTTGCAACTTGTCTGTGCAACATTTTATTGATAGAGTCGTCGCAGAATACTCCAACCCCAGGCGTACCTGCAGATCACTGTCCTGCAGGCAGAGTCAGAGTCAAGGCTCTCTTTAACGAGTATTATGCAATCCAGACCTTGTAGGTGTGGATCTTCGATCCGCCCATCAAACAATTTCTTTCAGGCTCCCAGCTCTTTTTCAATATACCGCTGTTGTTTCTTCAAAGGTTTGTTCAGACCTCTTCTTTTGGTAATTGCACTTGCTTCTTGCCCACACTCGTTTCACCACTGTTCATTCAATTCTTGCCCTCGTTCCTCATCAACAATCAGTTCAACCAAGACAATCTTTCATTGCATATCGATCATGTCTCTTCAACGTCTCGGTTTCGCTGCTTGCGCTCTGATCCTCGGGGCCAGAGCGATCGACACCATCACTGTTCCGGATGTCATCACTGCCGACGTTGCTTTCACCTTGACCGTTACGCCTAAGGACACTACTCCGGGTAACTACAGAATCTATTTGGATACTACACCTCCCGGCTATGCTGGTGGTCAATCTTGTATGTCGGAGCAATCTCCCAGAGTATAGTTTACCGAGCTGACAACATACAGGCNNTACCTCAAAAACATCACTTCCACCGACATCACAGCAGTCAATCTCACTATTCCCGCCGACTTTGGCCCCAGCGGCGATTTCTATTCCATCTCCACCCGTGACCTCTCCGACTCAGATACCGATGCCAGCTACGTCTTCAGCAACGCCTTCAACCTCACAGGCGCAAGTGGAAACTACTCCGAGTACGAGAACAAGTTGAACGGCGCACCTCTCTGGGACGCCAACAGCCTTCCCTGCACTGCCTACGATTGCGCACGCAACTGTGCTCAAGACTCTTATCCCAAAGATATGATCCCCGGCTCTGACGCTTTCAACACCATGCGCGCTTGCATCATGAAGTGTCCTGGTGTAGAGAAGGAGACCAAGACTTTGTCTGCAACTTCTAGCACTGCTACCGTTACTAAATCTGGCTCTTCGGGCTCCTCTGCTAAGGCTACTGGTACTTCTACTTCTGATGATGATGCTGCTTCATCTGCTTCTGGAAGCTCTGCTGCTGCTGCTACTTCTTCTGGCGCTGCTGTGGCCAACATGGTTCCTGCTTCTTTGGCCGTTGCAGGAGGACTTCTTGCTTTCTTCCTGTAAAATGGCAATACACCACTCAACTTTCGAATGGCTGTGGAACTGATTACACTCTGAGTAACGGAATCCTGTTGGTATTCGGGGGTCAGGATGAACTATAACATGACTTGAAAGGATTTGCAATCATGGAAGAGATATTACAACTATACATAAACACTAATTAAAGCAATATATACATATCACCATGAACGTCTTCAATGCTACTCGACTCTAAGTCTCCTATTGCTTGGTCTCCTGTCCGGCGTGTCATCCTGTAAAATTCTAATAATGATTTGCCCTTTTCCTTACGCCCAGAAGGTGGAAATCTCAACATCTAAGATGAACATTTTCCGATTCGACATTCGCCGTCAAATAGACAGGATCATGACAAATCTATGCAGTGTGTATGCGGCCGTTCTGCTGTGAGCTGACAACTGACTTGCAAAGACTTTTTTTTGCTTTGATGTCAAGTACATTTTAGGGATGATTGGACAGGGTGACCTACTTTGATGCTGGGACAACCCTGTCATCATGGAGATATCCTTTTGTCTGGTGTCTTTTGTCATTGTGAGATGATTGCACATTGTTCCTGTGACATTTGAGGAGTTTGCTTGTGCTTGGTAGTGTGCATCATTATTTGCGGATTGTTTTTGAGCCGTGTTGCATCCATCTGTGGTTTTCTACAATCTTATGCGCACAGCACGTAAACTCTACTACATTCTCGAAACCATCAACCAAGAAGACAGTGACAATGAAGACGAAAATACAGAAGATCAGGTGGTCCTGGCGTTTTTCGAGCCTCTCATTACATCTCAAACCGTCTACCTATACTTCATACATGCAAATAAACAACATATCTCAAATCCTCTCCCTCTTCCTCATCACCAATATCCATATACGTTCCCTGCGACTTTGATATTCTCATTCCAAAGTCTAGCACAAAGTCTGCCGTCCAAGCTGGATTTGTCCATAGAGAGCCAGGTAAGAACATGGCAGCTTTCTTTACGCGGTCGAGGTACTCGGCTGCTTCTTCGTCTGCTTCCTCGTCTGGGTCTGCGGCTGCAAGATCAGGTTCACCGTATTCTTCGACAAGGGATTGTGTCCATTTGCCTATGAGCCCTTGGTTTGCGAATTCGGAATCATTGGTGAGGGCGAGGTAGATGAAGCAGAGGAGGATGGTCCAGAGGTATTCTTCGTGTTCCGAGCCACGGAGTTTGCGGAGTTTTGTTGTACCCGTTACGTACTTGACTCCAGACATGAAGGACTTGTGAACAGCAGGCATCTCCATTTCCAAGAGGTCGAGTGCGTCTTCCAGGGTCCAGATTGCAGAGCCAGCAGAAGATGATACGGTCTCTGGCTGTAGGTCTTTGAGGTAAGTGGCCATGCGTTCTTGCACTGTGTTGATGACTTCGTATTGCATGTCTCTGTAGATCTTCACGGATGCCTGGCGTTGGTTTGTTGGTTGAGAAGGAAGCTTTTCGTTGGCTTCTTCCAGCTTGCCGATTTTGGGGACGAGCGACATCATGATGTAGAGAGCAATGCGAGGTAGGTAGCGTTTGCCTTCGCCGTGGTAAAGGTACTCTTCTGCGTCCTCGATGGGGGCGACGTCTACTCCTCTCTCCAGTTGAACAACATAACAGAAGAGTTCGGCAAGGGGTGCTGGAACACATCCCCAAGCTTGATCGAAGGGACCCGCATCGCTAGTCTCTTGTAATTTCGCCTGTAACAGACGGAATGTGGCAGCCTCGGAGTTCCATTCTCCAGTGGCTTTGAAGTATTCGGGATGAGTGATGCTCAGCATCTGCTGCAGTGGTGGCGGAGGGGGTCTCATGGCTAGGAGTAGTCCATCGTAAGGATTGTTAGGTGCGCAGAAACCATAACCCATCAACAGCTCCTCGCTCGACTTTGGGCCATAGTTGTTGTAAACTTGTGAGCCAGGCTCAATCCTCTCCGAGACAGACAAGCTGAACCGGTCGGGGTCGTAAGTCCAGTTGACACGAGCGTTTGGGTTGTGATTTCCAATGTCGATGGCGGGGAAGAGGACAGAAAACTTCTTCCAGTCCTCGGGGTAGTCGTTTTGATTCAGAAGGACGGTCTGAGTGCCATTGGCGTCGTGTTTGTAGGCTGTCCAGTATTGACTGTCTTGTGGTGTGACAGTCAGGCCGTTGAAACTGCGTGATGAGTATACTGTGGCAGCCCATCTGAAGAGTTCCCTGTGCTGAAGTCAGGTACAGTGACGTTGGTTCGTGAGTCTTGTGCTCAAGATGTTGGTATCGAGAATCACAAGCCCAGTATACTCGCCACGAAGCACGATGTTAGATCTTCTGTGCACTGGCAGCCTATGCACTTACCAGGTGTAGTCTGTCACGTCCATGCCAGCGGATTCCATGACTTGTACTCCGTCTTCCCAATACTTCTTCCAGGCAACCTCTCTACCGAGCAGAGTTGGATGAAGATCTGTACCTTCCAACCATTGACGGTCATCTTCATCATAGAAAATGGGAGTTTCGAATCCTTGTTCAGGAGAGGGCAATATATCCAGATACGGCTTCCAGAATGACTTGTCTCTGTTGAGCCACTGTGCCGTCAGGTAGAAGAAGCTGAGAGCTTCAACAGTAAACTTCTGCGCATGAGTTCTGAAGACAGGAAAGTTGTCGTCCACCTGAGCGTTCAGATTTGACATTGCCAGATTATGAGGCACTGTCAGAACATGTGTACCAGGTTCAATGATGGCAGTGGCTCGGAAATGTGAGCCTTGTTCAGCATCTTGGGCAAGCTGAACAGAGTGATGGAGGTAGCCTCCGTTGCTCCTAAACCAACTCTCAAAGGCGTCCATAGCGATGGTGGGATCTAACTTTACGCAAAATGTTTTGGTGACTTTGGAAATATTTTCGAAAGTCGAGACGGACGTCATGGGAAGAAGCTTGGACCAAGCATTCGTTCTTGCCAGCCTCTTTCTCACCGTCCTTCTCGCTGCTGTCTCTGCTGCGTGCGCAAACCATGCTCACTGGATCGTCCCTCACAGCAGTACTCGTATGTGCTTGGACAGATACATTTGCCATGCAGAAATCTGCATGCCATGAGACGGTGTCGTTCTTCCTATCGCCGGTCCGGTTAAGACCGTTAAGCCCGAGCTAACAGAAGTGATGTAAGGACATGATATAAACTCTCAGTGCCCTTGAGAGTCCCGGAGCTTTCTTCAAATCATCTTCAGCTTAAACAAGCAGCCAATATGACTTCAGCACAGAAAACAAACATCAATGTCGTCTTCGGAGCCATGACGTTTGGCAAAGAAGGCTCCGAACAGGCCCGCGTATACGACCTCGACACTGCTGGCAAGATCCTCGACATTTTCCAGGCTCATGGCCACAATGAGATCGATACCGCTCGAGCTTACTGCGAGGGCACATCAGAGACCATGCTCGGTGACCTCGAATGGCAGAAGAGAGGCCTAGTCATGGAGACCAAGTACTACCCGACCGCTGGAAAGTCCATCCCGTCATCATGGAACAGCAACCTGAGGCACACTCCCGAGGACCTCCGTGAGAACCTCATGACCTCGTTGAAAGAGTTGAAGACGGACAAGATTGATATGTGGTACCTCCATGGTGTAAGCCTCACTTGACCGTCCAGCCACTCGCCTTCGAAGCTAACATAAGTGTTATAGCCCGACAGAACCACCCCATACGAAGTCACCATGAAAGCTGTAAACGATCTGTACAAAGAGGGCCGCTTCAAGAGACTGGGAATCTCGAACTACATGGCATGGGAAGTGGCTCAAATCTGTGAGCTCTGTCGCAAGAACGATTGGGTCCAGCCAAGTGTCTACCAAGGTGTCTACAACGCTCTCCATCGCTCAATCGAGCCAGAGCTCTTCCCTTGTTTACGTTACTACGGCATCGCGTTCTACAACTACAATCCTTTGGCCGGTGGCTACCTCACCGACCGATACAGTAGGGAGGATGCTGAGAAAGACATCGAGAGCGGTTCACGTTTCGATCCCAACAAGTGGCAGGGCAAGATGTACCGCATGCGCTACTGGAAGGAAGAGTACTTTAATGCTCTTGATCTGCTTCGTCCCGTTGCAAAGAAGCATGGTCTCACTGAAGCCGAGTGCGCCCTCCGCTGGATGCAAAACCACAGTCAGCTTCAACGCGAGAAGGGCGATGCCATCATCATCGGTGCATCATCTGCTCATCACATCGACCAGAATCTGAAGGATCTGGAAAAGGGTCCTCTTCCGGATGATGTACTCGAAGCTCTGGACAAGGGCTGGGAGGGCTGCAAGGGCATCAGTATCAGATACTATCATTGAGTCTAGCGATATCGTGTTTCGCTTAGAACAATCATAGCATCCAAGTAATCAATCTATTGTCTATTCAAGCATGATCGTTGTGACTACGGTTTTCCATAGGGCCCCGTAGTACAATAAGCCAAGTCAGCAAGTTTTCAAGTACTGCAATTAGAAATTGAGGTGTTTTGCTCTCGTTGCAGAGGACCATGTAATAAGGGTGAGAAAAAGTCGTATGTTCATCGTTCCCTGTGTTTGGCCTTGGAATGAGCAGAGCGTTGGAATTGCAAAGGCGGTGTCTCGGTCGGCAGTTCGCCCCTCACCCTCGCATCCACTCCTTGATCCGTCATCGCAGAAGGGGCAGCAACGATTCATCACCCATTCTTTCATTTTCGAGAGTAGGTAATGGGGACGGACGGTATGTACACAAGAGTAGAAGGCACATCCGACAGTAGAGAGGCTCTGTCATCGCCTCTCGTCTCGCAGAAGCAACGTCTATCAAGACGCTCGCTATTTGTTCTTCAAGTACTTCTCTTCATCGGTGCTGTCACGTTCTTCGTCATGTTATACAGGTCTTTCGCCTTTGGTGCTGTTATTGGGTGCGTCAGTGGGGCTGCCGTCTCTTCCAACAAAATCTCGAAAAATGTTCCTCAGTATTTCCAAACCAAGCCTGAGCTTTTCGCTGGTCAGCATGAAACGATAAGCACTTCTTGACCAGACGCTGATATTTTGAAGNGTCCAACCCCAACTGGCGCCGCTCCGTTTTTAGCACAGATCAATCCTGCTCCCTTTGCGAGCACATCTTATGTCCCGAATAGTCCCCTGGAGACCCAAGTCCCGATAGCTGGCAACAAGAATGGCTCGAACATATTTCAGAACATGGGTCAACTCACTCCTTACTTTCCCAATCCTGTCGGTTTTGGCGTGGATGAGTACTCATTGCCTCCTGGCGCAGAGATCGTTCAACTGAACATGCTCTCGCGCCACGGTTCAAGGTATCCAACCACTGGTTCTGGAGCCCATAAATTCGGTCTGAAGCACAAGAACATGACAGATGCAAAGTACACGGGCGAGCTCTCGTTCCTCAATGACTGGAGTTATCAATTGGGTGCAGAGATTCTGGTACCCATTGGTAAGCAAGAGCTCTTTAACTCTGGCACTCTGCACTACTATCAGTATGGCCACCTCTACCCCAACAATGGTTCGAAAATCATCGCCAGAAGTACGACCCAGGATCGTATGACCAAGTCTGCAGAATATTTTCTAGCGGGTTTCTTTGGTCTTGAATGGACCAGTAATGTCACTTTGATGCTTGCCATTGAAGACCGCACTGGAGTATGGAACAATACGCTGGCGGNNGGTAAGTTCGCCTTTTTCGTACTCAACCTACATATCGTACTCATAGTGTTCAACAGGTACTACAACTGCGACAACAGCAACAACTTTCGCAGTGCAGGCGGTAACAACGCCACAGTCGAGTGGTACACCAAATATCTTGCTGATGCTACTACGCGTCTGCAAAAACTGGCGCCAGGCTTTGACTGGACAGTAGAAGATTCTTACAATGCACAATCACTGTGTGCATACGAGACAGTAGCCTTTGGATTCTCGCAGTTCTGTGGTCTATTCACCTACGAAGAGTGGGAAGGATTTGAGTACAGTATCGATATCCAGTTCGCGGGTGGCAATGGGTTCCAATCTCCTACAGGTCGTGCCATCGGTATCGGCTATGTGCAGGAGATCCTTGCTCGTCTCCAACACCACACGATTGACTCACCTATCGCACAAGTCAACGTCACTCTGGACAACAACACAGTTACATTCCCTCTCGATCAAAGCCTCAACTTTGACTTCTCGCACGATACCAACATCATGAGCATCTTGACTGCATTTGGCTTTACCCAATTTGCCCAATTCCTACCAGCCGATCGTATCGTTCCTCGCGAACTGATAGTCTCACACCTGGTAAGTATGCCCGGAGATCGCCAACGCATTGTACTGACGAGACTAGNNGAACCGTTCGCTGCACGTCTTGACATCGAGATCATCAATGCGCCCTCTCCAGTCAAAACCTCGCGCAAGAGTGAGGATCTCTATGAAGAGGGTACGAGAATTTCTGCTGGTAACGAGCGGATCATGAACTAACAGTATGACANNGGCAAAGCAACCAAGTACATACACTTCATCCTCAATCAGCGCACCATCCCTCTACATCGCAGCTTCCCCGAGTGTGCAGAGCGTGATGATGGCTGGTGCGAGCTCGATACCTTCCTCGCTGTGCAGAGCAAGAGTTATGAGATTTCCCAGTACGACTGGAGCTGTAACGGAGATTATCCTGCCGTCCCTTACGGCGAGATCACCAATGGCGTGCCGGTTCACAGCCAGTCATAAAGAATTTGAGGAGCAAAATGCGATGAAGACCTCAACGTATCGTTTGTTGTATTCAATGTTGTGTACTATGTACGAATACTAGCTTGTTCATTCTGTCATATACGATACGTATGATGTTCTGATATTCTATGCGCGACTAAGTTGGAGAGGAAATCCTTCGTCTTGACGACCTGTCAGATTACTGGACCTGACGCAATAGCAATGTACATGAGCGTATATACCAACGACGAGCCAAGCACAAAAAAAAAATCGCAGGTCCGACGGTACTGGAAAGTGTCAACTCACTCACTTTTGTTGTTTGCAGCCTCCTCTTCTTTCGTGAAGTGAAGGGACGATAGTTTGAGACTGAGAGAAAGGAGAATGAGAAGAACGTCGATAGGCAGTTATCTCGACTCCGACAGGGATGACTGGCTGCAATCAAGCAGAAGCAACGTCAGCCACAATGGTAGCAAGGGCATTATGTATCAAGAGCGTTTGATCCGTAGGTAGCTAAGACAAAGCACCGAGCCCACGACTCCAACCTAAAACTCAGCAATGTGTGTGCCAATACCACGCTCGCGAGCTATCCTGACCACTTCATTGCCAACAACAACATCCATAAGACCGAGTCCAACAATCTTTGCAATGACATTGCCCTTGCACAACCACTCCTTCAGTCCCGAATTGTTTGATACCTGAATGCCTTCGCCTTTGTTGTCGGCATCACCCTTCTTTGCTGCATCGGCGGCTGCCTTTTCAGCCTCGCGTCTCAGCATCACGAGCTCGCCTATCTCGACCACTTGGTCGGGTTGTACGTTTGCTTGGATGAGTTCGCCGGCTTCCTGGAGACATGCCTCGACACTATCGACAATAATTGCACCACCCTCTTGCTGATGCTTGTGGAAGTGACGGTGTTCGTGGTGAGGTGCGACGGCGTTCTTGATAATATCGGGGTGCAGCTCAATCATATGAGGCTTGTATGAGCCGATCAGCGCAATGTACCGGCCCTTCTTGCGACCTTCTGGGTTCAAAAGGTAGCTTGAAGGGAATAACGGTTGCGTGCTGGGAGTAGTGCAGAAGATGACATTCGCACTGCGAACATATTCCTTGAGCAAGCGTATGTACTCCGTGTGTCCAGTTGTGAGGATACTGGTTTTCGTCTTACTTCCGAATTTGTGGCCCAAAGGGTTCTCGAATTCCGGGTCGTCAGGGAAAGGATTGTAAAGCTTCATCAGCATCTCTCGTGCTCTGTCGAAAGAGCGATTGATGACATTGACGTGATGGATTTCCGAGCCACGGAGAAGAAGAGCTAGGCGAATGTGCCAGTACGCCTGTTTGCCTGCACCGAAGACAGTTAGATCATGAACCTTGTGTCTTCTTTTCAGGAGCATGCAGCTAGTCAAAGCTGTACGGAAGGCAGTGAGTTCTTCAGCATTGATCAGAGCGCTTGGATTGCCTTGGGCATCAAACAAGGTCAGCGATCCACGAGGCGCAGTAGGTGGCTTCGAGTCTGCTGATGTGGTAGAGGGAGTGTGAACAGGACCGGACATGGAGGAAGGCCGAGACTTAGAACCAGTAGTAGAGGTCGTATGTGTTGACTTGGTCGAGCCGATAGAAAGACGTTTAAGATCCGGTGTGGTTTCTGGCTTCTTGACCGAATCTAGGGTGATGACCTTGACACCCATGCCAGAGCTGCTAGATGCTGGCATGAACAAGCTCGTCGCACCATCTGTTCGATTCATGTGAATTCTCTGAGGCTGATAGGCCGAGCAGCAGCCATCTTCCTCTCCAGCGGTAGAATATTGGTGCAGGGCGTCGGCAAGAGATTGCTGGATATCGTCGATGTCCTGGCTAGTAAGAGAGTGCAACACTCTTTGGACATCATGGTCCGAAAGCACTGTGACAGGCATTCTGAGGTTGTTGAGATGCGAGAAAAACAGTAGAAGACCTGGAGGAGAGACACGTATGAGATTAGTGGCTCACTGAGGTGTAGCAGAGTGGAGATAGCGCAAGATATATGTTATCACTGGAATCCAGTATAGACGCGATCAGCAGCGTGATATTTGTTTGTTATGCAGGCCGAGGTTGGGATATGTTTATTCGTCAGTGTCCAGAGTATTCGCGCTGTTTGGTTACACTGTATTGCGAGGGACGCACAGCATGTAGTGATCGTAGATGTATCAGGATGGTAGCCTGGATGTAAGCAAGTCGGCAAAGCACGGCTCAAGAGGTTGAGAGACTGTCGTTCCCGCTGGCGTTCAACCAGTTTTCCGTTAAGTTTTCCACCTCAGGCAGCCAAGAGTACTGGTCGCGATGTGGAGTGCGACGTATGACCTAGTCGCATACAATGTACCTAGCTTTGTTTCCTCAAATTTCTTGCGGGAGAGGACCGAGCTGACTTCAGTTCGACAGGTCTATCGCAGTTCTCATGTCACTCGTGATGAGAGACGGATGCTTGGCAGCAGAAAACATGGAAAACACATCGTAGATGACTGAAAATGATGTACTTGAATGTGGTATCACAAGGCTATAGTATGATGGTCACGATTGGGTACATCAGAGAAGAAAAAATACAGAAGCAACCACAATGATGTCGAAGTTGACGGACACCCAAATAGTGATGGTTACCGAAAGAGGAAGGGAGAAGTGATTGGCTGGATTTGCCGAGAAATTCGCTTGGCGCCTCCCGCACACGAGCTTTTTTCTTCTTCGTCGCGCGAACTTCTGATCTTGATCTTCTCCAGCCGCGACAGAACCAGTCAACCACCGTCCAGTTCGACAATCATTCAAAATGGTAAGCTCGCACCACATTCAAGGACCTTGAAGCGCTGTCGTCTCTGCAGTGCAATGCGCCCATGCGCCTTGCAAGTCTCGCTTGCCTGCGAGCGCAGCAATTCAAGATGATGTTCGACATCAACATCTATTGTAGTCGCTTCTTCCTGAGACATGGAAGACGGCAATGACCAATGGCTTGGGCTGTGACTGGAGTAGAAATACTCGTCAGCGCAGCCCTTTAGAGTCAAAAGCAATGAGCATTGTGCTGATTTGCTTTTCTCAATGAAGGCCCCTAAGTCTGGAAAGAAAGTTGCCGCCGCCCCCTTCCCCCAGGGCAAGGCCGGTGTCTCCAAGAAGAATGCCAAGGTGAGTTTGACAGCATCCTCTCTGCTAACCCGCCGACTTGCGTGCTGACATGCCCTCCAGAACCCTCTCATCGAGAGACGTCCCCGCAACTTCGGTATCGGTCAGGACATCCAGCCCCGTCGCAACCTCTCGCGCATGGTGCGCTGGCCCGAGTATGTCCGCCTTCAGCGTCAGCGCAAGATCCTCAACATGCGCCTGAAGGTTCCCCCGGCCATTGCCCAGTTCTCCCAGGTTCTGGACCGCAACACCGCCGCCCAGGCTTTCAAGCTCCTCAACAAGTACCGCCCTGAGACCAAGGCCGAGAAGAAGGAGCGCCTGACCAAGGAGGCCACCGCCGTCTCCGAGGGCAAGAAGAAGGAGGATGTCTCCAAGAAGCCCTACACCGTCAAGTACGGTCTCAACCACGTTGTTGGCCTCATTGAAAACAAGAAGGCTTCCCTCGTCCTCATCCCCAACGATGTCGACCCCATCGAGCTCGTTGTCTTCCTTCCCGCTCTCTGCAAGAAGATGGGTGTCCCATACGCCATCGTGAAGGGCAAGGCTCGTCTCGGAACGGTCGTCCACAAGAAGGTGAGATTCCACTTCTACGTCAACTCGCTCGCACGAAAACATACTAACATACCACTCAGANCCGCTGCCGTCCTCGCCTTCACCGAGGTCCGCTCCGAGGACAGCTCCGAGCTCTCCAAGCTCGTCTCCGCTGTCAAGGACGGCTACATGGCCAAGACCGAGGAGTCCAAGCGCCACTGGGGTGGTGGTATCATGGGCGCCAAGGCTGTTGCTAAGCAGCAGAAGAAGCAGAAGGCCCTTGACAACGCCATCAAGATCTAAGTGCATTGATTGTCACTTTCCATCTGGCGTTGGCTTTGGACTGGGGTTCTGGTGGGAAACAAAAGCTTTTCGAGTTATCTTCCGGCACCAGAATGACAGTTTTGTCGTGCTGCAAAAAATTTCTTTAACGACCCCTTTGAATGATACCCAAACTTTCCATTTTGTTAATAAGTGATCCATCAACTGCACGCGCATTGACTTTTGTGATGTGTCGGCGTTGTAAGTAATCTAGTGATGGAAGGTTTCGCTGTGGTCGATGTATCTACGGTATCGGTGTTCCTTGGTCTCTGTCGCTCGGCCCACTTCTCTGCTTCACGGCCTTCTGATGACCGCTCTCACCTCTCGACATGTCTTGCTCCGTCGCGACACAGTCGCCGTGCATGGTGCCAAGTACTCTGGAGTGCTGCATGGCATGGAGGGTGTAGATCATCCTAGACCTCACCGCTGTTCTGCCTGTGTCAAGCTGTGAAAGGTTGCCAATATCTCGACACCAGAATGAGTCCTCTGGGTTCGAATGTATGCTCACAACAGCAATACGGTATCAAGATTTTTGCGACGTCTCCAACCACTTTTTGACTGCAGCGGTACTGTCGTGGGCAGCGCGGAACACTGCAGAATATAGATTAATCTCTGGAAGATAGTCTTTGGTTGGGCACCAACACTTACATTGTCGTTCTGTGTCGTCCAACCCCCTGGTAAAGTCTGCACCTTCACCCAATGCACTTCGTGAATTTAGCGCTTGATCTGAGATTTCGGCCGCACGTTGTTTGAATGTCNNTGTTTTTCGCATGAGAGATTAGAATGTGATGAGTCGTGAAGAAACATGAATGATACGTACGTCTGTCAAGACATCGACCATCTCTTCTTCCTCGAATAATTCTAGCATGCGGGCACCGATGTTGTAGAAATGTTGTGCTTGAGCTCGAAGATCTACCGTCTTTGGATCTGCTTTGAGGGCGTTCATTACACGTTGAGACAGTGCTTGAGGTAGGTCCAGTGTTGCTAGTGATGAGTTTCCCGACGGATTGCTCACGGCCAGCATTTCGGCTAGCCAGAGTGGCAGTTCTACCTTGGAGCCCTGTTTTATCTGAGACGAGAATTAGCGGACAAAGAGTAGAAAAATGGATAAGAAACCCACATCTTCTCCTGGGTTGCCCTGCAAGTATCCCATGTTGGGAACTGAGAGTTCGAATGTGCAAGGCACTTTCTGNTCAACTAGTCAGTCGTTGTATTGAAATGGGAGGAGCCGTATCTCCCATACCTGAGCATCTGTCAAGATAGCATCAATGTTGTAATATGAGCCCATGATCGTGTTTCTTTCTGAGTGAAGACAGGTGAAATTGGTAGACAGAGGATATGACCGGGATATAAGAAAGATTCCAGAGACACGGAGCCGGGATGACTAGATGTATATCTCGAGGTGAAGAAAACCGGACAAACAGTGGTGGAAAAAGTGTATGCACGGGGGCTGCGTGCGTAGTCGTGCTACTGCCTAGAGGAAAGGGCAATACTTAAGACAAGCGGTTCCTCAGCGATTACAGTCCTCTTCCTGTTCAAGATTACACAGGCTTCCCTGGACTATTTTCGGATCGGTTTGAAAAGGTTTAGAATTCTTGTATCAGCCAAATATCATCGTCAGGTGTGTTTGTACATGGTAGACGCGTAGACGCGCCTCGAGATTGATCTTGGTGATCAACGGAGATTGGGCCAAAAGCCGAACTGACTCAGGCGCAGGTCAGAGCTTCCGCTCCAGCATCGGGCAACGAAACACTCCCAGGACGAGTGCACAACATCGCATCCATCAAAGGGGCGATCCTATTATCATTTCTAGACGCTGGTTGCACAAGCAAATCTCCTGCAAAGAGAGGCTGGATCACTCTGCACAACACTTTCCTTCACCCACGACTTTGCATACGTATTCAGGTCGTGTGAGCATCACCGTCGATATCGACGTCAGCTTCGCAGCGTTTCGCCCTCCGATGAAGTGGTAGACGGTCGACCGGAATACACAACATGGTCACCAACAGTGACCCAGGGCATCCCACCGCCCATACGCCATCTGGCAGAGATACGGATATGCTCGACGTCAACAACGACAGCAACCATCCTTCCAGTACCGACATGTCAAGAACCACAACGCCCGATGGCCTCGACAATAGGTCAAGTCGGACCCGCCCTCGTGTCTTCCCTTATACGAAGTACCTGCCCTACGAGACCGAAACGGCCGACCAGAGACAGCAAGATGTGGATGACATGATCAAACACCTATACATTGCCGTTGGTTCGGGCGACTTCGTGCCGGGAGCGGTGCACTGGACAAAGGAAATCCGTGGGTGGCTGTCGCTCAAGTTCGACCTCAGTCGTCAACAGCGCATCATTTTGACCAAGCTCTACTATGAACTTGCCCTAGCGCCAGGTCTCGAGTACACGGTTGCCGAGCGCTTTGCCAGCATGTTCATGGTCTTGACCAAGCGCCGCCACTACCTGAAGCCCATAGATGACTTGGTACTGGACTGGAGGCCGCTATACCAGGAGATCAAGGTCTTCGTGCTGCCTGGCGAGTTTGCCACACCTAACACCTTCTCCAGCAAGCGCAGCATCCGAACGCTCACCAAGATCTGCACCTTCGCCCAGCTCTTCTTCGATCCCAAGGAGATCCCCGCCCTCCTCGATGAGCTCCTCCCTTTCTTCTCCATGTCGCCTTCGGAAAGCGCATTCGTCGTGCTCGGCCTGCTCAACCTCTTCTTCCCCACTCATGCCCCTCCCCCGAACCAACCTGAGCTTCAACCTCAACATTACCTTCCCACATTCTTCCATCTGTGGTCAATAATAAACCGCTCGACTTNNTTTACCGATCAGCGTTTCCTCGACATGTTCTCCAGATTGTCGCGCGACTGTCTGACTGTTGAGCACGTACCATTCAGCGAGCACGGTATCTACACCGCCGAGCAGACGTCCATGGTCTTTACATCCATCCTGAGGTTGCTCGAGATTCCCGTTGGCCAGGCTTCATCGCCGTATCATATCAACATCGATCTTGGCGCAGGTTTGTCTGCCCTTCTCGAGCGTGATCCTCGCAAGCATCCCGCTTCTAGAAGTATTGCAAGATGGATTATCATGTCCCTTTCACCAGCTTGTCTGAAGGTGAAGGACGGTAGATCTATACTACACCAGCTCGAGGGTCTGATCCAGGGTATTGAGACATTCTTCCATCCCTCAAATACAGGTGCTTGGACAAAGACGCTATCACAACTTGTCTACTATCTTGCAGACTTTTTCGTCATGCGTTGGAACAGAGAGGAGAGCGGTGAATATAAGATGCCCGCCGAGCGTAAACTGACTCCTGAGCTACGGAAACGTTTCGTCATGTGCTTGAGAGAAGTCGTTTTCATGAACATCTACTCCAAGAGCGGCACCGCTGTCAACTACGCTCTTTCTACTCTGCAGTGCTTGGCTTTCCTCGAACCAAACCTGATCCTTCCTGGTGCTTTGCAAAGAATCTATCCTGCCATGCAAGGACTGGTCGAGGTGCACAGAACCACTTCCTCCATTCGTGCTCTCCAAATGCTGTCTAGAATCATCGCTCGTACGAAGGGCTTCAGATGTCATCTGACTACTTTGCTTGGCCTTGCTCTTCCTGGTATTGATGCAAACGATCTTGACAAGACTATGAATTCTCTCTCTTTCGTCCAGGCTGTTTGTTACAACATTCCACTGCATGATCTTACTAAGAGTGCGCAGACTGATTCGGACGGCGAGCCCATGTCTGGTAGTACTGCTACTGCAGTGGAATGGATTACACAACAAGTCGATCGCTTCGAGATTGAAGGCTCTCAGGTCGAGTTGGACTATGCGAACGAGCTGACTGACGAGGACGAGGAAATCATCCTTCGTTCATCAACTGCTGGTTTCGCCGAGTTTCTGATCGCTTTCCTCGGTCGCGTGTTCACTCTGCTGCAGAATCTGCCTGATGCTTCTCGCGTCAAGAGCGGTTCTCCAGAGGAGAATGTTGTCAACACTCTGCCTGCTGCGTTTGCACCTTTGCTTGCTGCTTTGTCGCCCGAGCTCTACGATATTGCTTTGCAGCAGATTGCCAAGTTTGTCACAAACCATGTGGTTCACCAAGCTCGTGATGCTATGGCATTCATCTGCAATACTCTGGTCAAGGTCTCTCCTAAGAAGGCTCTGAGTCGTCTTCTGCCCGACTTGATCTCAAGCATTAGGGCCGAGATTGACGAGAATGGTGCTGGCTCGAGCAGAACTTCTGGTTCCGAGATTCTTCCTCGGGATCGTGCTCTAGTATGGAACATCAGTTTGTTGAGCATGTGTGTGGTCCATGTAGGCTCCGATGTGCTTGACTTCCAGGATGAATTGTTCGACATCGCTAGTTACATGCAGGACAAGTGTAAGGGTATCCCTCTTGTTCATGTTTCGAACTTTGTCCATCATCTGCTGCTCAACTTGACTGTCACCTACACAACCGACTACTCGTTGTACGATCAGGCGGACTTGAAGAAAGGCCTGCAGCCGAGTGATTGGGCCAAGCTGCCGGATCCGAAGAACCTTCAAGTACAGTGGCATGTGCCCAAGGAAGCTGAGATAGATTTTGCCGTCAGGATCTTCGAGTATCAAGGCAAGCGATCCATTGATGCACTCAATGCTCTGACCAGTAACGACAATTCGCCTGTCAAGCGGGACGGAACAGGCAAAGACTGGTCAGATGAGGTCTCTCGTAATCTTGTTCTCTTGCGCTTGCTTATCTCAGGTATCTCCTGCTTCTTCCGCTCGGATGACGAGTCCGTCACTCCTGTCAGCGGCCATGATACCGAAGTCAATGGCAGTATCTCGCCCAAGCAAGAGATTCAGCAGAGTCCAAGCGACCTAACCGAACCCGACGATGACAAGATCCGCAAGACCTTCATCTATCCTACTGGCTACCCACTTCAGACCAGTAGCCCGCATTATGAAGCAGTGCACAAGTTACGCCGTCTTACTGGCGAGACTCTGCATCGCGTGCACGAGTTCCTTACTCAACACCAGCAAGATGATGTTCTTTGTTTCAATGCGCTTTACACAGCATATCGCTCGTGGTTCATCGACATTGGTATCGAGCGATCTGCCCACGTTCTCGACAGGCTTAGTCGCCTTCTTTCGGCAGACATCCACCCTTATAAGTTCAGCGGTACCCGTAAGGCCTATCCGCGACCTCTCCTTGCCAGACGTGCCAACTTGTATCACTTCCAACGGTTGAGATACAACGAGTCTCCCCGCGCAGCATCCGACCTTGATAAAGTACTCCTGCTCGACTTGGCTCATTCCAGTGTATCCGTCTACACAGATATTCGACGCACAGCCCAAACCGCCTCCGAGTCGGCTGTCCAGTGTATAATTGGAGCCAAGCCTCTCATCATTCCCCCCCTTCTGGATGCTCTAGAAGACGCCGTCAACAAGACGGACTTCCCACGCATCAAGGGTGCTGTCTTTTCTCTGCTCTTCGGCAGTCTAGCTCGTCCTATTGAGCGCAATTGGAAGTTCACTCCTAGACTCATCAGGTTGTTCATTCGTGTGGGAGAGACTGATAAGCCCAGTATTCAGAAGCTCGTTAGCAACGCAAACTTCCAGGTACACTCGATGTGCAGAGCCCTAGATCGCATGGTCATCTTGGACGAGAAGACTGTTGACAATGTTTGGCCAGCTGAGAGCAACACGCAGCCGTCTGATAAGTCTAAGATGGTCGCAACTTCCTTAGAAGATGCCAAGGCGCTCCTTCCTCCCNAGCAGGATCGCATTCGTCAACGCCGAATGCTGATCGAAGGAAAGAAGTCTGAGCTCTCTTCTGAATTGGTTGTAATGATCAAAGACTCGCATTGGCGTAAGGCTCAACGCGTCGCAGCCCTCGTGATCGGTCTGGACTACCGCTATGAGACTATTGCCTCGGACGGTATGCTTGACTTGGTCGTGAAGGGTGTAATCGACTCGCATCCTTCATTGCGTGTACTCTTTGCAAACGCATTGCTCGCTATCTGCAGTCTCATCCAGACAAGATCAATGACCGAGCACAAGTATGAGAATTATCTTCTCGACAAGCAGTTCCCTCCCGATCGCATGATTGTCGAAACTAAACCTGATGACCCTAAGTGGACCAAGCAATACCTAGATGCCTTCTCGCAGCCTGAGGCCGAGTACTATGTGGATGCTGAGTACCCTGGTTGGCTGGTGTGGGACAAGGTGATGCGCGTCTCCAAGAACCATGCTGTCGATCTCGATTACGACGAAGTCGAAGTCGGAACCCGCAAGCGCATTGGCAAGCACATTGACCGACAGTGGATATCTGTCTTCTTCGATTACATGAAGCAAGAGCCGCGTGATGCTCAGGATCGTTTCCGCACGACGAACTGCACAGTCATGTCCTGGGTCTTGGATCTTGTCATGGTTGGCCTCACACCAGCAACCTTCGATGATGTAGTCGATCTCACTAAGGCTACTTTCGGTGACGGAAGTGACAAACATCAACACCGCGCTACTGCAGAGATCATGGGTGCTCTCATCAACGCTGCAGAGGACTGTCAACCTAAGGTGAAGGAGAAGGTTTGGGAGTTTGTCTTCCCTCTTCTCCAGCGTGTCTTCCAAGATGGTTTGACTCCCGAGAACTTGTCATACTGGAGTAGTTTCCTGACTCTTACTGGTTGTGCAAGAGATCCTCGACGATGCTGGCCTCTTGTTGACTACTTCTCCAGCTTCAGACTGGATATGTCAACTAATGCCGCCTTCAAGGAGAGCTCCAAGATAACCCTCTTACAGCTTGTCATTGGCACGTTTGGCTGGCATTTCCAAAATGAGAAGCCTATTCTTGAGGACTTCTTGAAGCACCTTGATCACCCCTACAAGGGCGTTCGCGAGAACATTGGCAATACATTGTCATCGATATACCGTAGTCGCTACTACGAGGGCTACAAGGATGTCAGAACTCTCATGGAAACACAAAAGGCTGCTTCTTCTATTGGCACACGGCCTTTCCAAGCAACAGAAGAGTTCCGTGCTACCATCAAGGATGTCTTCGAGAGGCTCGAGAAGTGGCGCCAAGAGCGACCTCCTGGTGTCCAGACACCGACGCCGTATACACAAGCCAGCAAGACTGTGTTGTACTGGCTAGAATCAACAGTCAACAACTACGACTGTACTACACTGATCGAGTTCTTGCCCGATCCTTTCATGCAGCAACTCCTCAACATGATGGATGTCAAGGAAGACCCCGAACTGCAATCCCATGCATGGAGCGTCTTCAAGCAGTTCCCCAACATCCCTCACCGTAAGGGCGAGGATGAGGCTCTCGCAAAGAGCCTTGTCGAGATTGGCAGAACCAGCCCTGCATGGCACCAGCGTCTGCGTACGTTGATCAATATTCAGGTGCTTTACTTCCGCTACCTGTTCATCATGGAGTCTTCGCGTCGCGAGTATCTTCTCAACAGCGTTAGGGATATGTTGCATGATACTCAGCTCGAGGTCCGCCTCGGTGCAGCCCAGACCATCTCTGGCATGATCCGTTGCTCGCCTGTCGAGTTCCGTGATAAAGCAGTCACAAACTTGAAGGCACACTTTACACAATTGTTGAACAACAACCCTCTGCCCAAGCGCGGCAGAAACGCAGGACCTCCTGGCACACCTACACCCGAACAGAACCGTCTTGTCATTACTCGTCACGCTGCTGTCCTTGGTCTCGGCTCGCTCGTACAAGCCTTCCCTTACGCCAGTCCGCCTCCACAGTGGTTGCCTGAAGCATTAGCCACGCTTGCTATGAAGGCGGCCAACGACCCCGGTGTCGTCGGCAAAGCTGTCAAGACCATTCTGAGCGAGTTCAGAAAGGTGCGACAGGATACCTGGCACGTGGATCTCAAGGTAAGAAACATATCACTATTACGTGTAAACTAGATTGCTAACATTGTATTTACAGNNGTGTTCCAACCCGAACAGCTGGAGGATCTGGAGGGTGTGTTGTGGAAGAGTTACTTTGCATAGACAAGAGGCTACAGGAAGTGAGTGATGTCTTGTTTCTCTTTTCTTACTGTTGGTCTGTATTCCGCATATGTTTTCTTGCGCGCATGCAGCATCATATCATCATGGGAGTGCTCTTTATCTTTGTAGCTGCATGGATGGATTGGCTTAGATCAAATTTTCGAAATCAAAGACACTTTTACAAGCATTCGGAATGTCCTCCTGGTGTGTTCAATCTTGTCTCTCCACAATGACATGGAGCAATGTATGGACTGTGATCATGCACAATATCAATCAGAAGCAGGCGTATCCAAAAATCATCATGATATCGGCGGACTTTTTAGCCACGGATCGGTCATCTTGCAGCCATTGCTGCTTTCGGACGTCGTGGTGGTCTCGAAGGTTGACATTGCTGAATTGTTGGTGGATGTGTAGACGATGTGTTATAGCAAGCTGGAGGCACAAACGTGCTCTTTGCATCTCATTGACCAGACACTTGAGCAGAGAGCGTCCTACGTCGCATAAAATTATGAATATGAGATTGACCACAACGTAATTGGGATTTGCATATATTTGGCACAAACATGTATGATATTCCATTGACAAGACAACGCTCCCATCCTCCGGAGTAGCGTGTTGGAGACAGGGTCGCCGCTTACTCACTTGCCTGCATTCTGACACCGCTTCTCTTAGCCGGAAGGAAGAGGCGTCAGAAGGCGCCATCGATTTCAGAGCAGGGTACAAGACGATTTCTCAAGCCAATCGATGTAATCCATTCTATGCTATGATTCATCATCTATCATGCATCATGAATTCAGAACCATGTCAGCCATTGCCCTGTCGTGATGCCTTGCCACAAACTAAACGGTACAGGCCACACACGCCAATATCCAAGATTGCGACCTGCCTCTCCTAACAAAGGTAGCACAAAGCAACACCAGGCAGTGAACCACAGAATGTTCAAAGCGATAAAAATTGGCTTGTGTGTGCCAACCCGACGCAGACCAGCCGAGACCGCCATCTCGAATGCAAAGCCTACTGGCTGTAACCAGAAGAATGATAAGATCAGCCAGCGGATCTGGCTCGCTGTCTTTGTTGCGAACATGGGCTCTGGCGGTACTAAACCGATGTGCACAATACCGGAAAAGAAGAATGTCGCTAGGCTTAGCAGGAAATAGCGGCCATGACTACGGCGAGGTAGATGCATCAAGTTTGCAAGCCATACTCCTGGGCTTGAGCAGTAGTACCTCAGTGTTTGGTGCCAGTAGCGGCCCCAAAAATTACGGACTGCGCCTAAACACGGACTTGTGAACATTGCTCTGAAACTGCCGAAGAATCTTGGCCAGAGGTGTGGGCTCCATGCGTCTGGGAGATAGCCTGCCCAGTGCAGAGCTACTGGTAGAATGCATGGTAACTGGAACTGCTGACCAACGGTAGCCCAAACTTGGAGTGCCATGATAGTGCACCTGATCAACCGTGGTGGCAACAAACTAAGGACATCATCATGTGGCAAGGGCGAATCTACGCTCATGCCAAAGGTTTTGAAATATGAATCCTGTTGCGTCCAGGCAGATGTCAGGTCCATCACGACATACCCGCTAAGTGTGCGCAAGATAGCCGTGAGTATGAAGCGCAGGTGACTCGGAGGATCCGGACAGCGAGCAGGCTGTTTGGAGTCATGCGATGGCGAATCAATCTTCCAGTCTACGAAACGCATCGAGATGAGCAGCGTTCCAATCCACGGCAGCCTCTCGCTCCAATTGGCGGGATATGTCTGTTCCACGTATTGCGGTGTCGTTGACTCATTTTCACGAACACGACTGCCTGGGCCCGGTGTCTTGTTCTTCCCTGCGGTGGCTGTTTCGGGACTCTCGAGTATCCTGCGGAAGTCCTGGCGTGGATCGTTAAAGAGGAGCAGGTGATAGCTGTGTAGCAACATATCGAACGATATGACGTCTATGCCGCCCATGACAGTCCAGGCGTGCGCGAGAGAGGCTGTGATTATGGGCAAGGCAACCGCGCAAAGCACTTGCTTCGACAGGGTCCATGGTGGAATCGAGAAGGCGATAGGTAGTATTACCAGAGGCACAAAATAGCTCGGACTTTGAGGGCCAGGAACTATGCGGTTGACCAGCTTATCATATGTAAGCGCTACTGTCGTTTGGTTCATATTGTTGAATGATGGTCAGCATGTCGACCATCGCTCGTAGACAATAATTTCATTTATCTTGTTTGACAGTCGTTGCACCTTATCATGTCGTCATGGAACCTGATCAGGGAATGCATACACATTCTGTCAACATGACTGGTCTTGGACGAAGAGGATAGACAGATTTGCTCATGCAAAAGAAAGAGCTACCTTTGGCTTTGCGAAGGAAATGACTGTGGTGTGCAGACTTCCACATTGGGTTGTCGATTTTAATGCGCGTTCAGACTGAGCTGTGTTCAGCGAAAACCCTGGAGAAGCGGCGTTCGTACACACAACATGGACTTGAATTCATGTCCCGTAATCTCACACAAGGTAGCTCATTATTGAATCGATTCACAGCTTGTTTTACAACTCACATTGCCTGTTCTGGTACAAGAGAAAGAAAGAAGAATTTCCGCAGGCCAGGAAAAAGAATTCCTCGTGATCCGTCTGGGGAGCCAGATGAGAGACTGGACGCGACTGGATTCTCACGAATAATCCACTCATCACAAGCCAGTATTCACTCAGGATCTCGGACTAAGCGCGCTCTTCTTAGAAGATAGGCACTGGTATCGAGGCTCGGTGCTCTGCGGCAGTCCGGCAGACAGGACCAAGGGTGCGAGGATAGCTGGAGAAAGAGCATGGATATCCCACATCGAAATTGCGATTTGAAGAAGCTTCGAGACTTCTTCCAGCCAACTTCTGCGCGGAGTTACAACGTTTCAGCGATACGGACGTACCTACCTTGTGATAGGCGGTGCCCCTACCAGCACGATCTCAAATGATGGCCGAAAACGGACAGCCCGCACCACCCCACCGTCTGGTGACCTTTGACGCGACGCATGTAGAGCAGGCAACCATGATCATGATCGAAACGTAGCTGATGGCAAGGCTGCCTAAAATCTCGGTCCGCCTCAAGGCCTGCCTAGTTGGTGTAAATTTGGGAATAACAGGATCTGACAGAGGGCGGGCATCATGTTTCGCTCAACAATTGGATGGCAAACTGCAGCCAGGAAGCAGGATGGACAGGGTCAGCAAGGTCGAGATGAGTCTGAGATTGTTGAATCGTCATGCTTGGCCTGCGAGGCTCGGTGGCGGTCGCTCGAATCAAACTCGGGAAGAAGGACTGGGCAGTTGGGGGCTGGCTTGGGCGGCTTCGGAAGAAGAGGAACAGAACAGTCACACCTGTGTCAGCGGCCTGCCCATGCGGAGAAGACGACTCCGACTCACAGCTCCTCGCTTTCTTGCTCACTTTACAACTTGTCGCAATAATGAAGGATCAAATCAACAGAAACGCTTGTGTCGCTGTTCTCGAGTAGGAGGTTGGCCAAACACGTCGAGTCATCACGCGTTGAACAAAGAACGAATTCCAAGTCGTTTGTCGCGCGCGGTGTACAATTGTGTGCCAGGCAGCCTTCGCCGCTTCTATCGCCACCAGTTTGCCTTTGCCTCTCCAGACTCCACTCTTGACTCACTTTGTCCACCTTGGTTGATCATCCCACTTATATCCTCTGTTTGTTTCCGCCTCTTGTTTCCTTCCAACACCTTCTCCGATACTTGTCGCGAGGGGTCTTTGTTGGTTGTGTTTCCGCATACTTCTCTTTGAGCCTTCTCCACTCCGTCGACCACCTTAGGCTTCACCTGCCTCATCACCTAATCGCCGCTTAAACCCTCGCCAGCACAATAACAATCAACTACACGTCACCCCAATAACTCGACTGTCAAACTGGCTCACACAAGTTAATCACTTAGCTCGTCGCCTCCCTCATCGCCGCCCAGGCAGCTATGCTTATTGGATCCTCGCTTGCTCTCACTCCAGTCGCTTCTTACTCGAAATACGTTACCAAAATTCAAGAGATGGGCTCGTACATGTGGTAAGCCCTGACAGGGCCAACCGCTGTCTACTCCTGTTGCACTTTCTGCCTAGACAGAAACAAGGTGCACTAGGAGTCATCATTTGAATCTGGTGCCTTCGCGTACTATTGCTGACTGGAAGACTGGTCTTCTGTCATATCACATCGGCTTACTCTTTCCGGATACCTCTACTCTTTTGCAAAAACACACACACTTACCACTCACACAATATGGACTCCGGTTACGTATCACTCGCATCACTCTGTGGTACCTCGATCACCTCCCAGCTCGACAAACTGCATACACCCTCTTCCTCTAGTGGTCGTTCGATCGCTTCGCAACTTCACAAGCTACACTCATGCTCCTCCGNTTACTCTCCCTTCGTCGCAAACCGACTCCAACCCTGTTCCTCCTGAGCAACGTCGCCATCCCCGTCGTAGCCAGGGCAACGCTCTACAAAAACCTCCAACTCTTGTACGCCAAGAAGAGCGCAAGGCCACCTTCGTCGATGGTCTTGTCGGTATGTGTTGACTATCATGTTATTGTGTTCGAGCCCGGCTGACAACCTTAGACTCTGCCGCCCAAATGGTAGAAGTCATTTGGCCTCTGTCGGTCGCACCTTGCAAGCCTCAAGCTGGTGGTGTCTTGTCCTTGCGCAGGTATATCGAGGAGACACTTCGCAGATCCAGAACAAGTTACTCTACCTTGCAGGTGGCTTTGTACTATCTTGTCCTGATCATGCCTTGTGTCCCCAAGTCTGATTTTACCATGCAGCAGTCGGTCGATTCACCGTCGGTTCGCGCCCTGCAATGTGGCCGTCGCATGTTCCTTGCCGCTCTGATCCTCGCATCCAAGTACTTGCAGGATCGTAACTACTCTGCCAAGGCATGGAGCAAGATGTCGGGACTCAAAGTTGCTGAGATCAATACCAACGAGCGCGCCTTCCTTGAGGCCGTCAACTGGAAGCTTCATCTCCCAGAGCCCCTGTTCAAGCGTTGGACTGAAGTCGTCCTGCGCTATACTCCCGGCCAGGCTCCTCCACCAACTGGACAGAGCAAAGGCAATGGTTCTTCTCACGAAGAGGAACCTTTGACCTGGAAAGACGTTATCCCACAGCTTACTCCTGACCTAGAGCTGGTTGCACCCACTGCATCAGAGGCTGTTGATCGCGAGCGATCAGAGTCGCCAGTCTCAACATATACCACGTTGCCTTCATACCTCGAGCCTCAGCCAGAAGTCAGACCCCCAACCCCTATCCTGGGCGTCAGCTATCTTCCCACTCCTCGATCTACGCCTCCACCTACCCTGGCTCCTGCAGTGAGCATCGGCAGCGTTGAGATGTGCAACGTGATTGGCAAGTTCAGCCGTCGTTCATCGTTTGGCAGCCAGGTCTCCTCTGTGCCCAGCCCAGCCTCGATGGTGTCGGAGGGATCACGTTTGTCACCTGCGTCGTCAGTCACATCAGTTGGCTCGTTCAACTCATATACCCAGGACCGCACGGTCAAGCTTCCCGCAGCGGAATCAAATACTGCCTTTTCGACATCGCAGCCTCAGTCAACCGCGTATGACGCTCAGCCTCAGGCCAGCCGAGCGGCCAAACGCAGCTTCGAGCATATTTCTGGTTCGGAGGAGGTAGAACGACGAGGAGCTCTTCAGATGACTACATGCTCGCTGCTCAACAAGCACGAGGGAACCAAGGCTTTGCCGATTGTTCTTGACGACGAGGACTGCGCCAGCAACAGCATGGCAGCAGAAGTCGCAAGCCTGCAAGCAAAGACTTGGACCACATACAACAACACCACTTCCACGCCAGAGGCAAGGAAGTGTCGGCGGGTGGCATATGGCTGTGAGGAGCCATGGGCTGACCGGGCTCTCGATCACGGCGCATTAGTCGTAAACTGAGAAGAACCACGGATCAGTCGCGGCCCCACAAATTATTTTTACCAAAACGAAAAGCGTGTCTTTTTTGACAAAAAGCGCTGATGAAATCATTTTTTCTGCTTGATACCATATGGGATCGGGGGAGGATTACCCGGGAAAGCTCGATATGAGCTGGCGAACGTTAGGCGCATATAGCTAGCTGAAGCTGAATACTGAATGTACAAAGAGTAGTTTTTTCTCTTTTTGATATGATGGACCACTTCCTCCTCGTGAATTCACAATGTGATCTTGCGGTGCTGTCACGCGACCAAGTCGACGTCCTCTCTGCCCTTCATTGGGACCCGATGTCTCGTGTGTCCCCACGCTAGTTCGTGATGATGAATACAAATCTTATCCTTCAACGAGTATAGCACACAATCACTCTTCCTGAGCCTCCCTCTTGCCAAAGACGTACGCCAGACCGCCGCTGAAAATGTTTGCAGCGCAAAGACCCAGTGTGAGACCTCTAATGGCACCTCTAGCGCCAAACTTGCTGGAAAAGGCCTGCTTTCTCCTCCTTGCGACGACCAAGTACGCGGCACTCCAAGCAGAAGTCACGCCGGCCGAGTCCACAGGGAAGCCGTTCAGGTTCAAGTATGAGGAGAAGAGGAGGACGGGGACGAAGAGCATGGGTAGCTTTTGGAAGGGGCGGAAGTGTTGGGCTGTGATGAGGGTTGCGAGGGCGGTAGGAGGCACTGAGGATTCTNNGTGGTAATGATGCGAGCGTTAGTGGACGGTATGTGGGAGAGCAAGATGTGGATTCAAGGACGTACCACCCCATGCGCGCATGTAGGTGAGGACACCTTCTTTGGCTTCGGTCGTCTTGTCGGCTCCGGGCATAGGCATGTTGGATGATGTGTGGATTGGTATGATTGAAGACAGAGGGAATATGCAGGTCGAAATGGTGTAGCAATGCCAAAGCTGAAATGCCGTCATGGTCGAGCGAAACCAATCACATCCAAGATTCAAAAGGCGACCCTGTCCTCCCCGTGTTGCGCCAGTCTGGCCCGCAACGCTGCTGATTAGAGGCCAATTATCCACTTTCACATCACCCAAGACACCAAGACTTGACCAACAGTCGTCCACGCTCTTCGACTCTCCCTCAGGGGCATTTGCCTCGTATCTCTCCTCACACAACATCACAATGTCATCGGAAAAGTCGCGTCAACACCACGATGGCAGCAGCGGCCGCGCCTTTACCGTCGACCAAAAGGCCGCCGTCGTCCGCGTCCGCAAATGCAGTCCCACCGCCTTCTACGACATCCTCGGTCTCGAATCAGTAAAGACGACCGCCACAGAATCAGACATCAAANAAGCATACCGCAAGCTCAGTCTGCTCACACATCCCGACAAGAATGGTTACGATGGCGCAGACGAGGCTTTCAAGATGGTTGCTCGCGCTTTCGCTGTGCTGAGTGATTCGGACAAGAAGGCCAAGTTTGATCGCTTTGGAGGAGATCCTGATAGCAGGTTTCAGGGTGCGAGCGCTAGTTCGGCGAGTCCCTTCTCTGGCGGTGGTGCTACGAGGAGGGGTCCTGGTGCTGGCATGTTTGACGATGAGATTAGTCCTGAAGATCTGTTCCGTCAGTTCTTTGGCGGCGGCGGCATGGGCATGGGCGGTGGTGGCTTTGGAGGCGGTCCCTTTGGTATGTCTGTTCCGTGTGCGTAGAAAGGTCAGGGACTAACAGAAACAACAGGAGGTGGCCTTTTCGACGGCCCAGGCTTTGTCTTCAACATGGGCGGAGGCCCCGGTGTACGTGTCCACCAATTCGGCGGCGGCGCACCGCGACGACGACCCCAAGCGGCCAGAGACCCCAATCAACCACCTCCGTCTCTCCTGCAGTCGCTACAATCTCTCCTCCCGCTACTCCTCCTCTTCATCTTCNCCCTTCTCTCCGGCCTCTTCTCTGGCGGCAGCACACCCTCAGGTCCTTCTGTTCGCTTAGACCCCGTATCGCCCTACACTATGCAACGCGTTTCCTCCGGCTTCGGAATCAACTACTACGTCGACCCGCGCGAAGTCTCCGACCTCACGAATCGAAAATGGAAAGAGTTGGATAAGAGGGCGGACACACAATATGTCCACAAACTGTCCAACGAGTGCGAGGTGCAACAGCAGAGGAGGCAGCAGATGTTCCAGCAGGCTCAGGGTTTCTTCTTCGCCGATCAGGTCAAGCTGCAAGAAGCCAGGAGGTACCAAATGCCTTCTTGTACGAGGTTGAATGAATTGGGCTACAGGACTTCTTGATCAAGAGCTGTTTATGCTTTGTTTTCCGAAGCCCTTTCTCCTCCTTTGCATGATCGAGATTGGAGAAGAGCTTTTTTCTTGTATATCCACTTTTCTGTCCATTTGCATGGCGTTTCTCCTGAGTTGGCGGGTGTGTCTTTCTTCTTGGCCAACTTGATGCCTCGATATCGTTTTTTCAGGCCGTCTTTACGGCTGCAGACACTCTGCATAATCGCATCTTCTACCCTCTGACGAAGCACTTGAAAGACCTCCTGAGTTCTTGGTCGGTATGACATCCATCTTCAAACTCAATGACACGCTTTCCCATATCTCTTCAATCTATAGTAATTCCACGGCAGCGGCGCAAGATAACCAGCCGCCACACTCACCACAGCAGCAGCCCAAAACCGTGGATCCTGTAATGCGACAACTCCACCTGTGAGATGAAAGTCTACAGCATTTTCTGCTGCTTCCATGGCTAGCATGGAGATGAAACTCATGCCCATTGCTGTTTTGAATGCTGTGGTTAGAAAGAGATTGTCCTTGCCTAGCCGTAGGAGAGCAGTTTCTAGGGCTATGGATGTGCTGAGGCCGGATGTCACTNNGGGTTTGCATATCAGTATTCCAGAAGAAGTGTTGGTAATTTCTTTTGAAAAGACATGATACGTACTCGATAAAGCCATAATAGTACCCATACCGAGATCTGGTGCATATGTTTGTAGTGCCCACAAGGCAGAAAAGTCACCGATCGTGCAGCCGATGAGACATCGCAATGTGTTGATGCCTGCTCTTTTCCATGTCCCTCGGCAGGTCCAGAAGACTCGCTCGAATAGTGAGAGTCTAGGCTTTGCAGTAGCATTCACATTATTGCTACAAGATGCGCTGCTCCTCTTCGAGGAGTAGCTTCGTCCCAATTTTAGGGCAGGACGTGATGTGGTCGAGGCGATACTCGAACGCAGGAGGCAAATAAAAGGCTGTTGATATCCGCGTCCGCGCACACGATGTATTGTTGACATTTTTAGAATGTGCAGAAGGAAGGAGTTTATAAAAATGACAATCCGAAAGAGGAAACGACAGCCCGTTTATGAACGGCGAAAGTGTCGGTGCGGGTGTCGATGAGCACTACAACTCGACCTCAAAACCTGTCAACCATTCATTCTTTCCATCATTTCGCTACCTATTGCAATCTCACAAAAACAATCAAACTGCCGTCCGAGATGCCTCACAACTCAAAAGCCACCAACACCAATTCTCGAAAATTGAAGATTCTCATGTTGCATGGTCAGATCAACACACCCAATTCACGACGATAATTGCATCTAACACATTTTCCAAAGNGCTACACACAATCCGGCCCCCTCTTCCAAGCAAAAACCCAACGTGTCAAGAAACTGCTTGAGAAATCCCTCGCCAGTTTACCCATCAAGACTGACCCTCCGATCAATGGCATCGACCTCTTCTACCCCACCGGTCCTTTCAGAGTCTCTTCTGCCGACATGAACGGAGCAGAAGTCAGAGAAGACGCAAACGGCTGGTGGAAGTTGCGAGAACGCGGTGAACCACAAGATGGCGTGATCGAAGGACTGGAAACGGTAGCGAAAGTGCTGCGAGAAAACGGGCCTATGGATGGTGTCATGGGTTTTAGTCAAGGAGCTGCTTTGACTGCTATGGTGGCCTCTCTGCTTGAAGTTGGACGAGCAGATGCGTTTGCTAAGGTTGCAGGAGGTATGGAATTTCCGGAGTCGTTTGCTCAACTGCAGCATCCATCGCTCAAGTTTGGTGTTTGCTTCTCGGGGCTGTTGAATAAGCATGATGCATATACTGCTTTCTACGAGCCCAAGATTCAGACGCCGATACTGCATGTCTTGGGTAGTATGGATACTATTGTGGAGGAAAGCGAGTCTTTGGCTTTGGCGGAGCGCTGTGTGGATGGAGATGGCATGATCATCAGACATGCTGGTACGCATACTGTGCCGAGCAGTGAGAGGGACATCGCAGCTGTCATACAGTTTATCCGAAACGTGTATCCTGGTGGAAATGCGCCTAGCAAGAAAGATGAAGAAGAAGATGTCTTGGACATGGATATGCCTTTTTAGACGAGAGTGCTCTTCAAGTGTAGACATAGATCCTAGACTACATCGCATACACCATCCTAGATCTCACTGTTGTTTCAGAAGTCTCTTGATGAGTTTGCACATCCTTCATCCAGCAGACTTTTCCTGTTTGCTCGTTATGATACCAGACCAAATCACTGTACAAAAGCTCAATATGTCAGACAATCAGAGACAAACAGTAAAGTGTAGAACAAGAGTCTTGAAGACCACCTGTTGGACTTGCTCCTCATTTCTTTGACGTTTTTTGTTTGCTCATATATCAGCACAGAAAGATAACAATGAACAGAAACATTCTGATGGAATGAGAGACATGTCCCAGACCATGAGTTGCAAATACGACGTTCACATAGATAAAAATCCATACCACCAAAGGGCACTCATAAAGCCCACTCATCCTGACCCATCTCCCTCTTCGCATCCAAAAAAAAAAAAAACAAGATATCAAAACCAAATATCCATCCCACCTCAAAGACTGGCCAACTCAAAGACATGCCATACCTCAGAAGCCAACAACCATCCCTCTACATCTACCACTACAGAAGAACCTCCTCCCACTCGACCAGAACCTCAATCTCAAAACGGCAACTCGACAATGCCGTGCGTGCACAAGCCCCTACTGGAACAACTGAAGCTTGTATCCGGTGAGTTTGCTGGAACTTCATTGAGACTTGTTTTGAGATGGCGAGGCTGACACTGGAAATAGTGATTGGTATACCTATGGCGGTGGCAGTATATATGTCATGGTGGATTATCGTATGTTTCTCTTGGATGGGAGAATCATCGTGTATCGCAGACATGTCTACCTTTGAATGGTTCGTTGATGATGGGTGTTCCCTGGGGACCTTCAGACTACCAAAGAGACGACGGTTGACTTTGAGGAACAGCGGCAGACACGAGAGAGATCAACAACGTTGGATGGGTGACAGGAAACTCAACGATGTATGGCAAGATCAAAAATGTTCTCGCAAGACTAGAAGAGGATTGGAAGGCTATCTGATCAGATTTTCCGCATTTCGTAAATCGTCATGACTAGAAAAAGAAATATCCAAAATAATCAGACCGTGCTCATTTTTTCCACAGACATTATATGAACCGCAAAGAGAAAAGGTGTATGCATCTAAGGAGGAGAAAAAAAAAGAAGTGAAGAAGAAGATAACGCACGCGTGAACCAGCAGCCTGCACCAAACAAATCTAAGAATCCGCAGTATCATCCAGATACAATCTTGCAACTAGTGCTCATCATATCTGGCAGAATGGTAGTAAGAGTAGTCGCCATTGATTGCCTGAGCCCAAGCATCGCGGATGTGGTCCTTGTCTCCACTCAACAACATCTCGGCAATCTCTGTCAGAAGCTCTCTACTGACATCCGGCACAAAGTTTTGGAGTATGTCCGAGTGGCTCCAGAGTACGATGAATGTTTCAACAACCAAGCCCCTTCCGATAGAATCAGGCGGCAGTGATGGATAAAGCAATTCGATGAGCGGTCGTACAATGTTCTCGGACGAAGATGCTGAAGGTAGATCATCCTTGTTTTCGGTAAGAGCAGACGTCTTTGGCGATTTGCCATTGTGCATGTTGCCGATACACTGCAAAATGCGATTCATGACTTCATTCTGGAAGTCTGAGTTCTGCACCTTCTCGCCAAAGATATATGCTTGGAGTAAATCGATATATGTGTCGTAAGCGGCAGATCGCGAATCCAGAGCAGCGTTGGAAGCTGTAAGATCCAAAGATGTAATGCTTTTCTTATCGTATATGTAATGGGCGTATAGTTGAAATACTATAGGATCGTCTTCGGGTAGCTCGAGAGGCTCGTCTTCTTCGGTCTGCTTTTCTAGAAGCTCGGTAAAGTATGGTGACGAGGCGGCGAGGTAGGCGGCATGGACGTGAAAGTCTTCGCTGTTGGTTAAGCTGCCGACACGTACGAGGATAGGTTTTGAAAATGTGCTGAGGGTAGCAAGCAAATCAGCATCATGTATGTCTTATCAAGAAAGTATGCAGTTGTTGGTATAAGCGCCGTTACATATCGACGCCGGTTGTTGAGAGTATAGAAACACAAGAGGGCAAGCACACAGTCACGCTTACCTTTTCTTGATCTGGTCAGTCATGGCCAAAGAAAGCGCGCTTTCACGTCCGCGACAAATGCGCTTGTACGGCCTTCCGAGGTCCTCATCCCCCACCGCTTCTTCATCATCCATTTCCAGGTCGTCGGCCGAATCCATGATCGCATTCTCTTCCAAAGTGACAAGTTCGGCGATTTGTTTCTCGCTGGGGCTGTCAACCTTCAGAGTTGCGTCGTCTCCATGAACACTGCTGTTGCTACGTGGGCTGACAAGCATCTGAACACCCTCATTCGTCTCGTCCGCTGATCTTTTCGGCGCCATNCTAGTAGGTATGCGGGGCTTCGTTTCCAGTGTCGGGACGAANGTGTCGTCTTTCGCAAAGGTACAACAGTCTTGACAGATGAGCAAGAGGGCAGAAATAATCAGTTCTTAATCAAAATAACAAACACGAACGGACACGGACAGTCACGTCAGACGTTCCCGCCCTACGCATATTAATCCTTGTCCGTGGCAGAAAACGCTTACGCTTACGCCCTCNTCTCACCCAAAAAGATGCAGAGGACGGTTGGTGCTCTCTGCCGCGTCAACACTCGTGGGGGAGCCGGCGCTATTCATGTAGATGCATTGTACTTGCATACGATACATCCTTGCCCTGCACCCGCCATCGTGCTTGGAACTCAGACATGTCTGTTCACGAGACTCAAAGTCATGCGCGCGCGACCCTTGTAACTTTAATGATTGTCACTTTTTGTCCAGCTCTTTGAGCGACAACGTGACGCAAGCTTGTATCTCTGGATGTCGTGCAGAGTTGCGGCATATGAAACGTCCGCCCACTTGGCGAACTCCGGAGCGGTTGGGGTTTCATCGCTTTAGGTTCAGGATCGCTTAAACTGTATCTCCAAACGTCCGCTTAAAGTGCTTCGTTTTCAGCCCCTCCGGATATTCACGTGGCTGTTCACGCGGAAACGACTGCTCTACAAAGTCTACCTCTAAACCTCTAACTACATTACTTCTATCGTTGTGACCACTCGAGCCTATCTCGTACACGCACAGCAACGCGACAGGGGTATCAATAGACAGAATTAGAAGAGCTTTCAGATGGCTGGAGCGTCCCAGGCTTCACGACGGATCTTCATCAGGTTTGACTGCTTGTGCGGGAAGCTGATTTCCCTCTCTTTGAAGAAGCCGACTTCTTCGCAGTACTGCTTCAGTNNCTGTATTTCATCGTCAGTCTCGCACATGCCAGACACATTGCCTAGGATCACTTACTTCGCGTTGTCGACTCTTGGCTCCAACATGACTGTCTCAGTTCTGGCATCAGCGAGGAAGCAATAATGCACCAGTGCGCTCAACCAGATTTTGACACGGTGCGGGCCTCTAAACCTTTGCTCGCCGACCAGGAGGTGCACTCCGCGATCATGGTCCGACACCTGGTAGCCTAGGTAAGAGCCCAGCCTGTCTTCTTTGACCCAGTAGATCTCGAAATACCCAAAAGGCTTTCCGTCAAAGCACCCGATTACTGGTATTGTGTGCTTGTTGGTCAGCCCAGCTTTCAAGAACTCTTCTTGGTGAGATAGAGGGCCTTGCTCGCCCCATGAATATGCAACACGATCGTCGTTCATCCATTTATGGAGGAGTTCGGCGTCACTCATCTCGTGGTCCATAGTGCCAATGGTTGGAACATGCGAATCGCTGGCACTCACAGAGGCGCGAAGTGGAGAAGCACCAGGAGCTGGATCCGACACTGGGCCAATGTGTTGCACCGGACGCTTAGACAAGGACGCTACACGGAACGAGAGATACTCGCCAAGGCTAGGAATATATCTCGTATAAAAGGTCTCGCCTTGTCGCGGTGGCTTAGGACGCATGGGATGACGAACGTTGTCAGTAAAGATGTATTGGGCCGGAGCAGGCGGGTAGAATGTAGGCATGTGTGAGGATGACTTGAATTGACCAGGAGGCGTCCACAAGCCATGGTTTCCGCCGGTAGGTATCACGGGGCCTGCATTGTCGACGATTGAATCGGGTCTACTGCTAGAAACACCAAGTGCGGGCGAGTCTGGTCTCGAGTCGACGTGGGTGTGTGAAACCAGGGCAGAGTTGACCTGAGGATTGCTGGTGAAGAGGTAGATGCGAGGATCAAGCTGCCAGAAATGACGGCGAGACACAAACATAGCAGACCAGCCTTCTGGAGTATTTGGGTCCAAGGAAGTTCCGACGGCAGAGTCCTCGGTTGCGATCAAACCCATGCGCTCCAACTTCTGCATCAGTTGCTTGCCTCTAAAGACACCTTCGCGGTTGATGTTGATGCGCCATTCGCCCTTGGGCCTTCCTGCTTCAACTGTCCCCTGAGATGTGGGATTGGTCATCTTTGGATCAGGTTCGGATTGATGAAAGTACCAGTACAATGTGGCCCATAGCATCATGGCAATCTGGCGGGTAGGAGATGATGCAGGAAAATGCGAGGGAGTGTGCTCATTAGGCGGGTTGGAGATGCTGGAGATGAATAGATGATCGCTTTGGAGAGAGGGTCGCTTGTAACTATGGACGCGATATCTTGGAGTGTCATCGGCGCTAGGAGTGACGGGACTGTCTTTGTCCTCGCTCTCAATGGTAATAGTCCATCCAGGAGGGAAAATGTTGTGATGGTTGTGAGCATCGACAGACTTGAAGTAAAGACCACCAAAAACGGGCGTGACGGACAGATTGTGGCCATTGGGCAGATGCACGATGGAAGGTGCCATGGTTGAGTTGTGTGTGAACGTGGTTGGAGGGTGGTCTGCACGCGCTTGAAAGTGAAGTTACTGACCACAACGGCTTTGACTCGTGATGAGGATGCAAGATAAGAATGAGCCAGCCCTATTAATGAGACCTCGAACCAGCTGTTAAATCTTCTCTCGAACAGATTGGAGAAGAGCAAGCGTGTCGAAAGTGTGTAGTTAGTGCCCGATATGCATATGTCAGGCAACCGAGGAAAGAGTCGAATGCTCCTGCATGTCGAAGACAGACGCGACTCGTGTTCGCAAGTCATGAGTGAGTGGGTGACGAAATGGAGCTCGGGCCGGATGGATGTGGCTTGAATCAACAGCGGGTGCTTCGATCCAATGAGAGACTCACACTCAACTCCGATGCCATGTTCCCTGGCGGACTGGCAGACCGCTCGTGTTTTCGTTGCGGAACCCAACAACGGTCTTGCGCGTGCCGTCGTCTTGAGTCTTGTTCAGTCGAGCAGAGCAGTAGTGACGTGACGAGAGAAAGAGCGGAAAGCCAAACCGCAAAAGTCGCTCTGCAATTTACGGTGGTACGGGAGTGCTGAAACAGAGGCCCGCGGTCTTGCAAAAGCTTGTGTTTGATACCCCCGACCCATCACCTTTTGTCACTACTTGTACTGTCCTCCAGACATCATGTCTGGCAAGAGAACAGCAACTTTGACAAGATAGAAGCCTAGTCGACCGAGTGCCGCGAAGCAGAAGCACCACGCCCTGCAAGGCGGATACTCTTACTCGACGCCGCCCATCCCTCGAGAATGGGCTCATATTTTGGTCGAAACCATTCGCCCAAGCCGTCGACCGAGCGTGCGCATTCCTACATCCCGCAGGCCAACACCTCATCGTCGCCCGTCTCGCAATCGGCGCCTGTCCTGCCACCCATCCCGAGCATCGCTGATGTCGCAGACAATGCACAACCCACGGGACTGGGCCTCGATGCCGCCTTTGCCTTCGACCCGAGTCCGAGACAGTCCACACCCTCTTCGTCTTCGAACCTCTCGACGCCCTCACCGCTTCGCGATGCCGCTGCCACCACTGCTCCTGCTGTGCGCCCGCAGAACTTGCAAAAGGGAAGGGCTGTGACAAGTCCTGTAGGTGCCTTGCCTAGCTTCCAGCAAGCAAACATGTCACCATCTTCTCCCCTGGCCGCCCTGTCTGTACCTTATTCCTCGACCACCGCCCAGGCCAAACCCCGCGCAGGCAACCGCCCACTTCCCGCCGAGTCGACCATCAATGGAGTCCCGCAACATGCAAAGACGTCCAAACAGAAACCGGAACTACACTCGAACAAGTCATCCAAGGGCAAGTTCAACCTGCTCAATCCCGTCAACCTCCTTATGCGCAGACGTTCTGCCCAAGCTGTCGAAACCCTGGAGAAGACACAATCCAAGAACCTGGCCATACCACCTATGGATCTTCCTGATGATTACGATCCGCGCATTCGAGGCAAGCTTGTACACGATTTCAGCGCTCCTCGAACTCGACGCACGCCGTCATATGACCCGAGTCTAGCAGAGGCTTCATCGAAACCCTCGACTGCAAACGACTCTATCAGATCGCAACAGGACTCGGTCGACCGTGATGCCAAGAGGCAATCAGTCCAGCATACGCCCGTTTTCGTTGAGCATATCGACAGCGAACCTGATGTGAGCCGTGTAAATGCTGAAACTTTGGCGAACAGCGATTTTATCGCCCGAAACTCATGGCACCAGAGTGGAGAGTCACTCAACATGCCTCCTTTTGGTCGCCGGAGTCAGCTATTCGATGACCAACCTCACTCTGAACCCGCTTCCGATTCTCCACACTCTGCAATGAGCGCCATGAGCGGTCCGGGATGGCAATATCACGAACCTGAGCGCGTCTATTCCCCAGTATCACCCGAACCCGCTCCCGAGTCCGCACCTGAGCATCACGAGCTTGGATTTGAAAGATGCGAGCAAGAGTCATTGTCAATTCAGCAAGAACCTCAACCATCACCTAACCTTCTACCAAATCCCAATTCTACCTTGCCTAGGCATATGACCAGTACAGCTTCGCGTTTCAGCTTCCAAATAGCCAATGACTCAATAGCGGAGGAGAAACTGCTGGAAGAGAGACATAAGCTGCGCCAGTCAAATATCGTCCAGGATCCACCCAAGTTTGACCGCGACGATTACGAGGATGAAGAAGAGGATACCTTCGACGAGGATGCTATGTACGATCACGATGAGATGGAAGACTCGCCTGCGAACGGTCTTTACGGACATCTCAATTCTGGTCTGGCCGAACGTTTTCCTACCACGAGTCTGGACTCAGGCCAGGGCCATCAATCTGCGGCGTCTTCGAGCACCTTGTATTCCGCTACCGCTCCTCAAACGATGCAACCGCCCTTCCAAAACCCTTTACGCTCGNAATCCGCCACCAAGCTCAATCCAACAGCCGCCTTCCGGTTCCTCGATATCAGCCGAGCCTCAACAGCAACTGGCTAGACCTCCTTCTGCCAACTCTTTCTATTTCNNGATGATGGCATGCTTGACCAACTTGACGATGTACACGAAGAAGAGGAGGAAGACGAACAAGAGGTTGATGATGAAGCCTTCGATGAAGACAAATTCGACGATCCTTCATATCTGAAAAGACCGAATCAACCACCCCATCTGCACGAAACCGCCGCGAACTCCTCGGTTTATGCGCCTCCAGATGCGCCTGTTCACAATGTCAATGGCTATCCATTCCTCATCCAGAATCCTGGAACGGGCCATTTCTCTGCTGATTCGCCGTTTTCCGAGAGCTCGTCTCAGCCTAGCGAACAACAGCGAGAAGCTCAGGACGAAGCAGCGCGACATGATTCCCAACAAGGTCCTCCCGATTGTCATAACCTTTCGGCATACCACAGTGCTTTGGCAGAAGCCGCACATCGGGCTGCGGCTGATGGTAAATTCACTAGACAAAACAGCATAGCGGCCTCTGACTCTGTCTACTCTGAGGACTACGAACAAGATGAAAGCGGCTACCCGCAGCAGGCANCAGTATGCGCAGACGCAGACGCAGATACAGACGCATATTCCAATGCCAATGCCTATGCCCCATTCTATGCCCGCGTCCATGCGGATGCAGGTCCCCCATATATGCAGATGCAGATGCCACAATTATCACCATATCAGATGCAGCTGCAGATGCAAATGCAAATGCAGATGCAACCTCAGATACCTCAAGGTCACATGTCTGGCTCGACCCACGCTCCCCGTGGCTCTTACTCAGCATTTGAATTTGGCTTCAGCGATGGTGCAACCATAGAGGATACTTTCTCGTCTCCGGAATTTCCTAATGACGATTTTGCTTTCGATGATTCAGATCTAATTTCCGCTGCAAACTCGGAAGCACTTGCAAACGACGATGAAGGATTCTACAGTCAAGAGTTTGGTTTCTACGCCAGAGCACGTCCAGGAGGCGATCCTGATGCAATCGAGGCTATCAACGGTGGCTATTTTGGCGCACCTGGAATCGAGATTGTACGACAGAAGAGTGTGAAGGAACCAAATCTGACTCCCATCACCGAGCGCAGCGAATTCAGTACGCGTAACTCATACATTGGCCCATTCAGCCCACTCGCCGCTGCGCTTCCATCGCCCGGCTTTCCGCCATCCCATATGGCAGCAGCGCGTATGAGCCCTCTTGCTTGGCAGCATTTGCAAGAAGACGAGATGACACTAGCAGATCTCCGAAGACTTAAGCAAGGCGCATTTGGTAGCAGCAGCAACAGTGTCAACTCTTTGTCCTCGTCTTTCGGCGTTCCAGCTCCTTACAGTCCCACTATGGCTGCACAGAACATGCCTGGTGGCTATTTCATGCCGCGTGCCGGTGGTGTTCCTATGGCCTGGCAGCGTAGCAGTGACAGCAACTCCAACTACAATCCATCTAATCATTCTTCCAGTCCTGTTCCTACATCGCCAATTCACGCATCATTGCCCAATGGTATGACCAACAGTCAGGCATTCAATCCATCTCTGCAACCACCACATGCACTCTTCGTGGCAGAGAACGTCTCGACTCCTAAGAAGAGCTCATCTGGTCTACAAGAACTGCCAAGGACGCCGGTGACGGCGAAGAAAGCCGCAGCCAAGGAAACAGCTGCAGCTTCAGAACGGCAATCACGCCAAACACACTCACGATCTGGCAGCGGTGCAGACAACATCACTTATGTCCGTGAAGAGGACTCTACGGGCGGCAAGCGTTGGGTCCTCGAAAGACGGCGTACGAGCGAGGCTGGCCTCTTAGAACTCATCGGCAGAGAAGTTGTCGAAGGTGGCCGCATTTGATCCCTCAAGTTTATAATGTCTTTATTGCTCTTTATGCCACATTGATGGCACATGGTGGCTGGTCTCTTTTCTAAGTGTTTATACCATACTGCGTTCTAGCGATAACTTGTAATATCCTTCAAATACCCACAGTCTGACTTGTCATACACGCAAAATAAACAAAGGAGTCTTGATCTTGTTTCAAACGCTGGCGCACAGTTTCTAGAAGGCGAGGAGAAAATGTCACACAAAGTGAGGTGCTCTGCGCCAAGCGACCAAGGCTCCACGACAGTGTCACTCCCAAGGTCCGGTCGCGCCTTCTTCCTTCTGACACAGCATTCTCGAACCTCTAGATTTCGAGTAGCAAGAAGCCACCGTCTCCTGATGTCGCTCAGACGGCAGCAGCGTTTGTCATGATCCAGTAAAAGCCATGTGTGTCCCGTTGTAGCATCTTCGAGACCTCTAAGCGCCCATGCTGGGCACTTCTCCAGCCCTGATGCAGGTGTCACGACAATCTGCAAATCTCGGATTAGAATAGCACCCGTAAGCGCCCAGCGTCAACCTGTATGCAAGTGGCCAATCAAGGATAATCTTTCAAAACAATGGCTTGCCATACATCGCGTAGGCCATGCAGACAGGTATCGATTTAGTCACTAACGACCCCTCTGAGCGGTTGAGGCTTGTTTGAATCACGGATCTCTTATGAACGAACCACTGGCTGTCGCATGTTGTAATTTTGTCTCCTTTCTTGCAACTTTTACGACGTACTCACAATACACATCCTTGACGGCATGCGCTAGGAAACTGATATAGAATGAACGAACAGTATGGTGCATATCCACCTTCTGGACAGTTTCATCCAACTCTGCCGCACCATGCTTCCAACAGATCACAGGAGTCACCTCGGGACAATGTATCTTCTCTAGGCACTCCTCTTAGTCCCATGTTTGGCCCTCTTGGAAGCGGACATTCGACTCACGGTAGCTTTACTATGGCATCTAGACCATATAACCCCCAGCAGTGGGGCCAGAACAATGTTGTTGTAGGATCACATATGGCTTTCTCTCCTACTCAGCGGTTCGCTAGAGATACGACTGGCATGGAATGTGAGTAGAATCCTTTCGCAAGGCGCGAAACACAAACACGATGCTAGTCAGCACATTCTTGCATGCACGTTTTAGTGACCAAGTTACAGNCATCGATGCCTTCTCCTCCACCACCGTATACGCCTCCGCCTGACGTTACCTCTCGCTTGATGCGATCGGCACCTGTTGCAGGCTTCGTCTCTTCGCCCCTATCAGTGGAACCATCATCAGCCGGTACAACAAGTCATCATTCAACTCCACCAAGTGGACCCTCAGCACACTTTCCACCACCTCCAACCTCGAACTCTCGTGATCGATCAAGCTCGGGAGTAAGCAGAGATCCTCAACGCTCCAGATTCAGTATCTCTGGGCTTGCCGCTCGTGTCAAGCGATCTGATAGCTCCGATCAGATATCAACTCTCAATTCTTTACATACTCAACTTCCTGTCGTGTCCGCAGCAGGCTCCAGCTCACGACCCCCAGCTTCTCGCCGTGCTGCTTCCACGGGAGCCCTCTTGACACATGCTCCTCCAAAAATCTCGACTGGTAGAAGCTCTCCAGAAGCCTCGCGCTGGGAACCTGGAATGCCACTTCCTCCGCCTCCGCCAGGGCCACCTCCAGAGAACAGATCTCAGAGTCTCAATCGATATGCAAGGCGAACTACAGAAACTCAAGCGGACACTACCATTCCAGCTCCTCCACCTCCCCCTGTCCGAAGAAGACACGAAAACACCCTTGGCGAAATTCCTCCCACTCCTTCTGATTGGAATCCTGATATGGACATTGGACCTGACTTCATTGAACTACGTGTAGATACAGGACGACGAGCAGATGCTCATTCCGCAGGAAGCAGTGGTAGGAGTCAGCTTTCAGCAAACAGAGAGGCCATGACGGACAGTATACGCGAAAGAAGATCGCGAAGTCGAGCCAAGAGGGAAGGTCAAGAGATCGCCCTCGAGGATCAACAAAGTCAGGAGATTTCAAATCACAGTTCGACTAGTTTTGCAAGACCCACCAATCTCACTCTTGCTACCAGTGATGGTCTACTGCGGAGAAGGCGTAACGCAGCTGTCGAGTCTTCTTCATCCCAGTCGAGTCCAGCTCAGCCTTCCTCGCCCGAGTGTTACCGCCGTCAGGGGCAGGGACGCAATAATCTGACAATATTGACACCACCTTATACGCCTTCCATCGCTGCCCCACAGGAGGGCCCAATACATCATATTGCCACTCCTAACGAGCACTTCTCGGATCAGCCCACCCATACGAGCCGCACACAGCCTCCAACAAATGAGTCCCATAGTGGACCTATGAGTGATACGAGCCTTCCAAATCCAAGAGAGCTTTCAAAATTCACTCAATCCAGTTTGGATCGATATCAAGCATTTGTTGGTCAAGAAGTTGCCGCCGAGAATGATCAGGAGCGGTTGAAACTCTTTGCGAGTTTCATGGTTCAGGAGTCGAGATTGCGAAGAGGTTTCTACTCGGAAGCCTTCAATAGCATGGCCGGAGACATCATGGAACTGACGCGTGATATGTGGAGGCCATTGCCCGCTACATCCGAGCCTGCTACCACGCAGCCTAAGAATCGCAACGTGAGTCCGGAAAGCGCAAACATCATGATTGATCTGGACGACAGCTTTCACACATCTATCGCTTCTACTGCAGAACTCACGCCAGCTACCGATACAGAGTCTCTAGCAGATGAGAGCCAGGACGTTATGGACAGAAGACCTTCCAATCCATGGGGTGACAAATTCAAGCCGTGTCTTTCTCCGATCCCCAGCATGGCTGTCAGTACTGTGCCAGACGAAGAAAGTTCCAGAGGAAGATCGGCCAGTCGATGGTGGGAAGAGAGCGTAGATGGCTCGTTTGGGAACGGAGGGCGTAGAGTCGAGAGAACCAGACAAGAGGCAAAGTACATGAGCCTGCACCCTCAGGAGTTGCTCCTTGCTGCACAGCCCTCGCCTAATCAGAGTACACCCACTCCCGGTACTAGCAAGCAGACCTTTCAGTATGGACCTGATGAGTACCCTCAGGAGAAGACTGGCTGGCACGAAGAGGATGGTTTGTATACACCGTCAAACCCACCCTCGGCAACTTTACTTTCGCCTCGCAACAAAGCACCTGTAGGTCGCCCAACGGGAAGATCGGCTCTGGATGTTACAAGACTTGTCACACTTCCGCCACCATATCCGCGCCACTACCCTGCTGTCAACAACAGTCATCCTGCATTGAGCACGCTCAGAGCACACCATCGTGCTGTCGCAGACCTTTCGACCATACGCGAGCTCTTCCAGTCTCACGAGGCCACCGAGACTAGCAGACGGCAACAATGGAGAACGTTGGCTGGAGAACGACTTCGTCACTTCCGATCACAAACACAAGCGTCGATCAACTCAGGCAAGATATCGTATAATGATGCCACTCAGGCTGAGCTCACCTTCCGTCAGTCTGAGGCTGCGAACGTACTTAGGCAAGCCGGAACTCAATGTCAGGACTTCCGGCAGCGGGTTCATGAGCCTGTGTGTCGAATGCTCGCTGAGCATTTGCGAAGTTGCGATGATTCCATCGATCAGCTCACCAGGGCTCTAGATGCAGAGGCTGGGTGCGATCAGAACTTGCTCGCCCAAACGGAGGGAGATGAGAGACCTGAGCTTGTTGAGCAGCTTACACTTCTGAAGTGGTTGTTCGAGAGCAGAGAGCATATCCACAAGGAAAGATTTGACATCGACACTGCCCTTCTTGCGAGAGAGTCGGCATCTGTTTTGACCAACTATCGACAGAATGCGAACGAAATACAATTGCGCCAGGCCGAACGTCACTTCGAATCCGAACGTCAGACACGACAGCTCCGATATGCACGAGAGACGAATGAAAGATACGACAACTTGCGCAAGACTGTGGAGAAACACATCTCGAGAGGAGTCGAAATTCAACTGTCGGCGTTCTGGGATATCGCACCAGGCTTGGTTGAAGTTGTGCACAAAGTGCCCGACAATCTACACGGATTCGAGATCGTGGTGCCTACCAATGAGCTGGCGGAGAACATGTCCTATCACGAATTCCCTCTGCAGTACATGTACAGCATCCTAGTACATGCCAAGAAATCAGCGTATCAGTTCATCGAGGCGCAGACAAACCTGCTATGTCTCTTGCACGAGGTGCACACGGCCACCGAAGCGGCTGCCCTACGGTTGCGAGAGATTGAGCACAGTGCAGCAGGCGAGAGTGCGAGTCAAGTGCAGGCAGAGATGACACATCTCAAGGAGCAGAAGGAACAGGAGTTGACTAGAGACTTGCAGGGGAAAGTGCACGAGGTGGAGGGTCAGTGGAGAGAGGCTTTAGGGGCAACGATTGAAGATTGTATTGAGCGGGTCAAGACTTGGCTGGAGCACACTGGTGGTTGGGAGGAGAGCCTGGAAGTCTAAAGTAGCAATTAACGGGCCAAGCAAGCAATGCGGATACAGTGAATCAAGTAAGCGAGGGGTTATCTATGGGCCAAGCATGACTGGACACGTGAAAGTTGTTGTTGTTTGGCCTTCAACTGACAGCCGAGTGGACAAACATGAATGGAAAGAGGCAGACAAACAAGACCGGATGCGGACACAAACGGTGGAAGTGGAAGTGACGGTCGAAGAAAGAGGTGGTCGTGGACCAAACAAAGAAGGTGGCTCACATGACAGGACCGGGTGTTGCCGAGCGGACGACGATCTGGCAGGTGCGAGCAGAACTGGTAAAATCCTTTGAAGAACTTCTCTTTCACCGCACGCATCCATCATCCTCCACCAAACCCCTCTGTGCTCTCGCACTTCCTTTCATAAAGACTCGTCCACTGGTACCAAAAAATTTGAAAATCCCAAAAAGCCCATATCGCGCCTTCTCAGCGTCTAGTTGCGAAGGTTCATCCATCTCACGAGTCTATCGAAAGGAATACTT